ATGATAAAAGGAGAAACACACATGACAACATATCTTACCACTAAATAAACAATACAATATATATATATATAAGTGTATACGTAAATAAATAGATTGGCATTTGAATACAACATAGATAGTTTATCTAATTGTTAACTAGGCGGTGTCTTTATACAAATTCAACTGTCTTGTCCACGTCAATGCTTTCTACGTCAGTACCTCCTGTTCATTTTTTTGCATTAAACCATGATTTTTCTCTGCGGATGATTTTGGCTTTTGTCTGCAATAGACGTAACTTGTTACAACAAGAAAAATCAACGTAATGCAAATCAAGCTAAGAGAACTGATCAACCATCCAACAAATCTACTTTTGGTTATGATTCGTTCACGAAATTCAGCCGGAATGTAATTTGTTTGATTAATCATGTAGCCAAGCGTCCAACCAACTTTACCCGTTTGAACTGTATTCGCAAAACTTAAACGGTTCAAATCGTCGGATTTAAAACCGATGGCATGTGTCAATAAAAGCCACATGTACCATCCATCGAAACATAGATATCGTTTGAAACTTTCAGTTTTATTGTCCATTCCTTCTTGTTCATAGAGCACTGCATGCTGTGTTTCGCACTAAATCAAAATCAGATAACATAATAGTCTACCAAATGAATTCACTCGATTTTGTAATCGATTACTAAAAACTTACGACACTGTTAAGACGATTGCTTATTTCTTCTGGTGAGAAGTCTTTGTATTGATATTGTTCTTTGACTGTAGTTTTAGATGGATCCATTTCTACAAAGCAAAAACGCGCTCTTTATTCATTGTCCCCTACTCCCAGTATTAATACAAACTATAGGCAAGATTGTTGAATACATAATAATATCCTGATAAGCCAATGAATTGTATTTTCGATGGTATAGTTGGTTGAAACGTATGATCAAATGTGCAATAATCTGCTTTATACGAACAATTCACCGTTTTGTCGTTACGCTTAGCATCGAATAGACTAAGTAAACGTTCACGGCACTGACTAGCATTTCCAGCTCCAGTGAATGTCAATGTTGAACGATTAAGGAAACTATTAAATTTTTCTCTTTCATTAGCAGTGCAGGGTGAACGAAAGATATCTTTAGTTGTCAATGTTTCGTTGGCGCCACGTGCGAAACATGGATCACGGATTAATATACGCGAATTGGAAAACGTTGTTCGATTAGTATTGATCGCAGCATTGACTAGACGTGCACGATGACGTTTCAACGCTTCATTCTTACCCCAACATAAGTAACTATGAGCATATGGACTATAAATCGTATCGAATAGTGTAATATTAGTTGTAAATTCATTCGGGATAGGCTCGCTATCTTTTGTTTGATTATCTAAATGATAGGAAACGTCGTTCTTCTTTTGAGCTGGATGGAGATTAGTTCTTACAAGTGAATGTAATTTGTGTCGAAGCACCGCCTAGGTCAAGTACACCAACCATATCGGTGTCCAATTCTTTTTTCGCGAGAACCTTTTTCTTTGTATGACGATGTTTGAATTTCTCAAGTAAAACATTTGTTGTTATCCAACCGTCAATAGCTTCTTCTATGCCAGTTAGTATTCGTACCTGGAAAGAAGCCGATGATGACATTTACTTCCGTATTGTTCAGTGCAAAGCGGTTTACCTGTCGCGCGACAACAAATTGAAATGGCGAATTGGAGAAGACTTCTCGAATAGTCTCCAGCACTCGATTGGCTGTCGTGGCGTTACGTAAACGTGATAGACGCATTCCAGCAGTTGCACCAAGAAAGACGGGCGATGATCGGTGACGCGATGATGGAATTTCCCTGGCTGCCTTACTCAAACAAGGTTCAAAATATCTATCTAATAAATCTAAATTTTGTTCAAAATCTGATATCGCTTTGAGTTTTATTGTTCCGCCAATGCGATTCGTATCGTTTTTTTCCAAAGCGTCCAAATGACAAGTAAACAGTTGATTGACGCTCGATGTTGTGCCCAGGCCATCGGATTTATCTGCTGGCCAATGATAAACAAACATTTCTGTATGCGAACTGCCAGCATCAAAAACAATAGCATAATTAACAAATGGCGTAAGACGAGTATGGTAAAGAGTTATTAAATAAATCATAAGAATGATCGCAAAGACAAGAATAGTAAATGCAATACCTTGCGCGAATTTGATCACTGGATAAATTCTCCAATGTCGCTTTTGTTCTTCCATAATTTATAGATAATTGTAGACGAGACGATGCTTTCTAAAAGAAGATTGTATGAATATTTCTGATCGAATCGGCATATTCTCTTTTATGGTCTATGATTTTTCTATGCGCAAAAAAGGACTGTGATTCGACAAGGTAATCACTACGCGAGATTTCATGATTTCCATTCGAATAAAACTATATCTCGCCCTTCTTATTCTCACATAAGTTTTGCTTTGCAATATTCAAGGTCACATATATAGATGTGTAATCCTTGATGAATAAATTCTTCGATTAATTCTGGTTATGCTAGGCAAGCAAGAAAAGAACTTCTTATTCCTCGGGTATATTTCAAAACATACTTTCTCTCCTATTCAGGCTTACACAGTAGGGAAATCTTGATAAGTAGACTGTTCATATGAGGCATGCTTGACATTCTATCAAATATGTCGAGTAATGCACGGTGTTTATTTTTGCTATCGGGCCTATATTATCCAGTCGATATTTAGATTATTCTTTTCCCTTTCAATTATATATATTTATCTGAATCCATATATATGGATATTCTAAACACGAACGGAAAGTACGCAGGAGGAATGCTTGACGGAACATTCGAATGAAAAAAAAAGCGAGTCTAGTGCGGCAAGTAGTTCCAATCGATAGACGTCATCCATCGGTAGTAAATGAAGTGGATGCATAAGCACGTGCCGGATTTGATGCAATTCCGACAATGCATCTGACGCAAACGCTTAAGGAAACATTACTATTCATTAGCATAAATTTTTGTCAATAATGTTCGCATAGAAAAACTCCTGGATTTCTCATCTATTGTTTGGTATTTTTCTGTCTTTCAACGTCAAAATAATAGAAAAAAGAGCGACTAATTTCTTTTTGATACATTGGTTATTATAATAGAAAGTAAATTATCAGGTTTTCTAGTGAATGAATCTGATCTAAATCGACGAGATATTTCGAAAAAACGAGACAGAGAGAGGAAAATCAAATTATCAAAAAAATTTCTTATAATATGTCGACTACATTGAGAAACATATGAAACTATTAACAGTATTAAATGATCGTTGAGAACGGCTGTGTAAATATCGCATTAGATGTCTAACAAAAACATGTACAAGCGTGTTATCTTAAATCGAAGGATATTAACAATAAATACATGGTCTTCTAACAAAATCTTTTCTCAGACAAATACCGAGACCAGATTGTTGTATGATTTCTCACAAGAGTTAATACAATTAGAAGGAAAGACAAATTTTGCGGATTGTTATACTCAACAACTGATTTGAAGAGTCATCGAATGATAAAAAAGATGTGTCTTGGTGTTCTCTGAAGAGAAAAAGCAAGTACTTTTCTTTAATAGAATCAAATGATTCACTGATGAAAACGTGTTAGAATATGAAATGTCTTGCCTATTTCCCGAATGAGAATTAACGAACGAGTCATTTCTTCTTCTTTTTCTCTTTTGTTTCTCATCAAATATGTTCGACATTAGTATCTCCTGTTAATATCTCAACGTTTTCCCAACAATGTAATTCAAGAATCACGATCACAGCGATGATCAATTGATCTATCAATCACAAATATCACCAGATAATCAATCGATGGATGACACAATCTTATCTTGGAATCACTATCGAAAAGATTCGGCTTTCTTTTTTTGCTTGTTATCGATCCGCGACGACAAAGTTGAAAAACACACATGGAAACATTCAGATCTTATTATCTATTACATTAACATTTGATTTATTAAAACAACACATATGGATTATCTGAGAGTCTTGCAGTTCCACTTAAGATAATTAGCATCTAAAGAGTGCATTATTGACTTACTCTGATATGTTAAATTCTTCAAGGTGGGATGGAAAAGTTGCCCTGAATGACTTGAGGATAAGAAAATTATACAGTGTATACGAAAACTAGCTTCCTGAAAGTTTTCATGTATATCTACGTTATTCTATTTAAATTCCTCAACAATTTATTTTTAATTTGTAGCTGAGAATATCAAGGTTTAGTTGTCTAAGACAACAACTTTTACTACTGCTTGGAAAACAGCACCTATGGGCGAAATACGAAAAACATAACTATTTTTCATAGTAAGAAAACACGAGATTTACATATTTGTTCTCAGAAATTTCAGCTATTTGTTTTAATTACCTGTATATTTCGTTTGAAAACTATGCTAAAATCTCTATCATTAGATAGATTTCGGTACAGTTTCACGGGCTCTGTCTAGCTATCTGAAGAATAAGTTAAAATATTGTTTAGACGAAATCAAGTTGCTAGTCTATTATGAAACAAACAGCATTTTTGTATTTCGCTCATAGGCATTGCTTTTCAGAAAATAGCAAGACCGGTTGTCTTGAACAACTAAAACTTGATATTCTCAGCAGCAAATTGAAAATAAACTGTTGAATAGAATAACGCAGATATACATGAGAACTTTCAGGAAGCTACTTTCGGGACACACTGTAGTAAATAAAATAAAAAATCTGTCAACATTCTTCGTTTCTTGTCAAGATACAATCTTGACAAAAAACTTATGACTTTTCACAATACGATTAATAACAGAGAATAGAGAGATACATGTGGCACATTTGTCTCAAAACAAATGTAAACGAAGCAATTGATTCATTGAAAGGCCAGATGTTCGATTTGTTATTATCTCGACTGAATGATAACGTAGGATTGGCCAGTTCAATTAGATATACAAGGTACTGGCAGCATCTGAAAGCGCAATACATATATATATCGATGGTATCACTAATTAATATGTATATATGTCCAACGGAGTATCATTTCACTAGATGTTTGCATCGCAATGTTTTGTCGGTACAGTAATCAAAGGAAAATACCAGCAGAGACGATAAATAAACAACTCATTTTTCAGACAATAGACAAAACTTCTCTCGGTTCTACGTATATCAGCACTGATTGACACAGGAACGAGCAAAAATTAAAAATGATGTCACTTATGACAGACGTCTATTATGTGAGAACTTCAAATTAATCATTAGATACGATGTTATATAATTATAGTTGTCATAAAGGTACAAGACCTGAAAGACTATTGATTCAATTGTTTTCTTTCTTTATTGTATTTGCAATGCATTCGGGGTTAATCTGAATGTCAGAAGCAAATATTTGCTGATACTTTCAAATTAAAGTTTAACCAATGACTGACACACATAGACCTCTATATCGCAATCAGCATATGCAATAACTATCAGCAACGACTACATATGTCATTTGTCTACTGTGATATCCAACCGCACACGATCTACGTATAAAGTCCATTCTTTTTTACCGTTATATACTCCACCGGAATCATCTCGTTGGTGTATGTACATCTATGAAAAAAATATATTAGCTATTTATCAACCTTCGAATTCTATTAAAATAGAAGGATCGAGTTGTTTGATGAGTCATACACTTATTCGTCTTTTTTTTCTTCTTTTCCTCCTACACTTTCTGCCACGTCGCATATGGGTGATGCAAAAAAGTTTCTTTTTTTTGTTTAGATGAACATTTACTTTTGCGGGAGCATTCGAGGCGGTCGGCAAGATGTGGCGATCTATCAACAGATTGTTACTTGTCTAAAGACGTATGGACGAGTTTTAACTGAACATGTCGCTTTTCCCGAACTAGAGATATGTAAGTAAGAACAACTGATGTTTCAAGGCACAATTGACATTTACGGAACTTGTACAGTAGAAAAGAATCTGAACGATGCCGAAATTCTCGAACGTGATATGCAGTGGTTATCTCAAGCACATATTGTTGTTGCTGAAGTGACCCAACCATCGTTAGGTGTGGGTTTCGAAATCGCCCGTGCGATTACACTGAATAAACCTGTTCTCTGTTTGTTTCGACCATCAAGTGGCCAACGTGAGTTGGAACGACTGAATAGAATCGTTTTCATTTGTTTCTTTTTCTCTGCTTTCCAAGGTCTTTCAGCATTGATACGTGGTTCTGCAAATAATCGCTCATTTTTTGTTGGAAATTACGAACAACGGGAAGATATCGAAAAATTTATTCGAGATTTTATGAGTTATTGTTCACAGAAGCGAACAGTTTGAGTTTTTCTCGATGAACTAACGTTGTTTTGAACTAGTCATTTCGATAGTCTGCATTTTAGATTTCTAAATCGATTGAAAAGAAAGAAAAACAAAGCACAATGGGTTTGACATTTTCATCACTTTTTCAACAATTATTTGGAAAAAAACAAATGAGAATTTTGATGGTCGGTCTCGATGCTGCCGGTACGTTTGATTTCACGACCAACAACGAAGTTCTTATCGAATATAACTTATTTAGGTAAAACAACAATTCTCTACAAGCTTAAATTGGGAGAAATTGTCACAACCATTCCAACCATTGGCAAGTGAAGTTGACTGAAGAATGAGCTGTTGACTTATGGATTTGATGATTTAGGTTTTAACGTTGAAACAGTCGAATATAAGAACATCAGTTTTACAGTTTGGGATGTCGGTGGTCAAGTAAGAATGTCTATCGAACTTTTCGATCTGTTAATATGACAATTTAGGATAAAATTCGTCCATTATGGCGACACTATTTTCAAAATACCCAAGGTCTTATTTTCGTTGTTGATAGTAACGATCGTGAACGTGTCGGTGAAGCACGTGACGAACTTCAACGTATGCTTTCCGAGGATGAACTTCGAGAAGCAACATTGCTCATATTCGCTAATAAACAAGTAAGTCAAACTACGAAGAAATTAACAGTTGTTGCTTTTGATAACAAACATTGTTCTTCACAATAGGATTTACCTAATGCAATGAACGCAGCAGAAATCACCGACAAATTGGGTCTTCATTCATTACGTAATCGTAATTGGTACATTCAAGCAACATGTGCGACAAGTGGTGATGGTCTCTACGAAGGTCTCGATTGGTTATCAAATCAATTGAAAAACGTGAAATAAATCAAACTAAAAGTATTCCATTAATTTCAATCGTCTCTTTTCTCCCTCTCTCTCTCTCATTGTGCGTATGGTTTGTTTGTCTTCTTTTCTTAAATAAAACAAAACACAGACTCATTTTATTCGTCCTATTTTTATTTCTGAGTTTTATTCAACTGTGAAGACATCCTAGAAACTATTGTTACACGAAATGTTTGTGTTTTCCTTCGTAGTTTCTCTGTTCATACGTCATGTGTTTGTTATAAGTTGACAAGAATAAAACGAATATCTTGCATGAATCTTGCCCATTTCTTCAATGAGAAAACAAACGATGCCGATGGCATGGAGTGTGCGATGTTTAGTTCAGTTTTAGATCGGTTCGTATGTCATTTCGATGAACACGTCCGCTTACCAGTACCTTTTTGGTAAGCAAAGAAAGCGAACTCTAATGCTCGGCTTGAAAGATTCGGGTCAGTTAAGTGCAAGTAGTAGAAATCGATGACGTTCTCTCCTTTCTCTAGGTAAAACAACAATTTTGAAGCGACTCAACTTAGGAGAAGTTGTGACATCCATTCCGACTGCTGGTGAAACAAGATTCTTTTCAATCTGATCATACGTATATGCATTGTTTCGCCGTAGATTTTAGTATGGAAATAATGAAGTATAAAACCAATACGATCGTGTCTTGGGATCTTCAAGGAAAGGTAAATGTGTATTTTAACGAACTTAAACTTGACCAGTTGTTGCACTTAGGAAGAACAACATGTACGTTGGCGTCCATATTTTCGGGACACGGCATGTAATAGCACCAGTTACTAATAAAACACGGCTATGTACAGAACAAAATATATTTCAGATCTTATTTTGGTGATTGATAGCGCTGATTACGAGTATATCAATGTTGCACGGGATGAATTGCATCAATTACTCTCCGAATCTGACCTTTCTTGTGCACATTTACTTGTCTATGCTAACAAAAGCGTAATTTCTAATGCTCACTTTTTCTCGAAATGAAACTCATCTTTATGTTTTCTAGGACCTAACGAATGCCATGAGTATTGCCAAGATCATAGATGAACTTGAGCTCGACTCAGTAAAAGATCGTCGATGGAAGGTGGAGCAAACTTGTGCCACTACTGGTGTAGGCCTCTTTGAAGGTTTAGAATGGTTGACAAAGCATTCCGAAAACTTTGAATGAATGTTTGTTTTTGTGGTTATTTATCTCGAATAAATCTATTTTTTTTTATTACTCGTGCGTTTTTAGTTCAATTATTCGTAGACAACAGATACATTATGATTGTTTTTAGAATGGAAACATGGCCAGAAGAAGTTGTTCGTGCATTTAATAGGTTTGTATTACACTATCATTCTCTGTCTCCTTTGTAAAGTGCTGCCATATGATTCAAGATCAAAATTCAATCGCGATGAAACGAAAAAATATGAATTAGTGTTGTATAAACCAATCGAACCAATCTTACAAGAAGGTCCTCAGTAAGTAATAGTAGTAATGAGGAAAGCTATCGCGTCAGATGTTTGCTTGACAGATGTGGAATTGTCGCTTTGGCAATGGCAATGAATAATCATTCGTGTAATGTAAAAGTGCAAAGTATCTTTGAAAAAGCAAAGGAACTGTTATATACCATTCAAGGTGAATTATTCGATGGTAAAGAAGTTCTAGAATCATATGCGAATTATTCTTATCGATTCACTTGCTTAGCTCGTGTCATACCACATCTTTGTGAGCAATTTAATTTGACTGCGACTGTTCATCAATGGGCAAAAGTGACGGATCTTGTTGATTGTCTTCAATCCGGATGTATCTGTCTTGTTCCGTAAGAGAAAGAGATTGTCTTGGATGTTTTTGCTTCGTAGTTCACAGTTTTCCAATCTTAATTAGATATGACTCCGATGCTAACCACGAACCATGTTTGAAGAAAGGTCATCGAGCACATTGGCTTCTTGTTCATGGTTATCTGAAGGAATTGACATCATCTCCATCGAACGAATATGATCTAGTGTTAGTACAGCATGGGAAAAGTAAATTTCTCGGTGCATTTTCGATGCTGGATCTTTTTCAAAGTAATGGCCAACTAGTAGACATCGATCCTAAACGACGAATAGACTCCGAATACTGTCTGCCGAAAGATGCATCGCTCAAAGAGACTTTGTGCAATTTGTTCGTAGCAATATAATCATGAAGTTATCTTGACCGAACCGAATCACTTGGTGACACATATATGTTTTGTTAATATGCGACATCTATCATTATTTTACCCATACGTATCCAATATATGTACATCTGTAAATAAACAATCATACCTATTGTAATTTGGTGGACGAAAAATAATCATTGATTCGTTGTATTGATATTCCACTATGACTATATTCGAAGGTTTGCTGAATAAATGGACAAACATTCTCAAAGGTTGGCAAACTCGTTATTGTGTGCTCGATCCTACTCAAGGAACGCTTGTTTACTATACAGTATGAGACGAAAAGCGAGAATTTCCTGTCCAACTGAGAACGACCATTTGTTTTAGTCGAGAGAAAATGTCCGTAAAGGTGAACGACGTGGTGTGATTCTATTGAAGGTTAATCATCCAGAAACGCATTCCTAATCATTTCCTTTCTTTAGGGAGCACACATAGGTATTGACGTCGAAGACGACACGACAGTAAGAAGATCTTTTTTTCGAAAACAACTATACGCATCATTGTTAGTTTACGATTCGATCTTACGGTAAAACATTCCATTTTCAAGGTGGAGTTTCATGTCCATTATCTTATCTTAGAAGTCAGGTCTTTTTCGTTTTGTTTCTTTCGTAGCCCGTGATATTGAAGAAAGACGAAAATGGCTATGTAATCTCGAAGACACTATTAGTTTTAATACTATTAATACTGTATATCATCGTATTCTTTCTGTTTGTTGTTATTATAGAAAAAAAACGATATTTTATTTATCAGGATAGATTATCATCTGTAAACACAACACTTTTTCAAAAGAGAATCCTAGAAGCTGATGGGATCTTACAAATATTAATTGACCGAGTAGAGGTGAGTAATTGACGATGCTTTACCGAATTTAAATGTCTTTTCTTTCAGGAATTAGAAGAAATCAGTAGTCAACGCCGAGCTGACGGAAAAGAAAACTGCTATGAACATATCATTCTGTCCTCTCGAGTAACTGGAAACTGATCTTGACAAAGACTTTTCTAAACGTTTTTCTTTTCTAGAGGTTAATCGAATCTGTTAAACACTCCATCGTCTCACTTCAGTTAGCAAAAGTAAGTATATTTCGTTTGTTCGACATACCCTTCTCCCCCACCTAGGTCAGACGGTATTTCTTAGACAAGGTTAACGATGATGTTTAAATAATGAGTGTGGAAGCTGGTTACTATACATATATATGTTATAGTTTTTCTCTCCATCATCCGTACAATATTCTTTGACGAACGAAGAACTTCTACTTTCGGTATGAAGAGCTGCAGGACATGTTTACTAATATAATTATTGCTCGTTTTTCCTGTTACTCGTAATGAGCATATCATAATTAGTAATTGAATTTTTAGAAACATATGGATCCGCAGACGGAAACTTTTCTGCCACCCATGAACGGTGATGATAAAATTACTGCAGACAACAATATTTCCCTTGAAGGTTTGCTAAAACAAGACTTTATATCAGTATCAATTTGTATGATATATTCTTTAGCCTTGAATATCCAAGACGCTGTAGAAAACACTGCAAAAGCTCCCACTCTAGCTGATTCTGGCAGTGATAATGACGACGACGATGACGACGAATTTGAAGATGCCAATGATACAATAGAGTGGGTTGCATATGTATTCTCTGCTTTAAATCATTTTGATTTATTAATTTAGAATATCTACATGTTCGCCGCTCTCTACTGAACAAGATGAAACACCGTAAGCGAATCCCACAGATTTATAATGAACATCTGTTTCTCGTTTAGTACTGCTGAAACTAATTCAAACATCACGTTTGAGCAATATGAAGCAGCGTATGAGGAAGCACCCGAAGACGATGGTTTGTTGTTCTTTCTTTGATAAAATATATAGTCATTGATTTTGCGATTTTAGTTGCACCAAACGATGGAACTATTATCAAGCATATCATTTCTCAGGTAAGGATTCGTAAATGTACAATGAAAATACATCATTCTTTTTTTTTGTTACGTCTTTCTAGTGTAGTTTATTTATGGATTTAACTAAAATAACATTACCAACATTTATTCTTGAGCGACGGTCTTTTCTAGAGATGCTCGCTGATTTTCTTGCACATCCAGATGAATTTGCCAAGTAAGCCCAACAAAAGAATTACTTGTATTCGTACACATTTTCCTCGATGTAGTATTACAGACTATCCTACGCCACGTGAACGCTTTATACAAGTTGTGAAATGGTATCTATCCGCTTTCCACGCTGGACGAAAAAGTCCTGTTCCTAAAAAGCCATACAATCCAATTCTTGGTGAAATATTTCAATGCTCATACGATATTGGTTTATCATCTTCTGAAGTATGCCGCACTCTTACTCTCGCCCATATTCACGGTTCATTTGTTTTTTGTTGTTATAGTCAACATTGACTAAAGATGGTCCCGTTCCATGGGCGTCGGATCACAATGTGACTTTCATTGCTGAGCAAACATCCCACCATCCGCCAAGTGAGTGCAATCGAACTGGTGTTGTGTTTCAATTGACAATAAATCTCGTTTCTTTCAGTTGCATCTTTTTATGCTGAATGTCCGGCAAAACGAATCCAGCTCGACGGATGCCTTTGGACCAAATCGCAATTTCTTGGTCTTTCTATAGGTGTTCACATGGTCGGTGATGCAACTATAACCTTACTTGATCATGACGAACGTTACGTATTAACATTTCCAAGTGCTTACGGCCGGTAAATACACAATCTTCTTCTTCGTTGAATTCATTCTATTCGTATAGTAACATTCTTCTTGTGCCTTGGTTTGAAATGGGCGGCAAAGTGTTGATTACTTGTGAGAAAACCGGCTACTCAGCAAATATTGAATTCTTAACGAAAGTATGCTGTATTAACGAACACTGCCTTTTATCTACGTTCATTGTATAGCCATTCTATAACGAAAAGAAGCATAAAATAACTGCCACTCTGTTTGGTCCAGATAAAAAAGAGTTTTGTAAGATCGATGGTGAATGGAACGGTGTCATGAACGCGAAATATAGCGAAGCAAAAGCGGCAGAAGTTTTCTTCGATACAAAAACGACACCGATCATCAAAAAGATTATTCGGCCAATTGCTGAACAAGATGAACACGAAAGTCGCCGGTAGTTTGATAGATAGAAAAAAAGAGTTCGAATGTTAGTCATTTGTTGTGCTGTGATATTTCAGTATGTGGAAAGATGTCACTTATTATTTAAAACACAAGCAAATGGATAAAGCTACGGCAGCGAAATCGTTTCTGGAGCAACGTCAACGTGAAGACGCGAAGCAACGTGCTGCAGAATCAGTTAAATGGCAGACAAAAGTATGTCAACATCTTGTCCTTTGATGTCCAAGTGCACTGCTTTTATATTTGATTGTAGTATTTCACTGAATCAGGTGAACAAAAATGGACTTATGGAAATAAACTATCGAAACGCATCCAATCGCAATCTTAAATTCCAAAATGGATTTTGATTTTTTTTTGTTTTTGACTTTTGTTTTCGTCATTTTTCCATGTATTTTTAATTACGCATCCGTGATTCTTTCCGATTATAACCGAGTGATATCGCAATCTATCTCACTCAGTCAGATTGGAGTCGATGTTTTATTTATTTGCAAAAAAAAGCCAAAGACTAATTGACGCATATCGGTGCTAGTTTTCACACATGTATATTTGTCTTTTTTTTCTAATTATTAATATATACATACTGTTCTATTCTATGTGCGTTGTTTAGATATTTGTTACAACAATAGAAAAATATGTCTTCCAAAACTGATGCTGTCTCAACGGCTAAATCTGGCGGTACGAAAGCACCAAGTTCCACAGCGAGTGGACGACCAGTATTGAAAAATTTAACACGTGCGAGAGTACCACGAGCTGGTCTCATTGGTGTTAGCATGGCGATAGTAGGCGCAGTTACATGGAAAGTACTAGTATCTGATCGACACAAAGATCATTTTACATCGTTTTATAAGTAAATGACACACATTGTTTTGCATAATGTATTTGTCCTTTTCTTAGATCTTTCGATCCAGAACGTGATTATGCTCGTATGAAAGCCTCAGGTGTTTTTAAATCTCTTGGTAAATGACCACTTGTTCAGCCAATCGAATGAACTGGGTTTATTGTAATCTTTTTTAGAGGGAGTTGAACGACCTGCTTGGCTTAGTGAATATGAAGGTGAACTTGATGCTGCTATTGCATCGTTACGTGGTAAAACCCAGAGTGAATAAAGTAAGAAAAATTCTGAACAACATCATTTCATGAATTTCTTAGAGCTCCTTTCTTTAGATCAACCAAAACGAACTACTGCTGTCAATGGTAATCTTTTTCATTGCGTTCCTGATAGCAGTAGTCTCCAACAAACATGATAAACATTTGGCTGCCTCATTCCCATATCTTTGTTCTCCGTTCAGCTTAGTTCCATAACGTCCATTTTGTTCCCCCTTGGTTTTTTTTCTTTCTTTTGTAATAAAGCTGATAACTGCTTAAACAGAAGCTTACTAAAATTCACCGAATACTCGAGATACATTAGTATTAGAACATGTTTTCTTCTAATGTTATCTAAACCTTGAGTATGAAATTCTTTGAGAATTGCGCGCTTTTGAATATGTTGGCTATATACTACGAAGTCCACACAACAGATTCTGAATCATTGAGTTTTTATCTAGGTGCTATTTTTATACAAATAGAATCTTCGAACATTTAAAAAATAACCTTGTGGCTTAACCTAAACTGCTTCTCTTAATACTCGTAATCTATACGACGCTGCATGTATAGGATCAAACAATTTGAAAATCCGTACTAAACGCCTGTTGACTGCTGCGGCGAGGAGAATACCATCGAATGTTTACAAAATACAATAAACTGCTACCTCATGATACGAAATAGCAGTTGAGGACACAGATACACTACATAAGATACATTTTGCTTTCCAAATGTCATTTGTGACGGTTGTGACTGGCGCCCAATGCCCATGACTGAAAATAAGTCTATACAAGTAGTGTTCATTGGCAGAAGAAATTCGCTGTGATTTTTGTATCAGTTTTCTGTATGCATCTTTTCGGTGAAATTTCTATAGAACAACAAGATAGCTGTGCAAAAACGTATTAGCAGTAGAGTTTGGTATGATTTTATTCCATGAAGTAGTAATAAGCGAGAGTAGCATTGATTTCGGTGCGAAAAAGAGAGAAACACTTATAATATGGGCCTGGCAGTTTCACGTGATACTTGTCCACCATTGTCGGATCATCATATAGAAAACAGATGTATCCTAATGACATTGCAACATGATAATAAGCAGAATCACGTGTTTAACATTCATCCAGATTAGCACAATCGTTTGCACAGTGGCGCGCAAATACTGCCCGCGAAACAAATCTTCGACATTTGGGACATTCATCTGTTTTTCTACCGCAGATTAGTACATGGTCTCGCTTTGAGAATGATGTCAGTGGTTCTTCACAGAATGGACATGTGGTGAAATAGTTTTCGGCGTTGGTCATCTAGATTATGGAAAATAAATGAGCATTTGTGAAAGATAGTGTCTCAGGTAACAGTCGATATTTCTTCATATGCCTACAAATTGCGAGTTTACCTGAGTTGCATCATGTTTTGTATTGCGACGTGTGTTATTGCTTTGCTCGACTAAATTAGCAGAAAAATATAAGTTGTGATTCTCAAACGTGAATACAAGTGGCATAAGACATCTTACTGCTATGTAACCATGTACACTACTTACTCATCATTCAAAGGAAAGAAAACTTTCATACCATTGAATCATGTCGTTTGATTTCTTACATCTTCTATATCATAGTCAAATGTGAGAATATACTGTTTAAAGCTATTCCTGTCAACAGCAACCGCTGAGAACTAACGATAAACATCTATTTATTGTCACTCGAGCGATGAGCAATACATTTGATGTACCGTTGTTCGATTTAATCTAATATGAATGAAGTTTCGTTTACACTGAACAATAATAGATTCAAAGAAATGACCCTTATAAAACTCATTAACAGACTCTCTACTCGTTAAGATATTGAGCTCTTCTAATCAGTCAATTTACCTGGTGTCATCACACTTATTTTAGCAATGAATGGTGCATTATCTTTTTGAATCACAATATTTGGTACATTGAGAAGTTGTTCTTTCAGTTCATCTAGCTCTCTATTCCAGTAATCAAGATCCATTTCAAAGAAGTCATTTTCTTCTTGACTTTGTTTTATCTTATCTGTTAACTTGTGCAGTTTATCATCTAATATAGTACAATGTTCAAGAAGATGTTGCGATAATGTTTGTCGAGTATCAGCTGCCACTTGTCGGATTTTCTTAATCGAATCATTTTCCCATCGAGAAATCTCTTTCATATAAGTATGCTGTTCCAGCAGTTCCACTTGTGTATCAGTAAGTGCTTGTCGAAATAGATCACGTTTCACTCCAACGGCATCCAGTTGATTGGTTAGGTCTTCTCGATGCTTCGGAAAATCCGATAAACAAAAAATTCTCAAGCAACCTTCACATCGAACTCCACCCTTTTCTTTTCCACAGATACAGCAAGACGCTTTTCTAGTTGCCATTCCTTGTCTGTTTGTATGACGGTGTTTGAAAACAGTCACTCGGAAGAAGAGAAGCGATACTTTTAAACTTTTTAAAATCTTCTTTTGTCAACACCATAGAAAAGAAAAATACCTTTCACCTTCAGTGAATCACACGTGGCTTACACTTCACAGAATATGTTTATGACGAGATCTATACCGAAAAAAAAAAAGAAGTTCAGATAAAATTTTCTCAAAGTTTGTCGAATGAACGATAGTATCATCCTCAACTTTGAAGCGAAGGTAAACGAAAAGCTTTTTGATACTGTGCCTCAGTAGCCGCTTTGTCAGGATTTTTCTGGCATATTTTCTATTTGATAAAATGGTCATAATAAGGTTTCAATCAATGAAATAATCATTACCTCGTGAAATGATAGAGAAAATGCATGTGGTTCGTCTCCACAATATTTACAATGCTTTAAGTCGGTAGCTACGTTTTGGTTGTCAGTACTGCAAAAGTCAAATTACATAGTATAGCAAGTGAAACGTAAAGACAAACCTGGATTCATTGTGTTGCCGTTCGGCATATTGTTGAAAACACGCTGTCTACATAACTGAAATTCTATAATTGTCCATAATATCTAATGAAGTTTTACTGTGTGTTGTTGATAGTGCTCCCATTGAATTAATTGTCTGCAAAACTCACAAGGAATCTCAGTGGACTGATTGGAAGGATTGACATAATCTTAGAAAATTAACGAAGCTATTTAGAAAATCCTGCAGTTCCTTGGATTACCCAGTTGAGAGTCTGCGGTGGGATCGATTCGTGATTGTTGTTTTTTTGCTCTGGCATTACTTGGATTGCGTAAACAATTATTCTAAGAAAGAAAAAGGTAATTAGTCAATGACCGAGACACCATTGATGTTCACTTCATGTATCTCTTGTTCGACTTTCTCACATTGTTGATGACAGAACTGACAACGAATAATGATTTTGCTTTGCTGTAATGCGCTACTTATAGCTGGTATGCGTTCCGAGATGCTACGCTGATTCGAGGCAGCACTTGTTTCATTCTCCAGTTCGTCTGGATCGACACAGCGATTTTCATAATGATAGGCAAACACAGCTCGACGAACAAACTTTCTGCATCGAGGACATTCATCGGTTTTATTACCGCATATGAGTAAATGGTCTGCTAATTCAGACTCTTGTAATTCTTTATCACAGAACATGCATGGCCGGACTCGTGTAGAACCTGTCTTAGACATAATACGTTAGATCTGAAACGGAGACTGATGAGAGTCTGATGAGATTTATTCAATCTTTTTTGTTCGCTCGTGCGTTTATTTAAAAAAATGTACAGCAAACATATTGACAAGTTACACCAAGAGTTCGGTTTTAGAAGAATATGCTTCTTGTTTCTGTTCAAGTCGTTTATTGTCACATCTAGCTTATTGTATGTGTAGTACGGACAATCTATATTACACCTTTAGTTATTATTTCGACGAGGATTTTTTGTGCAATACATCTATAGGCGAAGAAAATACCATCAAAACATGGTACAGTTTACAAGAAACTTCTACCTGGTGGGACGAAATACTATTTGGGAACATAGGTATATTACAAAACATGCATTTTATTTTTTGAATGCCATTTGAAATGGTTGTAATGGGCGACCAATGTCCACGTCTGAAAGTAAGTCAATACAAGTAATATTTATTGACGAAAGAAACCCACTGTGACTTTTGAACTAGTTTTCTGTGTGCATCTTCTTGACAAAGTTTCTATTGAATAGAAAGATAATCATACAAAAACAAGTACTTCTAGTGAACGTACAATATGTCTGTCGTAGTCATTCCATTCAATTCCTTGTTGGCAATATTCACAGGGAATCAGAGCACCATTATAATCAGAATTGTTCACAGTATGTAATTGATCTAAGAAACGAACATATGAGTTAAGTGTGATTTCATAGTATGAAACAATTGTCAGCTGAGAATAGTATTGTTATCGAAGTAAAAGCATGGAAACAAACTAGGAACGACAGCGTACTGAGATCTGGATAGAAAGAGTTATTGGTACCGTGCTGTTGAGTTCTTCGTATATTTTTCGGATTGCGAAGACAGTTCTCCTGCCAACCATGATAATATGAATGACGAGGCTACTCCGAAAGAATGATTACAATGTTCCTACTTTGTGTATTTTTTTGTCTTTTATATCGCAATTGTAATTACAGTATGCACATTTATAACTTATAGGTATTACCATTGAACTTACTAGTTCAGTTTTACGATAGTCATGATCATTTGTTGAGCCTGTATCTGGATCAGCACACTTATTCTCATAATGATACGCAAATATCGCTCGTCGAACATATTTGTGACATACAGGACACTGATCAGTCTTATTACCACACATCATTAGATGTTCAGAAATAGCGTCGATTGATTGAAAATTCTTGTTACAAAATGAGCAGCTAACATTTGAATCCTTAGGGGAAAATACCAAGTTACTCACGAGAATATAAGCGAAAGTTGGACTTACTCCTTCAGCCATATGTATTTTCTAATCTAAAAATGAATAACAATTATATGAAATAACCGAAAAGAAAATAGCATGACTGGTTTCGTCATAGGATGTGAGAAAACTTAACGTCATCGTTTGCACACCGCGATACTTCTTTTAGTGGGAAAAGGTAAGAAAATTACTCATAGGTCATGACAGTAATTGGTAAGAAACGAAAATAGCTTCTATTTCACCATTTTGATGATTCTCGTTGATGTCATAACAAATCATTGAAAACAACAACACAATTCATTGATGTACTACTTCCATAATACTTCAAAGTGAACGATTTGACTCTCAGTACAGATGTTTTGAAAGCCACTCGGTCTGTTTCTCTTTATTATTTATTTGATGTCAAATCCAATGAATCGTATGTTGTTTCTGATTCTCTCCTGCAAGCGATGTCGCAAATGAAGAAGAAAATATGCTCTTTTCTTGTTAATTTGTCTTTGCCTCGCATAATCAATCAACTGTTATAAAAAAAAAAGAAGAAGAAACAAGAAAACGAAAACAACAGAACGTGTTGCAAGACTATTCATTGACGTCAGATAAATCAATACCAGTTGAGCCTGCATCATCTAATTCTAAATCAAGCATGTCTTCAAATAACGATTCATCGACTTCAACAACTTCACCGCCTGGAAGAAATGATTCACTAGGAGAATATTCGAAGAAACGTAAAATATTTTACCTTCACCGGAGATAAACTGAATATCTGAATCATAGAGTGAACGATCTTTTTCGAATAATTGTCGGCCAGTTAATTTCTTCAATTCAGTTTCATCAACTTTAACAACTTTTTTTAGTTCATTTTGTTCAGCATCGAATTTCACCTTCCATTTAATGAATGATTCGACAGTAACACGTGTACCTTCAAACCGTTTATGTTCTGCTTCTTCTTCTTCACGTTGTCTTCGTTCGAGAGCTTCTCGTTGACGAATTTGTCGATTTTCAGATTGAATACTCAGCTTTTCAGAAAGATCACTAGCCAATGTGAATATCACCGGCATACCAAGATTTTCTTCACACTAAAATACCGCTATCAATTGCTTATCAATGACCAAAATGAATATATTTACGATTTTCTGAATTTCGCTATCGAACGCGGATGTATCGTCAACATTCGCGGAATCAATAATTGTTATTTGTGGTGCTTGCTCAGGATAATTCTCATGAAAAGTTATTTCCAGTTGAAGAAAAGCTGAACGCAAAGGAAACCATGTGATACAAATATCAATGATCAGAAAGACTCACGTTTCAAACTGTCTTCATCATTAGTTGTTGGTTTCACCATGAGCGTGAACTTAGGAAACGGATCCTCGGATAGTACTGTACTAATTGGAAGATGAATGTATAAATCAAATACAATGGATTAGCTCGAAAACAAACCTATAATTTCATCTGGATAGATGGAATTGAGTGCCTCGATTTCTTGTAACTGTTCTTCTTTCGCTGACATGCTTTACTTAATCTAGAATAATGAGTAAGAATTGGAATGAGAATGAGAATGAATTAACAAAAAGAAGAAAAGAGTTAAATTAGAATATGGAACAAAATATCATTTTTTGTGTGAAAATTAAATACAATTCATTCAGTCGGGTCGGACGGTTTTGCATCTGATTTTGATGATTTGTCTTTATTATCATAGAATTGAAGGCGACGTTGTCGAAGTTCTGAATACATACGTAAATCTCAAAATATCTCATCAGTCAAATCAGTTTACCTTCTATAGTAGGTTCTGCTTGGATAACAGGTTCTGGAGCAGGATTCTCCTTTTTTGTTTCGATTGAGTCATTTTGTAAACTAGCAGCAATCGCTTCTTCAAGTAATCTTTTATTCGCTGCATCATCCGCATCTCGTAATGATTGAGCAAGAACCTTTTGCAATGCTTTGTCTTCCGCATTATCTAACTCAACACTCGCTTTTATTGCACGTTGAATGTCTTGGTCGTTGAAGGCGGCCGATGATGACGATGATGTTTTCGTAGTTGATGACGACGTTCTGTTCTTGCTGTTTCTTTCAGCATCGGTACGTTCAACTAACGAGCGATAATACGCAGGATCAATCGTATTATTCAATAGTTTTTCATCCGCAAAGCATGGCGGTAGAAATCCATTGATGATAAATATTGAATATCCACTCTGTTGTAATTGTGCGAGATATAATTGCAAATATGTATTTGAAACTAGTTTAGGCATGGTTGAAATCGAGTTTAAATCAAAATATTGTGAGCCAAAACGTCGAATGGTTAACCAATGTTCACGTAAATTACAGATATACGCTTGGACTGACTGTGGATCTGCACGCGCTTGTTGAGCCAGAGGATGTTGGCTTGCATAGGGAACAAGTTCAATATCAAATACTTCTAAAGCTTTTTGCAGAACTTGAATACTGAAAAATCCCGTATCTAAATCAATTCAAGCAGCAGTCGACGAAATATATAAGAACTTTCTTAACGAACCATCCATGTTTTCTGATTCACCGGATCGATGTCCTAGCACACTACTCTCTTGGTCATCGATAGCACTGAAACATAAAATGTTCGTATAAGATAACGACAACTTAGTTCCGTCATACCGTGCAATATCTGCTAGGGTAATAGCTGAGAAATATTCACGTTGTAACAAATTATTCAATGCATGTTGAGCGCAAAGTGAGCCTTCTTGTGTTTCATGATAAATACCGGTCAATCGTTCAACTTCGTTCATATCGATGTATACAAAGATATCTAGAAGAAGTTAGTTGATTATTTTGAAAATCTATCTGAAACTTGCTTGCAACGTCATTTTTGTTCATCAATTAATGCATCCGATACTCGAATACTCGTTTGTAAGAAGAAAAACGGAAGATAGATGAATAGAATTTTACTTCTGAATTATATTTAAGTTGTTCTCGAAGAAAAGATAATTCACGTTGTTGAGAAGTTCACAGATCAATAACAGACTGATTACATAAGAAAAAAAGTCAAACACGATGAATAAAGTATAGATTTAAGAAATAAATAAATCAAAGAGAGAAGGAGAACCTAGATTGTATCCCCGAAATCGACCAACAGCAATAACAAGATTGAAAGAGAATATACTTTTTATGAGAATAAATAAAAAAAAACGCGTTGGGTTTATATGTCTTTTTATTATTAAGGAAAATTTCGATGCATTCTATTTTTTCTCGTGTGAATTATCACCACCAAAATGAAGATGTTCGTCGTGCGTAGCACTTGCACTCATACTTCCTCCACTAGCACCATGAAGAGGCTCACTATCGTCGCCATTGAAATCCATTGCTGATTTCGATGGAACAATTTTCGATTTAACTGCATTCACAGTTGAGCCAACTGTATTTTCGAATGTTTTGAAATAGCTTGAATCTGAAATGAAAGTGTTGACTGAAACGAGAAAACTCCTTTGTCTATCGTACTTCGGAGAGAGCCAAGACCAGATTTCAATGATGAATTCACTGTTTGTAAAGTTGGCGCAATTTTTTCCGAAGCAGCACTGAATGTTTCGGCTGTTTTTTGATAAGCTGTTGTTGATTTGATGTCACTAACAGTATCGTTCCAATCTTGCTTCAAATCTTCAACGAAACCGACACCTAACAAAGTTTTCAATTCGTGTTCGCGTTTCAATTTAGCACCAAGAACTTGACGTAGTGTTACGATTTCATCTTGAACTTTCATCAATTCTAATTGACAGTACACGTAAGTGGACATCGTAAAAAGCAAGTGAAGGATTTACCCTGACGATAATCTTCTTCTTGTTTAAGACGATCATCCTCGCGAAGAACGAATTGTTGTTGATTATTGTTAATACCTGAAGCTGATGCTTCCTCATCGAATGGTTTTGGCATTTTTGTTGATTGTTGCTTGTCCATTGCCCTTTTTTTCTAAAGAATCGTGATCTGCAAGTAAAACATTAACTACAAACAAAATTTCGATTGAGAAAACAAAACTTCGTTCTATCGATTGACTCGCATTTGAAATAATCTTACACCCGGCAAAGGTCATTCCTCTTTTCATGACGACGACATTTGTTTTACGTATGGTTTCTTTTTCTTCACAAAATATCGCCCGTCGATGCTTACTCAATATAGAACGAACGACCGAATTTACGAAGATAAAATTATGAATCAAAGCACCGTTTCAATGATATCTGCAATGAAATAGAAAAAAAGATATATAGTTGTTATGAATTGCTTGCTTTGTTTGCCTTAAATTGAATTAAAATATTAATAGTTAATAGATAATTTCCCGATGTTCGATATTTAACATAAAAATACAAGAGACAGAAAACAAATCGAATAGCACGAACAGATCAGAAGAAAATAAAGAGAATAGAGAACAAGGCTGAGAAAGATATATTTGACCACTCGATTGAGTACTGTTCGAGATCGAAGAAACAGATCATAGAGCATCGTAATGAAACGCTTGCGCTTGAACTTTACGTTCGCGATCATCTTCCAGCTAAAAAACAATATTCATCCTTCAGAAACCAAATTTTCGGTGCACGAACCTTTTCACGATATTGTAATATAGCAAGTGCACCAGCTAACACAACCAGTGTTACACCTAAGGCAATGCCTGTATGCAAAATCATTCGACTCGGTGTGATGAAAAGTTTGCTATGCCATCTAAAGCAACGGTAAGAAATTTTGTTATAAATCTTTATAGGGATAGGTGTGTTTTACTTTTCAGGATTCATTAGTGGTGATGGAACAACGACTATTTGAGAGTTAGGAATCATTTGCGTATAAGTTCGAATTAGTTTATTCTACAAAGGAGGAAAGTTTGAGGGTTCTGATTGAAAATAGATGAAGATGTTGGCAGTACAAACCGATTCCATATTTGGTGGTACTCCAACAGTTATTTTTTCAACGAAATTTGGCGTTGAGCCAAGACCAATAATGACATATGGAAGTTCAAGTGTCATTTGACCCGATTGAGCCATTTGGACAGCTAAAGGACGCGTTTATAGCAAAAGAAGAGTATTTTCGTTATCCATACCTGCCAGTTTCACCCAATAATCTTTGATGCCATTCATAATTGTTATTGTTTCCATTTTAACCGATTGTCCCGGTTGGTTGTTTCCATATGGCTACAATTGAATACGAATTTCAACTCAAGTCATCTCCTCCTCAAACTTACCAGCTTCTTTTGACGTGAACATGTCTCGCAGGAAAACGTACTGATAACTAGATGGAAATAATACAATAGAACGGAGAGGACATGTGGCCTATACTTATTTACCCATGACTTTGATGAAATGTACGTCTTGTACAAGAGAATTTTGAAAACCAATCAGTTTAAAATTCTGATTTTTACTTCCTTGTAACACAAGCAGATCGAGATAACCCTAGCAAAAAAAAGGAGATGAAACATCTGACAAACAATATCTTGGACTATTACATTTTCTAACACATCGAAAAAAACGGCCATGGTTGCATTAGTTGCAGCTAAGATAAATGATTCTTCTCCTTGCGGTGTGAATGTTCGATTGTAAGTACACGGTGTATTTACATCGCTTTCACATGGTCGATTTTGCAGAACAATAGGAACGGTACTTCCTGAGGAACTAGAATAACAACAAATCAGTTGAGGTGCAGAAATCATATCATTGTTCGACATACGTTTGTCTCATCACTGCCACCATGTCGGGAAAACCATCGAGATTATAGTCCGCAACTTTGACACTCAGTGGTATTTGATCGAGTGGTGATGGAAGTTCTTTGGTTAGAGGAAATCGGACACCGTCTCCAAATTTGATCGGTAGTAGATGCCACTAAAAGCAGCGCATGATATTTTAGAAAAAGCGAAATAGCATTACTGCTAGTACATACTGCGTCGTCATCTCGTACATAAATTTGACTTTTACTACAACTAGTATCCATGCAAACCGGAAGAATGTGTTCTAATTCTCCATCGGCATCTAGAAAACAAATTTTATGTTTATAAAGATGGTAAAATGAAGTGACTTTTGATCCTTACCAATATCAGCAAAAGTTGATAGATGATAAATCGCAATACCAGGTGGTGGATCGTATTCTTTGTACAATTTGAAAGTTTCGATTGGTAGCTCATAGATGCGAAATTTCGGTGCATTGTTCACGTCGAGTGTTAAAAATAGATCTAATCGGTTAAAACAATAAGCATCCGTGGCTTTCAACTGAATAACGCTAACCTGCAACTAAATCATGATTCAGATCTACTGTCGCTTGCGTCGCACCTGACCGAAGTCGTTCGGCGACAGGTAGATCTCTGATGCGAAATGTCATACGATTTTTACTAAAAAAGATATTCCAACGATTTGTTTTGTTTCAAGAAAAAAGAGCCGGTCTTACAAGAAGAGACAGGCTGGTTTAAATGTTGTATTATCAGTACTCATCATTCCTAGCAATTCAACATACGAATCACCATTTGCACTGGAATGAAAGAAAAAGCATAAGATTATCAAAAAGATATTTCTCGAACAATTAACTAACTCGAGTGTTGTAGGAATATTTTCGAACAAATACTCAGTCGGATGCAATTCGCCTAGGAATGATTGAAAATAGAATAAGTACAACAATAATATTCGATTTCTTACTTAAGTTAACACGATTACCCCATAGAATTCCTCCATTGTACCCAATCTGGTCACTTTTTGTCTTATAAAGCACAAACAAATCCAATTTACTATCGCCATCAAAATCTGCTGCCGATGCATCGTAAATAATACCAGTTATATTCACTTTACATATCTCTTTCGATGTTGTCGATCGGTCATCATTGACCATAATTTTAATTTCGTCACCTAAAACCAAGAACGGTTGACCGCTTCAGCTCGCATGTCACATTTACCTTTGGTATTTCGACAGAACACATCGACTATCTTATCAGCATTAAAATCTCCGAATGCTAATGGAATACAATCATCGATGGCAAAGTTTTTATTGTTTCCGAAATTGATATCGAAGACACGTTTCTCATCGCCGTGATTATTAGAAGACTTTTTCGTTGAGTCACTTTTCCCACTGGCAAATGTTTGGCAAACGAGGGCGAGAAGGAAAAAATGACGAAAAAAATGTGAACTAGGTAAAATACGGAATTGCTTCACATAATTCATATCATCTACAAAAAAAAACTTTCAATTCTGATTTATTTTCTCATCGTTGTGATACTTGTAGCGCGTTTTTCTATGGGCTAAATGAAGAAAAACATCACTAGACGTAAATTAACATTATTCATCGACTGCAAAGAAACAAACGTGTGCATGTCGTCGAAAACGTAAATCATAACAGACGGAATACTCACTAAGTAAGCATCAATCACACAGTGTTTACATGGTTGGTTCAAAGTTCTGTTCAATAGAATTAATCAATAACTTTTCCGTGGAAATATCGACAAAAATTAACATAATATTTAGATAAATTATGTGAGTATGTATCATCTGAAACTACACGATATTTTTCTCGATATTTACACCGTAAACAAGTGCGACATCTGTCAACACGAGAAGGTGCTTATTAGGACTTTTGCGCGGATAGCTTTTGGGTAGGAAAATATTGACATAGGACATTGAACTAACATTGAATTCAGTAAAACACAAATCATTAGTGTTTAGCAATTGTTTTTTCATTCCAGCGTATTCACATAGCTCTTCGTAGGTAAAGAGTATCACGTTGAAATACCCCCATAACTAGACATTCTCGAAAACCCATAAGGCATGAAAAAAGGGAAATATTCCTCGTAAAATAGAGAGAGAAAGAGGGTGGGTACACAGAGGGGAAAGAAATAACAAAGAGAGCGAGTATAATACATGTTGAAACTACAGATTATATCATTCACTTGCCGAATACATTGCATCGCGTACACTCGTTCGATAAGATTCAAGTCTAATAAATCAAGTATACAGACGAAATATGAAATCGACAACGTTTGCCCCACCCGGATATAGCCAAACAATTTCCGATGAGCTTATAGGTTTGTTACACCGATTTCTATATATTTTCACAAGAGAATCTTATAGTTGAACCCAGATACGTACTATACGAAGCCTATAGTCGAGCTATGAGTACGCCTGTTCTATAATGCATTTATAATACATAACGTCTTATCTTTTTACTTTCCATACAAGGCCTTGAGACAAATGATGGTCCGAAACATATATATATATATTCTTCTCTTCTACTAGGTTTCGACCAAGCACTGCCTTTACTTACTGTCGGAGTTATCAGTATAGTGCTCGTCGTTGTGTTTGGCTTTATTCTTTGTCATATGGATATGAAAAGTGATCACTGTAAGGATGCTAAAACAATAGATTTACTTTTTAATTGAATATTATCTTTGTTGTGTATCTTAGCGTATCAATCACGTGGCATTTATGTCGAAAATTAAACAATAATCCTATCTTCATCGTAGTTCGTTAGCATTTTCAAGTAGATATTTGATGTTCATTTCATTTTATTTTTTTTTCTTCTTCTCGTTTTTGTTGCTTCTATGAATGTTGTTATATAAAAAAAATAGAAGAATGAAAACAAGCAAATATGATTAAAACACCAGTTTACCATCGGTCATCGTATGAGCACTAGATACATGGCGAGGAAAGAAGTATTTCACAGAATTCACGGAAAAACAATAGAAGAAATATTTGCTACAAAATAAGACAAGCGAAAGAAAAAGCTGCAGCATCTTCCTTTCCGAATCTTGTTTTGCAGGAAATCATTGAGTCAAAGACAAAAACAAAGGACTAAATTGTTCATCTTGATACACATCGTATACTTCATTTCTAATAAATACAACACGGAGATTCGCAAGTGGAAAGAACGGAGTTGGTCAGATCTTACACCGGGACTTGGCTAAACTTAAGTAAATATTATCTATACTTTCTTGTGCTGTGATGAACTGCATATTTCAATTTCTTGCTTCGCTTTTTGGAGGTTAACCTGAATTTAATTGAATCATTTTTCATGAATCGAATTGTTATCGATGGCCATTGTAGAAAAGTGTTTGAATGATACGTTGTTTTCAACTTCATATTTTTCTTGCTCTTTTTGTATGCAACACTCTGTCGTACGTGCATGTCAATGAATTTGATGTGACACACGCAGACGGTGTTGCGTAATCCTCAGCTAGGATGCTTTTTATAATAGCTATAGATTAAATCATGATCAATTAAACAAGCGATTTGATGATCGGTACGATCATAATCCAAGTATAAAAATGATTTCCGATGACGATCAAGGCTTAAGTCGGCCTGTTGGAAAGAAACCGTATGACAAGACGTTTTCACAGGACAAAATATTTACCTTTCCACCAAAGATTGTTGTTGTGAACTTGCCTGGATTGAATATCTTAACCACTTTATCAATGATTTCATTGTACTGGTGGTACGGTACATTAGTTTCGAAGCTGACATACGAAAAATCTGGTTCCGGTGTGATATGAATGGTAAAGTAATAACCATCAGGCAAAAGACCATTCATTGAATACCCACATGGATCGAATAGATAATCAAAGATCTTCGCATTCGGAAAGATTTTGTCAATGCCAGCTTTCTACAGAAAGAATATTAATCATCAAGGAGCTAATCGAACTCTATGTAGAACAGTTGCTCTCAAAACTATGGTGCTTTTTCATTGTTCTTCTCCTCTATTAATACAACCCGAACGTACTTGTGTCGCTTCAGTCGCTGAGCTTGTATTTTCTTGGTAGAAAATTTTCATTATGTTCGGATCAGGATCGGTCATGATCACCTCCAATGTCTGAGTTGATTTCGTGCCAACGCATGACTTGTCAAGCGTGTATAAATACCTAGGCAAATAGCGTACTTCGAACTTTTCGATTGAAAAAAGTGCATCAAGTTTGCGTCGAGTTAATTTCTCTTGGTGTTATGTCGACATATGAGATAGCGTAAATAGTTTCAGACTATCTAACTTCTCAATTTTCGTATTCATTCAGCTGTTTTGACTCACCAACAATCGACGTTTGTGCGACCGAGAACATAAGCACTGCCGCCTACAACAAAAATGTTTTTTAAAGTTAGCGTGTCTACCAAGTTAGGAACATATGCTCGTATTTACCTTCAAAGCACGAATCGAGATAAGCGACCTAAAATTGATAAGTGTAGAAAAACGTAATCGGATTCCAAAGTCCATTACTTCATGATCGAAACTCGTGTGTGGTGCTTTTTGTAATTCAGGACGAAGAAATTTTCGGCGACTATAATAAACTTGCTTAAATAAACAAATGAGCAGATGATTAGATTTTGCAAGGTATTCATTTTCATTTTTCTTACATCAACTACATCGAATCCACAATAATCGCGAGCAAGCCCTAACAATGGTTGAATAGCGTGGAGTAACGTTGTTTCTCCACATGTTTTCAACACCAAATGTGTACGAAAAACAAACATGCTTGATTCGCTCAATACATATGTATCCGTTGTATCTGATTGAGCGTATCGAAGCACTTTGCAGTTGACCAAATCCAGGACTTCTTCCATAAGATCCCTGTACAAGATAAATAAACATATGAATTATCGAATTGTTCGAGTAATTTACCGAGGAATATTTCGCAAGTCATTTTGTGGCGTTGGATTATTTGAATCAGTCGTACTTGACGTAAACCAAAGTTCCAATAGTTTCTCAGCGCCCTCAAAAAAATGGCCGGTCATTCGTGTTTGCTTACTTGACGGATAAGGACGACAAAAGATCGGTGATTGTACTGAGTATCGCTTTTCTTCTACAAGTAACGTATGATATTGTTGCGTTTATATATACATACAGATAGATAGATATATATACGATGTCAACATTACATTTTTTTCTCTCTTTTCCTTTTCTTTTCTCTTTTTCTACGTTGCGCTCGTTGAATCGCCATCGAAACAACACAACGAGTAGCAAAATTACCCTTGTCGGCAATCGGTAGAAGTATAAAGGAATCTCACGCTCTCTATTCTATTCTCATACTTGTGTTTTTCTTCCTGCAGCTCGAAAACGAGATTAATTATATATGGAAAAATAGGTTGTTTTCTGACCTGTTTACTAAAGTAAAGCCTCTTGTCAACCCATTATTTACGTGTTTTGATAACGCTTTTACGCAATTAAGTAATCATTCGAAATGTACAATCATACATTGACTATTTTGCCCACTCTTAAGAAAAAAATAAAAATAGGCGCTTGAATCCTTTTTGTCCGGCTGTATAATGTCCTCACAAAAAAAACAAATGACTACGTAGGAAGTTTATTTGCACAAGGCGAGTCGAGGTCACAGATGGTATTATGCTGAGAAAGTTGTTGTCTTTGTTGAATTAGATTGTTGATCTTCTTAGACATTGTCACTTAACCAATATATTTATTTTCATAGTCAATTCAAATTGCGAAGCAGACAACGATTAAAATACAAAAAAAAAAAGCTTTCTTGATTGAGCGATATTGTAATAATTACATTCTTGAACCACGTTCTTGCAAAATCTGAAATTATTCATTGATTGAATTATCTTTTCTCATTTCCTATTGGTTCCTTACTTTTACTCGAGGTGATAAACAACTACTGTTCTCTTCTCGTACGTTTCGATCGTACTGTTTGGAAACTATACACAAAAATTCACCCTCGGGATAGATATAACTTGACCCAACAGGCGAGTGGCCAATAAGCTAAAAATTCCCAATATCCGTTTCTGATTTGTTGCCGTATATCTCGCTACGAACCTGTTCAAATTTCCAACCGTCAGTTAATGAAGACATCAGATGTGTAATTTCCTTCTCTTTGCATTGCATTACACGATACACACGGTTTGTTGTTCCCTGAAGCAGAAAGAAAAAGAAGTATGAACGAGAAATTCATCAGAACAGATTTGACTTCATTCGTTACATCATCAGCTTTTCGTTTATCTCGTTCACGAATTCGTTCTTTGACGAGTTCAATTAACGTCTGAATGTTATAAAATTCTGCTTCTTCCAAGACGCCTTCCTCGACAAGATTGTTTTCCAGAATTAATTTTCCATGACGAAGATAGCTAAGAGAAAGTCCCGAGAAATTCAAGTTTACAAACAACACTTCCTTATGTTTTACTTCAGAACGACATTGAAATAATCTGGATCACGATCAATTAAGAAGCCACCTTTGTCATCCTTAGAAATGCAAAAATCAATGAATAATTAATTCGACAACCTTCACTTACTAAATCAGTTTTCAAATCGGAATTTGACTGACATAAACGACCAAGAAAGGACTCTTCTTTCAGCAGGGTTGACCGTGTCGTTAAGAAATGTCTTCCACCGACATTCAGCAAAATCCAGTCGCTTTTAGTATCGAATAATTTCGATCGTGTGTCAATACTACTCAGCGATATCGTTTCAACATTATCATCAACTGTTAGCATTCTATAAAAGATAAAGATGAAATCAAATTTGACATGTTTATGTTGAACATTTTCTCTTCCTTCTTCCTGCGAATATTGATTGATTATGGTATAAGCCCAATAGGTGTCTACTAGATGGCAGTAATGACAAACATGGAAAGGTGTTTCAACATAGTGAGAGAGTAAACTGGAGATTACACGCGTATTTATATCATATCATCGTTCATCGGTAATACAACATGATTACTTTGTAATGACGACTATTTTTTGTCAATTAAACTTATTATAGGGATGTATTTTTTTTGCGAAATATTCACAGGTACCTTGTCATCTATTATCAATAAATGACAAGATCATGATTTTTTACAGAAATTTTGATGACGATATTCCGTTGTTGGTCAAGCATTCATCTGCGTATCATTACTTCATCGCAAATGCTGTCGACATGTTTCATACAATCGGAAGTACATATCATTGTCTAGTTGCGAATAAACTCCAGCACGCTTTCAATTTTGTATCCTCCATTGAGATGAATATGTCACAAAATGAATGATGAAACCTATAATTTTCGATATCTCATTAAACTTTTCGTTTCGCTTGTCATCTCTCATGATGACACATGTATACTTATCGACGATGTATTTTATTATTATATTGTTTTGTCTATAAATGCCAAGAAGAACATGACAAAAAAAAACCGAAGGAAAAGAAATCTTGCTTGTTTATATGTGAACACATGTGTCTACTGAAAAATAAATTTAATCTGTAAAAGATGGCACGGAAGCAACATCACCGGTATCATTAGAAGTTGATTGTCGAATGATAGTTTGCATCATGTTGATGATTTCAACATTGTACTGAGCGACTTCATTCGATGCAAAACCAAAATCAAGGTATCCATGTGGCCATTCATCGACTACTATGAAATGGTGTAGAACATTGAGTGCGGCCAATCGTCGAGCAAATTCAATATTATCATCAATAAATGGATCTTCGAAAGTAAAAGAAAAATGAGATGAACACTTTTTCCGAAATGTGGTTCGTAGACTTACCACGTGCACATGGCTAAAAATAAAGAACATAGATTAGGTATACATAGTTTAGATGTTGGCTCGAAAGAAAATGAGAAAATACAAGTAGGTAGGAAGATATTTTAATCATTGATGATTGGATTTGTTATCATCGATGATTTCTTTCTCTTTTTTAATGAGAAAACTGATTGGTTAATATTATATTTTCGAGCAAGATCATATAATAAATGATCTGTTGTACGTTTAGAATAATGATTTGCATTGTAAAAATTTAGAAAACCGTGTGGTAAATTCTGTATCATAACTAGATGATGATCGATAGATAAAGAACGAAGATGACGAGCAAATGTTATTGAATCATCCAACAGCGGATCCAGATGACATGCCTGAAAAGGTGGAATTTTTTCGGGTGTGGTTTTTCTTTTTGTTAAAGATATCGAAACAGAAACCAATGATGAAAAGAATAACCCTACGCAACCGAAGTAAGAAAAATCTGGAACTTACGATCAGATAGGTGGTTGGAAATTGCCGCAAGATATCATCGAGGGCACGTAGTGGTGACATGTAGGGATGATTAGGTAGTGTTGATTCACGTAATTTTCGAAGAAGATAAGCTTGCCGTGAACCAACGATATCAGCTAAGAATAAAGCGAGGAATGAAAAGGCACGATGATTACTTAAAATATTTTACATAGTCGAGCATAGTATGTATCTTCACGCATCCGACCAGAAGCCTGTACTTTCGGTTGTGATTGTTGTTCAGGGTCGGTTTGTCGTGCTGATGGACTATCAACATTGTTCTGAAGGTCTTTTCCAGGTGTGATCTGACTATCCTTAGTCGAAGTAAGTTCGTCTTCAGGTGGTTCATTGTCAGCTTTAATACCAGCATAAGCTGCAAGACAACGCCAGAGAAACCCTGTATTCAACAATGGATCCATAATAGCCATTAAACGTGACGGTGACATACTGAAATCGATACGACAATTCACTATGTGATTCATCGATTAAGCAAATTTACTGTATTACCTATAGCCAAGAAGAAATGGCGTGTAAAAGCAAATGATTGCATCGGGCTTTCGTAGTCCAACTTCAATAGCTTTGATAGTTACAGCTGTGATTAAATTTCCACCGGCACTATCACCAACTAAAAGAATTGTTTTGCCTGTCCAACCAAGTTTACTAGCATTTTTTAGAATCCATGCGTAAGCATAGAAACATTCCTCAATGGCGCGTGGGAATGGATATTCAGGTGCAAGAGAATAATCTACGGAAACAATCGGTATTTCCAAAGCTAACGCCCATGGTCGTAAATAGACCTAAATCAAGGAAAGTCTTTTGAATTCGGTTCAATTAAATGAAAACAATTTACTTCGTGAGTTGTTGATGACGTGGCAATGAAACCGCCACCATGAACATGCATTAAAATTTGATCACTCATTGGTAAAGTTTTCGTTGCTGATGTTTCCAAGTCACCTTTTCGTATCGGAAGCTCACTCATACCTTCCCGTAGTTGACTAGACAAAAGTTTGACGTTCACAAGTTGTTTCGGTTGGGCACTACCCGAACCGGTTGGGTTATCTGAGCCTGCGCCGATAGTGCCTGCTACTTGCCCTTTCGGCTCTTCTACACTAGCACTGGCCGTTGGTGGTGGGACGATGATTGAATCCAGTTCAATTGGTTCTGGTCCAATTTGAAAATACTTCGAAACAGTCACACTAGGTGCAATATAGCGTGAACCCATTTTACTATCATCATGATCAACAAGGTTCCAAAACGATTTACAGAATAAGTAATCACAGTCACGAAATATTGTGGCGCACTGAAATTTATGTTAACGAATGCATTTCAATCAANTGGCTAACATGGATCACCGACAACATTCAGCATCATTTAATATCGCGGACTTTCTACAATCGAAATTCCATCCAACATTTACACCGAATCGTAAAAAGTTAACCTTAAAAGTCGACACACGCGGATATCAACCTGAAGAACTGACTGTGCGTCTATTGGACGATAGTTTATTAGTACAAGGAAAGAAAGCTTCGTCGTCATCCAAAACATCGGACAGTAAGCAATTTAGTCAAAGTATTCGTCTACCTGATGGAATTGATAAATGCAATGTTACGTCTCAAGTTATGGATGACGGAATGCTCTTTATTGAAATACCATTGATTAATTCATCCATGTACCGATGATGTAACTTTGAAAAACATGAAAGATTTTTCATGAATAAATCGATCAGTTTTTGCTAGATTATGAAAATAAACATATTCTTTTAGAATATATCAGGCCAATTGACTGACAGTATTAGTTCGATTACTTGGTCTCACTAGCGAAACTGAAGAATCGAATTCGATTTCATTATTCATTACGCATAGACACATCTTTGTTTCGATTAGATCACTTTTGAGGATTGAATGACATTTCTTTCTGATGATTAAAATTAATCAAAATTTTCATCCGAATGTAAATAGAGATTACGTAAATTTTCGAATGACATATTTATTTATTATAGAACTCGAAGCACTATCGATGACATGACCTAATGTTATAATAATGAGAAAAGAGATATTTTGTTTGTTAAGTGAACAATTATGGAAAACTAGAGATGTGAGCGTAGACTAAATGTGCCCACACCCACCTGCACTCACATCTGCATCCATTTTACGGGAGAATCTGGGTTTGTTTGATCGTTATTATTGGCATATGTGTTAACATGGAAGGACATACACAACTTTAAATCCATCACTGCCATTTTGCGTTTAATGGAATCAAGAACGAAATTCGTCTAGAATTTCAAAGAGTGATTGATAGAAAGCATTACCGTTCGAACATTCAGTCGCCCGAGAATATGAGTATTGGCATGAAAGCTACAGCTGCCCGTCAACCACACCCGTCATTTCAACATAGCAACATCCAGATTGATTTGAATTAGTAGAATGACATCGGCTGTAAAAAACTGATATAATGAAAACATTCTTGGCATTGCTCTGAAATTTATTTGTCTTATGCATTCTCACTCTGATTTCTAATCAATACACATGTACATTTTATTATACTTGTAAATTTGTTGTCATAACCATAATTGATGTACATGCAAACAATAGCTAGATGAGGTCAACATAAACATGAATAAGTCTTGATATTTATCGTTTGTTGCTCTGATAATCGTGCACCTTCAGTGGTCGACTGTCCGTAGATATTGACAGACACAAACATTCGACCTAGAGGTTGGATGGATGTAATCTGAGGAAATACAAGACACAGTTCTATTTGTAATTAAGACAAGCTACAGTATTATGACCGATGGGGATAATAAGAAAGTGACTTGCATCATACGCTCTCTTTATCTTTTCTCCACCTTCATTATCAACATCATCATCATCTACTTTTTCTTCCATAGATCTTCTGTTATTCTCACTAGTCATCTCGTTTCCCTGTTGATGATTATGTCTACTAACGAAGACAAGTAGTCGAAGTTGATGAGAAGATATGAAAGCGAGAAGAAGAGGAAAGAAGTCGTTCCAGCGCATTTTTTCTGCTCCGGAAAGGAGAGAATCAGAGAATATATCTCTTGTTTTAGACACCGACAATTTTGTCATAGAGAAAGCTCTATGTCCAAGATTTCAGTATATAATTCTTCCTTTTCTTACAAAAATATATCATCATCGTCATTACCATTATCAAGCATTACCTCGAGTATTTTCACGGCACATGAAAAATGAGAAGAGTCCTTCTTAGAACAGTTCACATGGAGCACTTGTGCTTGCTATTTAACTATTTTTTCGATTAAAACAACGGACTCTTATCAGCAACGTAGTACCAACCATCGGTCCTCATTAGTGTCTATTACATTCGATTCTTTCCCGACTCGTACGCGAAGACACACACAAGCGTTTACTCAGATAAACAAACAGACAGGTAAAGAAAAATCTGATTTTCATCAGTTTTACACACGCAAAGAAAAAAAACAAATCATGGATAAAAACCGCCATCAACAACATCGATCACCTGTTTTCAAATTTCTCCGGCGCCATCGTAATTCAATACCCGTGTCCACATCAACATCATCGACCCGACTAAACGATCTCCAAACTCGAACCCGTAATTCCATCGTTATTCCAACAAAACAAACTACCAAACGAAGTAAGTCTACAGAGAAGCAACTCGACTATTCTTGTACATAATCATGTTAACTTGCTCCTAATGTACATTTTGCTTTTATTATGTCGGAAAGAACCTTGGCTTAATATTGACATGTCGTATGATGCAATCAAAAAGGCCAATTAATAACTCGTTGAGTTGATTTGAACTGAGTAGACGAACATCTATTATTCATCTATTAACTAAGTCAAATCGAAATGATTCTTTAATAGCCGTTTTGTTATTCAAACAAACACATATCTAGTGTCTTCTTTACGATTGTTAACGATATACCAGCTGAATTAATAGAGTAGACAATAAACCTAAAGGCAATACGCAGATCATGTTTGAGGGATGTAATACAATTAAAAAAAAAACATGCAAAAATAATCGATATTGTCAAAGAAAAGAACAGATTGGATTGTTCTCATACTAGCTATAGTTCTATCCCTTCCCTTGGCTTTTCTCACTGATATTTGTCATAATTTCAGACCTGTAACAAACTCGCATATGTAGGAGGGGCTTCAACTGCTTTCCCTTAACTATCAATCTTCATTTGTCTGTTTTTGTTGTTGCAGAAGCTACGCATGTGTTCGACATTGGTAATTCATACAGCAATTCAACAAGTTCAGCACGGCTTGCATTTGATTGTTCATCAACGGATGTAAATACAGGTATAATTTCCATTGATATTAACTCCAACTAAACTCCTTTTTTTCCCTTTCGGATACATAACGATGATGATAGTGATGACAGAAGTCTTTTGTATGTAAATATAAATAACCGTGCTAACTTAATTGTATGATAGGAGCATACGAGAAATTAAATACTTCGTTTCTTTGATTTGTGCACTGATGCATTCTTATCAATGACCTTAGCAGAGAGTCGACTCCGTGACAGATATCGTTGTTTTTTCTCAATACTAAATGTTTCATACGAATGGGGGTACTTCCTCCTGACCGATAGAGCGAACAAAGAGGAAAATGTTTTTTTTATGGTTAGAGTGGAGAGACAAGTTGTCAAGCATTGATTATCATTCTCATCTTTATGATCTGTCGGCGATATTCATCATCATCTTTCCTCGTTTTTTTTCCCTTTCTGTCTTCTTTAATACCGCGGAGACTTCATCATTGATTTGTTATTATAAAAGGTCCAAAAGCGACGACTGAATTATAATAACTTGAGTTTGATTTGAATAAGATAATCATTACCGTGTGTCTTCAATTGAAGACAAAACTTTTTCTTTTCGATTAAGATCACTAAGGAGGAAAACTTTCAGTAATTTGATCTAATGATATGATTTTAAATAACAAAGAACAGTTGTTTTTCGTGCTCCTTGTCCATCTGATAACGATCTAATGAGTAGTTTTAGCACGAATTTTCGTGAAATGATTCATAGACAAATCGATGAGTTACACCCAAAGGATACCAACAATGATTTTTTAATGATAGTCGGTATAAAAAGCATCTGTATCAATTTCTCATCATTATCATCGTCGATTTGATTGAATATCTTGTAGTATTTCAACTAAATATTGATATTTTATTCATGCGGTCGGTCTTTCTCTTCGCTTCGACTCGAATATAAATACTCGATGAGAACATCTAATCGATTCTTGTCTCTTTGTCATTCATTTTAGCCACTATGGATAATAAACATTATTTTGGTCTATATTTAATTCGTATAAAACATAGTTTGATTCTGTTTTCTCTATTATTAATCGCTTTTCAAAGTTTGACTTATTTATTATTGGCAATATTTTCTAAAAAAGTAACCTTTTCCTCGAAAACTCCTTCTTGCAAGTCAATTCTTTTCTTCTAGTACCTCTTGGCTCAATTTATTCTTGAAATCGTTCTTTTCTCCTGTGTTTTGCTCGTCTCTATAGCATTGATTGTATTATTGCAACGAGAGAAATTTCTTCATGCTCATGTCTATATATCATGTTTATTGATATGGATATTATTAACATTATTCTCCATCATACCTGTCATTTTGCAGCAGTACACATCAATTATTCGTCTTACGGGCATAATTACATTTTCAATCATTACAATTCATACGACATTACCGGTCTCGCGTTCTTGGACTGTCCTAATGGCATTGTTCACCTCCTTCATTCATTTGATATTCGTTATCCGTTCACATTCCATTCGTAATCTACACAATAGATCCTATCGAATGGAATTCAAACTTGAAGTAAATTGCGGCTGTCTTCCAATCTAAATATTACTTGATTCTCTTTGCTTGTTAGGTAATCTGTCTTTCGTTATTCTATGCGACGTGTAACCTCTTCGGTTTGTGTTATCGGTATTTAACTGATGCACATCAAAAGAAAACATATCAGAATACAATGCGTTGCATTGAAGCACGATTACGACTTGAACGAGAGAAAGAACAACAGGAAACATTGATTCTTAGTGTGATACCAGCACATATTGGTATGATTTTGCTGAAAGCCTTCTGATGATCCATCTTGATTCGTTCTTATGATAGCGTTGAGTATGAAATCGGAAATGTTGCGTAAGGTGAAAGAAACAGCGAAGTATCATAACCTACAATCGCGAGATTATGATGATCAAAGGTCTCATACGAAGAAAATCAATGTGCGGAAAGCAACATTTCATGATCTGTACATTAAAAAGCACGAAAATGTGACGTAAGTTTACTTATATATATACTTTGTACATCGATTGTACGATTTTATTTCATAGCATTTTATATGCGGATATCGTTAATTTTACACCGTTGTCGGAAAAGTTTACTCCTCCAGAATTAGTACAAATCTTAAATAAACTCTTCGGAAAATTCGATCAATTAGCACAGGTAATGTCCATCAAACCGATCGAAATCACCCAGTTCATGTTGATTCATTATAGGAGTGTGATTGTATGCGAATAAAAATTCTTGGTGATTGCTATTACTGTGTAAGTGGTTTGCCAATAAGTCGACCGAATCACGCATCAAACTGTGTTCGAATGGGATTGAAAATGATTGAAGATATTAAGTGAGTCATTGTTTTTCATTTATTCAAAATCAAAACAATCCAATTCAATTCTAGATTAGTACGAGAAGCAACCGGTGTAAATGTTGATATGCGTATTGGTATACATACGGGACGAGTTTTATGCGGGGTATTAGGTTTGAAGAAATGGCAATACGATACATGGTCTGATGATGTAACATTGGCTAATCATATCGAAGCTGGTGGTGTGCCAGGGTTCGTATCAAGGAAGTCTCATTTAAGAAAATTAATTATCGGTTATATGTATATGTAGACGTGTTCACATATCAGAAAGCACGTTACTAAATTTGGGTAATGAATTCGACGTGGAGGAAGCACATGGCCATGAACGTGATGCTTATATCGCTAAATTAGGTATTAAGACTTACTTTATTATACCACGCGATGTACCCAATGTTCTAAGTCAATTAACTATGAAGTAAACATGAAACAGAACTGATTATCTGTATTGTTCAAGTTTTCTAGTAGTGGCGATACTCGTAAATCAAGTAAAAAGATGCAGAAACTATTGGATACATGGTCGAATGAAACGCCATTTTCGGCACAAGGCCTTTCGGATAACGATAAATCAGATGCAGCAAAAAGTTTTGTTCTTCTCGAAGATAACTTAAAACCACTAGCAACAACATTTACTTGCTTGTATGAAATTTTCGTCCGAAATCTAAGCATAGAAAATCTTATTTCTGTCTTATAGACGACGTCGACGAAGCACGAATGATCTGCAACCAATAACGCTTGAATTTAATAAACAAGCTGATAAATGTCAGAAAGTTTTAGATGATGATGAAGAAAATCGAACAGCGAGCGAAAAAGTATTTCGTTCTTTACCAGAACTACGCTATCGATATTATGTAATCAATGCTGCTAGCGTTTTCTTCGCTATTCTTGTTATTCAAGCATTGATTTTGGAAAAGTATAGAGTCAAAATATCACATTGTTCATTCCATTCATATTTACTCTATTCTTCTAGGAATGCTCTTTATTTGATTTTAATCATTGTTGGATTATGTGTATTCAGTATAGCTGCACTTCTTTGCGTTATTGATTTATCCAAAGTTTGTCATATTTTCTTCTTTTCTTACGTAACAATCCATTCCTTTTTAGCTACAACGGGACAATCATCGATCATTATTAGATCAACCGGTCTATTTAGTGACACATTACTACTTCATTCGTTTACCTGTTAGTCTTCTAATCATTGCTGTGTGTGTGCTAACACCATTCGCAGTCTCGTGGCAGTCATCGCCGCCTTCGAATAATCAGCATACGAATACAACTGTAATGCCAAATATTTCTATTCCTCGTAATAGTATCGATCAAGTAAGATTTACTTTTCTTTATTTCATCTACAATGGTTCGAACGAGGAAAGACCTAATTATGCCGATAAGGTCAGAGTTCGTTGATCTTTATTCGACTCAATCGTTTCTGTCAACATCATTAATGATGTCTTCGAAATAACCTTTTTGATCAATCATAATTCTTTCATCTAGACTCATCTAGCACCAATGCCAATGATTAGTCTTAGTTCATCGTTAGTCAATCCAATCACAAACGAATTTTGTCGTCATTTCGAATTTCATATCCTATTAATTCAATTGGCTCTCCTAACTGTTTCATCATTCATGCATCTCTATTTTCTACTTAAAGCATTTATTATGATTGCAACAGTAACTTTTTATGTGTTCTATTCGTATTATTTCGATGTTTACGACACAATTGCCACACATTCGGATTTAACAAGTACGACATTGATTATTCAAACGACGTTCGAAGTGTTCTTTTTCATTCTCTTATTAATTGGCCTGGATCGACGAGTAAATTGTTCTTAGGAGAGGAAACATCAATATTTCGGCTTGACAATTTAGATCGAATATATGAGCCGGTTGGATTTGTTATGGACGATTAAATTTGAAAATGAAAAACATGAAGTCGAAACAGTCAGTACAATCAGTCGATTGTTACTAGAAAATATCTTACCCAAACATGTTGCGGAAATTATCATCAAAGAAAATATGAGTCAAGTAGGAAAAGACTTCATATGTGTAGAGGATTCGAGCCTATCGATATTTGCATTTTTAGGGTTTATACCATGAAAGTTATGATAACGTCGTGGTTATGTTTGCATCGATTCCTAATTTTAAAGAATTCTACGTTCAATCCGATGCGAATAATGATGGATTGGAATGTTTGAGACTATTGAACGAAATTATTGCTGAGTTTGATAAAGTTTGTTCCTATTCGATTTGAAACTCTATAAATAACTGGGTCTTTCTATTCGATTCTAGTTATTAGATAAGAATAAATTTAGTGGTGTGGAAAAAATTAAAACAATTGGTAATACTTATATGGCAGCAGCTGGATTGAATCCAGGCGCTGAACATCGAATGGTACGATATACTTTGGTTGAAAGTGAACTGATATTGTTTTTTGTTATTCAGACAAGAGAACGATACAACCAGAACGTCGTTGCACTTGCTGAATTTGCTTTTGCAATGATCGCCGTTTTAGAAGGTATCAATCGCGATTGCTTCAATGATTTTAAATTACGTGTTGGTATGTGTAATGGTCCACTTGTAGCCGGTAATTATCGTTTGATTTCTTGCGATTGCTTTTGAGTCGATGCCTTCAGGTATTGTCGGTGCTAAAAAACCTCAATATGATATTTGGGGAAATACGGTTAATGTTGCCTCACGTATGGATAGTACTGGTGTAGTTAGTTGTATTCATGTAAGTAGAACGAAGATGAGAGAAGCGAAAGAACATTCGAATGATTGTTTGGTAGGTTCCGGAGGAAACTCAGAAGGTTTTGTTCGAACATGGTTATCCGTGTGAATGTCGTGGGCCGATTTATGTTAAAGGAAAAGGTAATATGACGACCTATTTAGTACGACCTCGTGGTTATATGGCGCCAACATCGATGGCAAATAATCCGTCGAATAAGTGAAACGAACTTCGTTTGTTTTTCCAAGTCAGATTTTGTCCCAGTGAACTTTGACCCATGTGAACGTGTTTCTCTTTTCGTTTCTTGTTACACGTGTATGTTACAATGAAGGGAACAGTAGTGATCATTGATTTTTCGTCTCTGTTTTTATTATTTTTTCGTTTCTTTTACACAATCGAGAAGAAAAAGTTTTGGAGAAATAGAAATCTGACCGACGACAAAATCAAAATGTCTTTTATTTATTCGCTGGTTTTCGATGTGCTCGAGGAAGAGACGTTGTCGGCCGTTTAGCTAAGAAGATAAAATTCTCTATGCATCACCAATTTCGAATGAGCGCAGACTTACAATAATCTACAGTTTCATCACGACTTGCCGGTGGAGATGAAACATTATCGAATGCATTTTTATTTCTAAATAAATATCGAGAGTTAAATTTAGGCTCGCATTCGATTTGTATTTACTCTAAAACTGTTTGTTTTTCGTGTTCTGTAAGAATTCTCTCGTCCGCAAACAGAATCGTATTGAATGGTACATGGTATGCTTTTCCATCATCGTCATCGTTCATCTTATCGAGTATACCAGTCCAAACGAGTAGATCATCAACAAGTAACTGTCAATGAAACAATTTCGATTTCAATAGTCAATGAAAACAAGACAATTAACTTACAGAGAATTCGCGCACACCGCGACTAGGTGTTTTCGCATAATTCCATATCTTAATCATAGACACAGATGTTGGCCGATCGAAAATAACAAACACACGATTGATCTATTGCGCGAGAAAAGTACTAAAGGCGAAATCTGCATTAAATTTCATACTATATTCGGCAGAATCGGTGCGATCCAAGAGTGGCTACCGTTAACATCATCATTTTCTCCATCAATTAATTTATCCGGTGTACGTACATCATCGTCTGTACCTGGATTGAGTGCATTGACACTATGAGGATATGCCGCAATATCTATTGGAGAATTTGTTTTTAATGTTTGAATCTTTCTCGATAAAGAAAGCTTTACTTTGTTGTGTGAGACCAATACATTCACCATTGTCATCATAGAATTCAATGCCATTTAAACCGATATAATATGCGTCACCGTGTGTTGAATGAAATTGAAATTCGTAAATGACTAGAAGTATTGATTATTTGGTGGAATAGTAGGATCTGATGTGACGATTTGACTTACATCCATTCGGCATCGATACATCTGAATCGGCATTCTGAAGACTGGCTGCTGCTTGTCTAAGTTTCCAAAAATATTATTCAAGGTGAATGTTGCTACGAGACTAGACATACTTTGCTTGTTTCTGTTGCTCTGGAATCATTGTTTTTGCATGAGCGAAGACAATTTCTTGAACGAAATCAAAAAAGCAATGGCCAGGTGCACGTCGTAGCAAAAATCCTTGTCTTGGCGAGATAATTTTATCATTCAATTGTACATGTAGACGTTTTATCTTTATTTTTACAAAAGTAAATCACTCTGTTCTTCACTCAGTCAAAAAACTTACTCCTCGATAAGTATCATCCGATGATTCATTGTAATTCCATATACGTAAGCCATGTAATTTCTTCGATACACTCAATGTAATCACGATACGTACCCGGTCTTTCCTATTAAACGGACATAGCCACATATGATTAGGATTGCATGTCACATTCTCGCTGTCGAATAAACTTGAAGAGGAGAAAGCATGATTAGAAATTATCAAATAACTTCCTGTTTACTTCTCGAGTCTTTGAACTGCATTTTCATAGGTTGAAAGGACAGTCACATCGCGTGGACGAGCATCGAATGATTGAATGACACAGTCAGCATCGTTAATGTCAACAACTTCAAGTCCGGTTAAACCACAATAGTCTGGATCACCCCATGTTTCAGTTACTGTTAGAATTAATTCTAAAAAATGAGAATTATGCGGTTTCCGATGAACATTTTCTCAATTATGATTAACATACTTTTGCCATAATATTCTGGTACTTGACTTGCAGCTGATGAACGCATAGCAGTAAATGGTCTTCGTAGCATAGCACGTGTCATAGGTCGAACCTAGACGAAATAAAATTTGCAAGTGCAATCTAATTGATTTTGTTTACACACATCAGTTCCTGGACTCGGAGGACGATTTGCGGCTGTTTTCATGTTCTCATCATCCTCCTGTGCAGCTTCTTGATCGATATACATTTCATCATAGTTCGAAATATTCTCCAAAATTCTCTCGTCCGTAGTGAATAAAATCGTCTAAATTTATTTTAAAAAAGGCAAAGACAATAGTTTCGTTTCGTTTCTTGTTAATACTAACTTCGCCGTACGCGGATGGGTCATTACTAGCGTTGATATTTCCACAGGCTTGAGTTATTTCTCCTTTAAAAATCGCACGACCATCCAACGCAATTTCTACGTCTTTTGCACCACGTGCTGAATGTATTCGATTTTTATTATAGTTCTAAACAAAAGCGAAGAAGTTGCCGAGAAATTTGACCTGATCTGCATCATTCGTACCCAAATTCTAATCATTGCAATCTTCGTTGGATGTTCAAGTGTAATACAGATGAAATGCGGTCGGCCACTGGTGAATGGTGCGAGCCACATATGAATATCATCCCGAGTTTTGTTGACTCCATCAACTAAATTTGTCACCACACGGGGATCATTGCCGTATTCGGGTAAAATATTTATATCGGGCGGATCTGCTGTGATCTATGACGAGGATTTGCATTGTTTACAAAGAAGAGAAAAGAAAAACAATCACCTTCTTAATGAGTATTGGATGGCCTTCACCAGAAAAGAGTTCAATTCCGTTTAATCCAACATAATGACGGTCACCCCATGTTGTTTTCAAATTGAATACTAATTGTTCACCAACTGGAAGTTCAGGAATAGTAAATCTAAAGAATTTGATTAGTCAATAGATGATAGAGACCTAGTTTCTGCTCATACTGTTCTTCATCGTTGTCATTTTCAGTTTTAGGGCTTCCGCTGGAGAAGTATTCCTCAATTTTTTCACCTATTAGCATACAAAATAAAATGATTCGCAACTGTCGATATTTCATTTCTGTTTGACAATACTTTCAAGCGTTCCACGATGCTTTCGGCTAAACAGCTCTAGTTGGGTCATTGACTTTTCTAGCCGATCTGTTTGACGATCTAATCATTTCAAGAAAATAGCTCTATTCAAAGATATCAATCTGAGTTTACCATTAAAAGTAGCTTCGGCGAATGGACTTCGTTTGTTCGATGCGTGAGATGATTTTTTCTCTTCAACCTCCGAATCAATGTGAACTTCTCTAGACAGAACGAATCATTTTCGTCAATAATAATAATTACGCAAAAGTAAAGCCCACTTTGGATGAAGAACATTTTCAAGATCAAGACTGTCCACCGTTTTCGATGTTCGCCTCGTTCCAGTGACAAACAATGGCTGATTCGTTGCCTGAGTGCTACTGGCATTCTTTGTTAAGTCTCCACCAGCAAGTCGTGCTCCTATAAATATCGTAAATATTTCGTTATTCGATGAATCATCATCATCATCATCTATTAAAGCGTATTTGCGATGAGTTACTCTTCGAGTTACCTGGTCGTTTTTCGCCTGGTCTCGGTGCATTATATTTTCCAGTAAAGGGATGCTTGGGCAAATCTCGACGACTCATTTTTTGTCAAAAAAAAATCGTTTGCTTGTCCGACAATCGATCAGAAGAAAAGTGTGTGCACCGTGAAAAAAGTACCATTATATTCCATTCTTTCTTTTCCTTCTGATTGACGTTGTTAAGATGCCTTCTTAGCTGCGTAACTATCGTTCGCGTGAGAATGAAGAGCGCAGTATAGAAGAAAAATCTCTTTCGTTCTGTGCCGATTTTCTTCGTCAGACGTGTTCAATTACGATCAATCATATATAAAAACTATCTTACCTACCTACCGGTGTTGAAAGGCGATAAGTTTGCTGTTGAGAACTGGTTAATCCTACTGTTGATATATTATCAAAAGGCAAAGCTACAGATTATATAGATAAGGAAATGTATCAAAAGGGAACAACATACAAAAACTTTGTTTTACATCGGGATTTTGTTCGCTGGAATTTGATGTCATATTCCGAAACCAATCGGGCATCCAACTTTGATCGACACTCGGTGAATATACTAAGCGGTATGTAAGTTGATTATTTACGGATTGTTTACTACGGTGATTTGAATTCATGATTTGATGATGAATGTCAGTAATTACTGAGCCGTGGTCTGTTTTGATCTTTGTTTGTATTGGCGGCATCCATCGACGACGGTTTATAGTTGTATGTGACAGTGCAGGAGTTTGTGTGCGACGGAATGAACTGTCATTTCGGTTACGCGTAGCAGATGACGAGCGTGCAGGTGGCGTGTGATGAACTCCGTTGATATATAATTGAAAGCCATTCTCACGCTGTTTTAAAAGATCGTCTTTGGATTTTTGTTCACTATTATATGCTTTCGATAGTTGAGTTTTCTCTTCTAATTTCTTCAAATATTCATTGTATCTACTTCGTGCATCACGGCGATACCCACCAGAAATCTAACAGATGCATAAGAAAACACGATACGGACAGATGAAATGTTCAACAATCTTACAGCACTCTGACTTCGAGAGAATTTTTGTGCTGGATCCGGTGAATCAGACATGATATCTGCAGTAAAGAAAGACAATTTCGTTTGGCCTCATCGGAATTTTGGCCCGATCAGATTTATTGCATGACAACAAGATCAATCGAAAAGCTAATCATTATCGTTCTCTTTTGATTATGTAAATAGTAAAATACCTCAGGTATACTCGATCGATCTTCTCACCTTCCCATTGCTCATGTAGAACTTCGAATTACTAGAGGCATCACAGTAACAATTGATTGCCACGCTCAATAACATCGGATTCGAGTAAAAGTCACGGGTATTGATGAAAAGGAAGTAGATTAATGTCTTATTCTATTTAGAAGATGTCGTCCATATACGAAAGAAGCCTGCAGGAAGTTTTTAACCAATAAAAGAAGTACCTGTCCTTGCGCCATCAGTCGCCAATTACTGTTTTTGCGGTTGAAAAACATTGATAAATACGAACAACGTCAGAATTTTAACGTATTCAAACTAGAATGGCATCGAATAGTTCTACTATCACAGTTTCCCGTCATAATGCTCAATGGGAATGGGAAGGGGATAAGAGTATTTGGCAACAGTATCCAATTAACGTACAGCAAAGTATTTCTCAAGCTTTTGACGCGGGTAAAAAAGAAGTAAGTTTCTCTTCGGAAAGACTTGTCTACGACTCGTGCTTTTTGTTTTTGCAAGGTTGACGTGGATATTACTGATGAGATAAGTATGACAATAAAATTTATTGATATGATCCAAATGAACAAGAAAACGAAGTTTATGCGTCGTATTCGTTTGTGCTTGGAAATGAAGGACGTGAGTGGATATTCTGTTTATGAATGGCAAAATGAGAATAAGAAATGGGAAAGTTATATCGCCGAAGTGATGATTAAGATAGCCGATGCAATCAACAATGATCAAACAACATTATCGGTTACATGTCAAACCCGATCCTATGATATCGATCTGAAAAAACTGACGCAAACAAACACAAGTACCAATGTTGTTCGTAAAATCCGCTGTGTTAGATCAAGTTTGTTATTCGATACGTTGTTACTTTTTATCACAATATATTTCGTCTAATTTAGTGACAAGACTACCGTTGAATGGTCCAATAAACGTGCCATCTAATAAACGTTCGCTAGAGAATGATGACGAACCAACAGAGAGTACTACGAAAAAACGAGCCGTATCAAAATCAACCCAACCCGAAGCTAGTTCAAGTAAGGAGATTTTTTCTATTGATCGTCTTCATAATTTCTACGTTTGATGTTCGTAGTACGTACAGTAACAACAGTTGCCGGACAGGCACCAGTGGACACCGCGTGTACAACCATGTTAGGCAAAGCTCACGTTTACAGCGAAAATAAAGACATATTCGATTGTATGCTTAATCAAGTAAGACAAAAAACAACCACTCGAAAACATCTGATCTAGTGATGATTATTTTTAATCTAGGCAAATGTTGGGAATAATAATAATAAATTTTATTTGATTCAACTTTTGGAAGAAAATAATAACAAAAAGTATTATGTTTGGTTGCGTTGGTAAGAATAGATGCATGCAATAGATGAGATATCTATTTTGATTAAATTAGGGGCCGAGTTGGTTATACTGGACAGACAAGTATGGAGACTTATGGCAGTGATTTGAATGGTGCGAAACGAGCATTTTGTTCAAAGTATGCTTACAATGAAGTATGCCTATTCTGTTTTATCTGGCTGTTTAAATAGATTTAGCGACAAGACAAAGAATGACTTCTATCACCGAGATACATTCACTAAATATCCAGGGAAATATGATTATGTTCAACTGGACTACAATCCATCGGTAAGTGGAAAATAGAAGATGTTATGCCATTTTTGTAGGGATGTTGTGTTTAGACTTCGAAGAAAAGTGAAGAAGATGAGGAAAATAAAAAGAAACGTACTGAAGCACTGGAAGAACTGAAAAGTCGACCTATACCAGAATCGAAACTTGATAAACGTGTTCAGGATCTGATCGAATTAGTGTGCAATGTTCGTGCCATGGAAGAAGCATTACTTGAAATGAAATTCGACGCAAAAAAGAATCCACTCGGTAACAAATGACTCATTTACTATCTCCCATCGCACACATTCATCTCTTTCAGGTAAACTCAGTTCCGCTCAGATTAAAGCTGGTTATGCAGCCTTAAAAGAAATCGAAACATTCATCAAAGCAGGCAATCTTGGCGCTCCATTCGTTGAAGCAAATAATACGTATTACACGCGAAGTATATTTTCAACCAGTAGCAGATGATCGTTTCCTACTTACGGGTTTCTTTTAGTTCCTCATGAATTCGGTCGACATGCACCACCATTGATTCGAACAACTCAACAATTAAAACATGAGATTGAACTGCTTGAAGCACTCGACGATATCGAAGTCGCATTCAGTGCTTTGAAAACCGATACGAACACATTTTTGAACCCTGTCGATCAGCAATACGAACAACTGAAATGTCACTTACATCCAATCGAGAAAACGGATGATATGTATAAACTCATTGATAAATATCTTCAGTCAACTCATGCAGCAACACATCAGCAGTATAAAATGCAGATCGAAGATATATTTACCGTGGAAAGAGAGGGCGAAAAAGAAGCATTCAACGATGTTGGGAATAAAATGCTACTTTGGTAAGTTCGTCTGACAAGACCGTATCTATATGCATTCGAATCTCTAGGCATGGCTCTCGTTTAACTAATTTTGCGGGTATCATGACTCAAGGTTTACGTATCGCACCACCTGAAGCTCCCGTGGTAAGCTTGGACAATTCATTGTTTGTAGTTAAATTAATTCGATGATGACCTCTTCTAGACCGGATACATGTTCGGCAAAGGTTTATATTTTGCTGATATGAGTAGTAAAAGTGCCAATTATTGTTATACAACACCTGCGAAGAATACTGGTCTCGTTCTTCTCTCTGAAGTAAGTGACTCCGGATTGTCATTGATATCTTTCAAAATTTGATTTCTCAGGTCGCACTTGGCAAATGGAATGAACTATTGCATGCAAATAGCAATGCTAATAAACTACCAGCAGGTTTATCGAGTGTCAAAGCGCTTGGCTCAGTTGCACCTAATCCCCAAAATGAAATCAAACTGTAAGTTCTTTTCACTTGCGAAAAATCATCGAGCGAACAAATTCTTTTTTCTTATGAACAATAGAGATGGAGATATAACGGTACCTATGGGTCCCGGTGAATCGGCCAAGGCAAATAATTCCAAAGGTTACACATTAAACTATAATGAATACATTGTTTATGATACGAAACAAGTCCGGCTACGATATTTAATTCGTCTGAAATTTCTATACAATTAAAACTTTGTGATATCAGTGTTTGCTTTTCTATACAGTTTTGTAAATTCTATAGTTACGATTTTCTGTGCGTTTTAATGTTGTTGGTGTGAACGTATATTTTCTCTTAATAATAAGAAAAAAAAGTTAAACTAAATTTGAATCCCAGTAAATCAAAGAAACCGAACAGTAGCGAGCGCCATCTGCGTTCGATTGTTTCTTACTTAAAGGGTCTCTTGGCAATACCTTATTCAAATAACTATCAAATGGAGTCGACAGAAAGACGACTTCATTCTGTTTTAATACTCGAATACTGCAACAGATGAGTACGGCAGTTGGACAACGGAAACCAGAAAAACTCGAAAGAGGCAAAGGTAATGAATTCCTTTCAATTAATCTAGTAAGAAATGACCTTGCCAAAAGAATTTCTGCATAAAACGTAGAAGAGAAGTAACTATTTCTGTTGACAAGTACAGAACAATTACTCTTTTAAAATTTTCTGTTGGATGTTTCTAAGAATGATTGATTATCATGTCTTATCATTTAGACAGAAACAAAACTACTAAAAACGCCAAGGCAGCATCGCCAGTCGTTGATGGACCACTGGAATCCGATACAGCTCGACCACTCGATTCGGAAGAAATTCAGGCTTTAGCGATTCGTGCAGAAGATCTTGAAAAAGTAGAAAAATTGATTCGATCATATTCCTCACCGACATATTCGACCTTTTCTAGTTACATCGAGACAAAAGCGGCAAAAAGTCGATTAATGACGAAGATCAGCAGAAATCTTTTATCGTAAAAAAGACCAAAACGGGTCCAAAAAAACAACCGTACGTATGTAATGGATGATCAACATACGATATTGAATAGTTTCATCTCTTATAGAGTTCAAGTAGCGAAAATAGCTCCGGGACAACCAGTACAAGACCAATTGATTAGTTCAGGATTACGCTTCGATTTGACGGGAAAACTACTTCCCTATAGTATTCTCGGTTCAGTCAATGAATATGTTGCGGAATTATCAGAGCAAGAAGCAACCGAAGTAAGTATTTGTGTTGAAGATTCATGAACAAAGCGAAAACGTTTGTTTACAGCTTGGATCAACGAATTCAGCGAAGAAAACTCTTGAAGACGTGCCAGAGATTGGAAGATACCCGAAGAAAAGTCGACGGTCAACCGGAAGTCCCGACGGCGGTGCCAGATCATTGAATAATTGGAAATCTCGCATGGATGAGCGACGGCAAGTGATGAAAACTATGTCAAGTAGATCATTGCTCGAGAAAAATCTTCGTGAAACTACTTTGCTCCGTATTTGTAGAGGAATTGAAACGATCTCCAGCCACTTTATTGATGAATCAAACCGATCGTTGGCGAGAACGGAAAGAACTTCTCGATTTAATGGATACAACATTACCACTACTACAAAATGGAAAAAACTGGCGTTTACACAGTGAGTTTTGGGCACAACAACAATTGCTTGGCAATGAAGATACAGGAATACAGTAAACGATTCGATGATTCAAATAACCATTGAATTATTTAGTAATCTCTTTCGTGTTTTAGTACGACACTAACACGAACCGAAATCGGTTGTCCACTGCCAGTGGAAATCATTGGTAAATCCAATATCGGTCTTCAAGAAACTGGTTTAGATTTAGGTGACAAAGCATCTGACGCTTTATACCGACGAGATTGGTTCAATTCGGAGTACGTGATCTCTCTTCTTATTTTCATTTCAATCGAAAACCTTTCTTTAGATATTTGGACAGACGTTTCAAACAATTGAATCCATTGATGGAAGAAATCCTTCCGCATAAACCTGATCTTGCATCTCTAGAAGTCATAGGTTACAATACATCACGGCGAAGAAATCAACAGAAAAGTGACGTTGAAGTTCACATTCACAGCAAAACGAATGAAGAAGAAGACGAAGCGGAAACGACTGATAATATCCAAATCGATGACGACGATAAAGAAAACGAAAATTATAGTGAAGCACTCAATGATATTCCGGATGTTGTTGATATGCCAATTATGGGTAAGAATTCCTCTGGAGAAACTCACCGTCGAATACTTTCTTCAAATTCAGGTCCGGCATTGAAAATCGATTCATTTGTCTTTCAACAAATGCCCAATGTGAATGAGAACGAAGAACTCGATTTTATCTATGAGATTCGCGTTCAATTTGAAAGTCAAATCAAAGAAAGTGTAATACGTGTAGTGGACATAAAAAACGTTGGTTCGACAGTTTTCTACTATGAATGGCAACAAAAACCGTACACAAAACCATTCGATATTGTCAACTCGAAAGTTCAACGTTTCTACTTTGACAATCGTACAAGTAAATAACCGATACGAGTCGTAGTATTTCGATAAAACAAACATCATATCAATTGTAGTACCTAGATTTCAACGTTATGAGAAACCTCTTTGTTCTCACGAGAGTTATGGTAGAACTTACTCTGCTTTTATGCTCCAAGGCTCTCTTCTTTTCTTCGAAAATACCCTTGACCTTGATCTTTCTCAGCATCCAAGTATCATCTATTGCAATTTGAGACTATTTCATCCACTTTTTTGCAAAGCCAATTACTTTGCTTGCTTTGAACTCTGTCGTGTTGTCCATTTAAACATAATATTTCTCGCTTATTTAAGGTTCGATTTTACCAAATGAAAATCTTAAACTTTCGTTTGTATTCAAATCCAATGAGCCTGGAATATTCACTGAACGTTGGCAGTTATTGACACGTCCTGTTCTTTGCGGCGGTCGACCAATTATTTTTACATTACGGGGAGTCACGACAGAAGAAGATGTTCATCGACAAACACGTCTGGAAATTGAAGTAGGTTGATTGACATTCAAACGAATTTGAAGTATTTATTCGAAATTGTCTTTAGCAAATGCTTTTCCATAAAGAAGCGGAAAGCATCGTTCGAAAGATAGTTGAGAACATTCTCGATAATGTTCGAACGCCTGAACGTGCTCGTTCGCCTATTGGTTTCTATATGACCGAACAAGAACAGTTCCAAGAGAAGAATCCTGATGTAAGAATGATCTAACGACTGAAATAAAGTGAATTTCATTTGTTGTTCTAGCTCTATTTCGATTTCGAAGTTTTTGAACAAATTAAGAAGATTTATCAACAACTTACTACCAACGAAGAAGATCAGAAATGGGATTTATCACTCGAGACAGTACGAAACAAAATTCTCGCACTTGACGAAGAAAATCCGGAGAAATCAAATCTACTTGAACAACTCAATCAAGCAATAAATCAACTTACTCTTCAACCTTTAGTACCTGCTGAACAAACGACATATCTAGTTTGGTACGTAGAGATTGAATTATTCGATTCAACGAATCAACGAAAATATTTTTCAATAGTTATGATATTATGAATCAATTTATCGATTCATTCGTTGATGAAATGATCATTATTCATAATAAAATTCAAACAACCGAACAAGTTGTTGATATTTATCCAGATTTTGATTTGTGTATGTAACAACAAATGTTGAAATCAATGATTAAATCTGCTTTTCAGACGGCAACGAATTCACCTCTTGGAAAAAAGCTTACGAAATTAATAAACAACAAGAACGTAAGATTCCTTTCTTAGTTGATCGACTTGTAGACTCCATCGAACTTTTATTTAGTTGAAAAACGGCCGAAGAGTGCTACCGGTGGCGCGGCAAAGGATAAGAAAGGCGCAGCAAAGGGTGACAAAGGCGATAAAGGCAAAGTTAGTATATATTCGCTGCTCTTTTGTAATATGCTGCAGCAAGGGAGCTGCTCTGACTGATTATAAATTTTCTGGCTTCGTCTTTCCACGATCGCTAGCATGTACCTATGATGAAAAAGGATGGTAAAGGTAGTTAAACAGTCGGTACAGCTCCTTTGTCGATTTAAAACTATTTGATCGATGCATTTTATCAATCGACGAACATGTGATTTTCTAAAGCTGAAAGTATCGTGTGAATTGTATGTATTTTAGAAAGGAGCAGAGAAAAAAGCTGCTGGAAAATCGGTAACTATGTTGATCATTTGTTTTCATTCCAAATATCTAATATGATTAATATTCGAGCACAATGCTTTTTGCTATTTTATATATAATCCATTGAAAAGATCATAATTATAGTTATATCGTCACTTCGAGTCGAATTGTGATCAGAGAAAATAATCTTTGTTCTGTTTTAGCCCGCAAAGAAAGCTCCGGCACCGCCTCAAACGCCATCGGCAGCAAGTAAACGTGGAACTGCTAGTGGTACTAATTCTCAATTGAGTAAACAATCTTCATTCGTGGATTCCGAAAAACCAGAGAAAGAATCCGTGATGTTAACACAAGAGCAATTAGAAGATCGTGCGAGAGCAGCCCAAGAAGCTTATTTACCAATTTATACATTATTGTGTCATACTTTTGATCGTCTCGAACAAGCATTAGACGATCTATCAGGCAAATCATCGGCTAACGAAGACGCTCTCTATTCACAGTTGGCAACGACCATACAGAATCAATCGTTGAACGTTCTCGATATTCTGAGAGATGAACTAACACGGAATGTTTTATCAATAGATATGAACAATTTCTTTTAAATAAATAACTCCCTTGAGATATTCGGAAGCCTTAGCATCGATTATTTGTTTTCTATGTCGACGAAATCGAGAACGTATTGATCCGTATGAACATCTGCTAAGTATAACAGTAAAGGTGTTTTGGTCAATGTTCATATACAATTTTATCACCGTAAAATTGTCACACTTTAGTCACAATATCGGTTAGGTGAAAAAATAAAACTGGGCGTAGACAAACGTCTATCGATAACCCATTAGTATTGCTTCATAACATTCTTTTCGCGTGTCTACTATCTTTTCCTGTTCTTCGCGTGAATGTGAATCGAGCAAAGAATAACAACAAGAATAACAAATTTAACAATAATAATGTTTCTTTTCCTTATGACATAGACAACATGTAACGTGTGAAAGTAAATCGTTTCACGAACACCCACGAAGTCATCAAGTTATATCGAAAAAAACAAATCTGACGTCATAAACAATCTCATCAGCTCAGCAAACATTGCTCATTGTTGGTGAGCATAACGATCATGGAAAAATACACGTGCATCATGTGTAATTGATTTTTTATAACCGTGTTAATAGAATAATCGTTAACATACTCGATTGAAACGTTCGAAGTGATTGAGATTCACACTGATACAATGATCAGAGAAGTTCTTTCTTCTTGTTTGATGTTGAACTGCTCAATTGATTGATAAACATTTGTCAATAAAAAAAAAGAGAAGACAACGAAAGCAGCCATTTAGGATCAGTTTATAGCTGATTATGAGAAGAAAGAAAGAAAGATGAATCAAGCTGAGAACTTTTCGAAGCGATTCAGTTTGAAACAAACAGGTGATTCATTTGAATCTAAAACGTCATCATTTCCGAAAGTCATTCGCGTCCTATGGACCTTTTTAATTTATTCCAAACGGCAAACGGATGTCTATTGAAGTGATCTATTGTTTGTGACATGCGGAATGTTTGATTTGTAACAAGTGAAGTGTTATTAGAACAATAAAAAATAGCATTTTTATTTTATTTTTTATACACCACATACACAACAAATTGAAACAATACACACGCACAAATGAGTGAGAGAGTAGAAGGCAAAAAAAAAGAGAAATTCAGCCATTATAGACAAACATTCTTCACACATCATCGACCATTAGTCCTACTAGAAAATCCGAAAATGACTTGAATTGATTTGAATTTTCACAACTTACCATGCAAACGACACATTTGGGTGGATCGATTTCTGCAACAGTTGGTGACTTCGTATAGGAAATATCTGTTTGAGCTGATGGAGAATATCTTTGATCACTGTTGAACGATTCTTGACAACTAAGACTTGTTGTCGTACCACTCGTACTCTTTTCGATGCCATCATCGAGATCAACAACATTCACATCAGGATCATCGATCGTTGGTGGTGGTGGTGATGACGACAAACGATGATGATTGGCTATTGCTGTTACAGCTGCTAATTGTTCTCTCTGAAAAGAAAAATCAAACGGAAGGATCAGTATTGTTTTTTTTTCTCGAAATACTCGTCTTTTCAAGTACCTTTCTCGAACATTGTTGAACGTGAGCAAAGAAATATTCATCGTCAGAAGTGATTGGAATTGGTTGATAACATATTGGACAACTTCGAGAATCTGTACGAATTAAACGACGATTATGGAGTTGTAGTTTAGCTAAAGGAGAAAGAAAGATGTAGTTTGATCAAGTTCGAGAAGAAAAGAGCAGATGTTTACCATTTAGTCGTTGTTGGCGACTGGTTCGTACTCGTAAAAACGTCTAGAAGAAAAATTAACAGAATTGAATAACCAAATACGAAGAGATTCTCATTTCTTTACCTCATAACGTGTTTTGAAAGTTTGGTCAATACTATTGCTGTTGTTGTCTTGAAGAATCTAAAACAAAATATGAACGAGTCAGTTTTTGAAGTAAAGAAACTACCGATCAATTACCTTATTTCCGCGTTTTTCTCTTTGTTGTTGTCGCCGTTCGATAGATTCGAGTTCATGTTGAACATGTGTGAGCATATCTTGTCCATTTAATGATACTTGACAAATCGGGCATTGCGGATTTTGCAGATCAATTGTTGACGATCGACACCGATTGTCTAGAAAAAGAAAGAGATGCTTTAATTAAACGAGCTGTTCATCCTTTTCTTTTCGGGTGAAGAGTTTGATTATTTTATTACTTGAGGATCACTATCACATACCATATGTCTAAATAGCCTCAGATGAATATTTGATTGTACAGCTGAGTGAAATACGTGAAAATGTCTGTTTGTATCAACAAGAGTTTCGTAGTTGCCCCCGAGTGACTGATTAGATGTACTTGATTTTTAAAGAGTAAGAAAGAGAAAATCACCGTCTGTGCAATGAAAATAGTCGTATGAAATCTCGATCGATCAATCTTTGATGTTATTTATGACTGCAAATGATGATTCTCATTGAAAACTAAAGTGTCTGTTAAGAGTAACATCCTGTGTGGATTTTTCGCAAGATGCTGTGACAGGAAACTAATTTCTCACACTTATATAATTGATTGTTTGCGTCTTCCGTTAATTAATAAAATAGTGAGATTCTTAACTATGTCAGTTCATTGACGAAAGTTTCCTTCCTCCTTTGATCGGTTAGAGGTGTTTGTAACCAATTCATGTTCATACCTGTTGATCTGCCGAAACTTTCATCGCCACTTGACGTTGTTTCACAATGATTTTCATCGTGAGAATTACTTTTAAACCGCTTTCCGCTGGGCAAAAAAGCCGAGGATTCCGATACAGTATTGTTCGTACCATTATTAAATAATGGACGAAATGCTGCTGCGTAAGGATAATGTTGAAACAAACTTGAAAATAGATTGTGTGGATATGTAGCCGCATTTGTTGCTGTTGTTGATGTTGTACCTGCGGATGATTGATTGAGGAGTGTATTGACGGAGAAGGCAGCATTGAAACCTGAAACAGGACTTTTTTCTGGACTGATGTTGGGCGACGAAGTTGGCTGGCGAAGTGAACGAAATGCAGCAGCCATATCAATGGGATGCCATATTGATGGATGATACATAATTATTTAGTAGATAATATAAAACTTAATCATTCAATATGAAAAAAAAGGAAAAGTGATTGAGTTCTTTTCTCATTTCGCGCTAGAGAGAAGGGAGAGAAGAAGAAAGAAAAAGAGAGAAGTCTTTTCTGATTGGCAGTTGGAAAAAGGCGACGATGAAGAAGGAGAAATATTTATATTCATTGAAGCGAAGAAAGAGAAAGATAGGCAGAGAAGCGAAGGACATGATTTGATTGAGTTTTGCTTGCGCCAGTTGCGACTACCCGCATGCACATACTTTCTTTTCCACCCTCTAGCAGCTCATTGTCGATGTAATATGCGTAGATGCGCAGAAGAAAAAATAAACCATTACTAACATAACTACCAATAGAAGAGTATATGTTCTCATCAACAATTGGTCGGTCGAGCAATGAAAAAAGAAAGAAAGAATAAGGGAGACAGAATCTTCTCGTGTATCTATCTCATAGTACAGTTAAAGGGTGTCTGCTTGTTTGCTAACTGGCACATGTCAGAAATCGATTGATAATTATCATAACAAAAAAGAGGGAAAGGGAAGAAAAACGGCCGATGCCCGAAGAACATAAGGTGTGCAATTTCACTCATTATTTCATCACGTAATACAAACAGAATATACTTGAAGAAAACTATATCGATTGCATACGTTCGATGTCATCGACAACGATGATCGATGGGCATCTTTTGCATGATTTCTTTCTTTTCCTACATTGAAATTAGGTCGAAAATGATCAGGTAAACCAAGTTAGAAACGAATCGCGATTTGATGAGCATACAATCACGAAGTATGAAATAAGACAAGAGAAATCATTGTCGTTTGTCATTTTCCTTACGGCAAACAATGTCAAGATGTATATTATACGAAAACGACTCATTCTTAGTAGCTGTTGCTGTCTCTATGTCATCTTGTGATACTTAGTGGCTCCAGATGGTGTGTGTAGAAGTATGTGTCGTTTAAACAAGATGACTTTTCTTCTCGTCATAGACAACACATACTCAATTGAAGTTTATATGAAAGAAAGAATCAGGCCAATTAACACTCTGAACAAATTAGAAAGACATTCTCGGCGAGATGGATGGCCATTGCGGTTTGTTCTTTCTTTTCGTTTGTGCCTCATTGCAAATCGTTCAGAAGTCGGCACGCGTGAGTAAACTATAGTCTTGATGTGATGCATCGATGACAATTCTTCTTGAAATCGACTGTTAATGAAGGATATCGATGAGTATGTTTCGATGTAAAGCACATATGGAAGATGGCAGGTATATAATTGAAAAAGAAAAGAGAGAATAACTATACATGCGTGAGTGCGTGATCGTTCTCGTCTTGTCATTGTCAATAGTAATTGATCGGTTATTGATAGTTCGAGCAATGAATAAAAATGAGCGTAGCTAAATCGTGAATCCTAAGTGATCTATCAGAAGAAGAAAGGAGCACTGCTGTGTACAAGATGTTTGTATTAGAACGATTAGGATGTCGACATGTTTTGTTTATACCATTTCGTCGGAATGTATATAAGTACAATAAGATTTATTTGTGACATTCAGTCAATGTACCAGGATACTGACGGAGATCAAAGATACTATGTATATTTCTACGTCTATCAATGGATAATGTCTACGCTTAACTGTGAATATTATTCATCAAGACAAAGACGATGGGAAAGAAAGAAAAAATAGTTTGATGTCTCTGGAGATGCGTTCAACAAGTAGAAATATTGAAGTTACATTTTTAAATGATGATCGATTGTCGTTGTCATTGAAATGTTCTCGGAGGACTGACTTGCTAATGGTAAAACACATGTTTAAGATTGATTTTCCGCCTCCATTTGACGAGATACGTCTAAACCGTAAAGATGCGAGGCATTTCTTGACTTCATTTGCTACCTAGTGAATAGACATTGCATATGGACGATAATCTTGTAGTCAACGATCCAATCGTGACAAATCTCAGTGAAATTCTCGTCTAACATGTGGTAATATGCAATAGATCAGACCTGGTACAAAACATTTCTTTCAAAACGAGAAGAAGAGATAGCATGTTCGATTGATAATAGATTCAAAGAAGAAATTCTTTCTTATTTTGAACTCCGCATGTCAAATCGAAATATAATTTAGCCGAATACGATTACAAAACTCAATAAAACCATATGAAAGTGGTTTTTCGAGGCGCAGTATGATCGGCATTTCAAACAATGAGTTACAAAATTCTTCTTCGTATGTCGTACCGTAGTCTCGCGAAAGAAAAACGAAAGCTGATCAAAAACCAAAGATTGGCTCAAATTTACTTCACACATTAATGCAGAGAATAATCAAAAAGAAAGAAAAATCACAGCGACATCTACGAAGAAAAAAAAAGAAACTTACTCGATGATATATCAACATGTCAGTTCATTGAGTAATAACATAACAAACAACAAAAATAGCTTGAAATCATTTCACTTAAAACAATGTCGGACTATCGTAACGTTGTTTTGACGTTAAGTAATGTCATATTACCACCCGAAAAACTTTATCCCAATCCAACACCATCAATGCTCGAAGGTTTATCGTGGGATGTTGAGTACGATTTACGATTAATCGGATGTGAGCTAATCCAGACTGCTTGTTTACTACTGAAATTACCTCAAGTAAGCTTCGAAATGATTTCAGAACTCAAATCATTGTTTAGTTCTGTATTTTCGTTGCAGACAGCAGTAGCGACCGGTCAAGTTTTGTTCCATCGTTATTATTACACATCATCATTCATTCGACGTCCAGTTGAAATCATGGCGATGGCCTGTACGAATCTCGCCGCGAAAATCGAAGAAAATGCTCGACGTATTCGCGACATCATCAATGTCTTTCATCATATTAAACAAGTTCGATCAGGAAGGTAAAGTCTTTCTTCAAAATTGTGGATTTCATTGCAAGCAATGCGCTTACTTTAGCCTTATTCAACCATTATTAGTCGATCAGACGTATGTCGATCGGAAAAGTGAAGTTATCAAAGGTGAACGACGTTTGTTAAAAGAACTTGGATTTTGTGTGTATGTTCAACATCCGCATAAAGTAAACTATAACGTGATTGACAACTGAAATCATGCAAGGATTTTGTATTATTTAGATGATTACAATGTATTTGAAAGTTTTAGAAAAGGAACGCGAAATTAAGTTGGTTCAAACTTCTTGGTAGGTATTTATACTCTAATAGTTTACTTGATACCAAAAACGAATATGAGAATGTGATCAGGAGGAGTTTTATTTTCAGGAGGAGAAAAAAAAACAGAACACTTTTCTCTATTTGATATTTCATCTTAACTTTTGAAAATTAACTTGTTTCTTGTCTTTCGTCCAGGATTAATGGAATCTATTCGCGTATATAACCGTTCATACAACCGGAATATATGCACACACACACATTTACACTCGACTTTAACTCGAATTTGATCAAGTATCGGTCGGTATCAGTTTTTCTTATTCTTTTTTCCAAATATTCATCTCACATATGTTCTCTGTATTTTTCAGTTTTATCGATGATGAGTTTGTTGTTATCGTTTGCTTCAAAGCTGAAGAGAAACGTACATTTTCTCATATTATTATTGTTATCTATTCTACTAACATGCATTCCTATGACAAATAGATTGTTCGTATAGGTAGAGGAAGTGTGTCTGTCATAGTTTTGGGATAGTATCATTTGTGAACTGATTTAAGCTTTAGTAAACATAACGAACGAATCATTGTCGATAAATTTTCACTTTCGAGAACATAATTGTTACCGAGATACCGATACTTGATTTGAGAGAGTTCGATTTCATGATTCTTGTCGACAGCAGAACTTGTATATCTGGTTCTTTTCGGTTTATTTCAGGAATTACATGAATGATAGTCTACGAACGGATATTTTTCTACGATTCACGCCCGAAACAATCGCTTGTGCCTGTATTGATTTGGCTGCGCGTAATCTTCAAGTAAGAAAAGACTCTCATTTTCAAAATATGATATGATATGTTTTGTTCTACATCGATTAGATTCCTTTACCGAAGAATCCACGATGGTATCTGATATTTGGTGCAAAACCTGAAGAGGTTCGTTATATTATGATCGCTATACTTCGATTATACTACCGTCGACCGGTAAATGAAATGGACATAGGAGATTTATTTTTGACATTTGTCTATGTAGAGACCACTTGATGAGCTGGAAAAACTTGTGAATATATGCCGTGAAAAACGTGAAGATGGTAGGAAACGATTTCGATTAGAGGTCGGTAGTGATTCTCCCGCTCAACCATCTACTGTCGGCTCGTTTTCAACACCAATCAATACAAAACCCGAAGGTAAGACCATGGTCTCTCTTCTAATTGTGCTATTTCATATGTTGATTTCAATCAGCATCTACTGTGATTGAACCTCCTGTGTCACCACTAGTTACAACAACGACAATAGTAGTAGCAGAAGAAGTGCTAGGAACGACTGTGAACGGAACAGTTACGAACGCGAATGAACGTGAATCACCAACAGTGAATAATCATCGACATCGACATCATGATCATCGCAAAAAGGAGAACAAATCTCGTCATAGGTAAAACATTCTTAGATGCAAAGATCATCACCGACGATCTTTCATTTCATTTAGATCTTCTTCCGGATCATTATCTAAATCTCCAGATCATCACTCTCGGAAGAAGAAGAAACCATCGCATCGAAGCCGTTCGAGATCTCGGTATGGATCTTGCTGAACTCACTCTTTGCTTCACAACCAATTCTTTCCTCGATTTTAGTTCGTCGTCGCATCGAAGACATCGGCATGAAAAAGATCGACGATATCAGAGTCATCATTCATCACACAATCATTCCAAAAAGGATAAGAAACGACGGTCACGTTCCAGGTCACGTGGCAAACAGTAATTCGAGAAAAATATTTCTGAAATCAGAACCTAAACGCGATGTTTTTTTGTTTTAGTTGATCGTCGAATAAATCTGACCCAACTAAAAATACAAATAACAATGTCGATCAAAGTTCTTACGGAAAAGTCAACAGTATTATTTTCATTCTCCTCAAGAAAAGTCGATGCAAAAGAATAAAACTAGTCTCTGTATACATACACATTTCTTCTTTTGTTTTCTTTGCGGTAATTGTGCCCTGTAATATGTTGAAGAAAAAAAACGCAAACAATAAATAAGAAAACTTCCACATAAAATTCCAGATCGAAAACTAATTTTCTTTTCTTTCATTCAGAATAGATTTCTGTCCATGAACGGTCATGTCAAGTCCATCGAAACGCGTAGAAATAGGTTTGAAACAACGCGAAGACGAATATACCCAATATAAACAATACCATGTACTTGTTGGTACCTTTAATGTTAATAATCGCCAAGCTCCGCCCAATATTTTACTTAAACAGTGGTTCTCTCAATTAACAGATAAGGATGAGATATGTGTGCCAGATATAATCGCTGTTGGTTTTCAAGAAATCGACACAAGCGGTGGAGCATATATCTATGATGATAAAAGAAAAGAAAACGAATGGCAGGATTTAGTTAATAGGACGATTCAAGCTTGCTATGGAAATAATACAAAAGCGAAAGTGGAGTTTTTCTTACTTAAACAAGTTCGATTGATGGGTACTTATTTAGATTTTTGAGAGATATCCATCGACCTCGGTGTACTTTCTTTTGCAGGTATTCTGTTGTTTGTTTATGTTCGTTCAAATCATAAAGAAAAATGTACATATGTATCTTCAGCATCAGTTCCAACCGGCTTTTTCGGTATTGCTGGCAACAAGGGTGGTGTTGGTGTTCGTTTTCTTTTCTATGAATCGAGTATATGTTTTATTAATTCTCATTTTGCATCGGGTGATGGACAAACAACGAGACGTAATAATGATTACCAAACCATTGAATCAACAATGGCTTTCACAGATGGTCCGACGTATTCTTTGAAAGATTATATTTGGTACACATCCAGTACATCTGCCGGTAATCTTAATCCCTCTTCGAATAACACAACTTCTCATCAATGGTTCGTTAAACTTGAGTGTTATTATGAATGATTTTCAGTGACATGTGTTTAGGTGGAAAATCAATGACCATGATATCATATTTTGGTGTGGTGATATGAATTATCGTATATCGCAACCGAATGAGCAGGTGCGTCAAGCCATTAGTGAACGTTCTACAGTTCCGTTGCAAGAAAAGGATCAATTACGTTGTGAAATGAAATTGCAAAATGTTTTCATGGGATATTATGAACCACCGATTGAATTCATGCCAACATATAAATTCGATCCAAACACTGAAGTTTACGATACCAGTGAAAAACTCCGCACACCCTCATGGACTGATCGAGTATTGTACCGATCGAAACGTTTGAAAGTGAAAATGAATAACGAAACCGAAGTTGACACGATAAAAACTATTGAATATTCTTCTGCAAATGAAATTCGGTTCAGCGATCATCGACCTGTTAGTGGTCTCTATGCCGTCACCATCAAGTACGCGTGTGATGAAAAACGTTCAAATCAAATTCGAGAAGAATTGAATCGTATGAGTGATCGTTTCGAAAATGAGGCCATACCAACAATTGACGTGCATCCTCGACCACCGGAAATCAAGTTCACCAATGTTCGTTACTTAGATAAACCATCATATCCTTTAACAATAAAAAACACCGGCGAATGTGTCTGTTCTTGTACAATTCAGCCTTCGTCTCTTTCACCGTCATTTCAATATGTTATATGTTCACCAGCTCCACCTTATGTCATCGATGTCAAAGGAGAACAACATGTGAATATCAGTTTCAATGCTCGACTTCGAAAGGAATCCATTAGTGAAATTTTGATTCTACATGTTGAAAATGGTGCTGATAAATTTATTACATTAGATATCACTTTCGATAATGGACCGTTTGGCTTAGCACTAAATGAATATCCACCGACATTCTACGACAATGACACAAAAAAATATATTTATTCCATTGAAAAACCAGCGACTTCTGAACATATCGTCGAAATGATTAATGACCCACCTATACTTTACATTGCATTGATCGAAACATTAAAAGATCGTTCCGATTTGAATATGTTACAAATATTCAGTAATGAAACACAAGATTCACTTGATGTTATACCAATCCGTGATCAAATTTATGAGCATCATTATGATTTTAGCAAGTATTCTACCGCTGAAATATTTATGATCTTCGTTCATCTTTTACAATCTCTCAAAGATCCGCTGATATCATTTGAAATTCAAGATAAGATTTTCTCGAACTCCGCTCAATTGAACGACTCATCACGAGCTGTTAGTATTCTCGTTGAACAATTGAAAGGGAAAGAACGAAATTTATTCTTTCGTCTACTTGTACTTTTGAAAAACTACTGGCCAACAAAAGAACAAATCGAGAAAACCGATGATGAAGCAGGTGATGCATTCAATATGTGTATTGATATTCTCGCGCTTTCAATCTTTCATGAGCACCTTGATCGAACTCAACGACATGCGTGTATTTTAGCTTGTCTCAATGAAGAGAAGAAACCTTAATCAGTGTTTAGTTTTATTTTCCAATCTCTCTCTCTCTCTAGCAATATCCATTCTTCTTTGCTTTGACAGTTTGTGCCATAATATTTTTGTTCTCTCTCAATAAAGTTTCAAGCGATATCTTAGATGACAATGGACTCGGTCCGGTTCGATTCAATCCCTCGTCGGAATACGTATGTTTATATTGATAAATAAGGGGAAAAGGAGTAGAAGAAGAAAAATAATTATTAGAAAGTATATTTTGCTTTCTCTTTGAGTAATTTTTCTTTCGAGACAACAAAAAAAATCATTAACCGATAAATATATATGTTTTTGAGAAGATTAGTTGGTGTTGTGCTTTTCCAAGTGTGTATGTCTTCCTTCTCTCAAGCAAGAAAAACGATAAAGATAAGAAAAAATACGATCAACACAGCAAACACTTTTATAATAAGCCAACGATTGGATGTAACCGTACGAAGATATCTGAGTAGTTCCGTATGTGCACCTTCAATGTGTTGTGTCGCATCATCAACATTCGCATCGATTCTAGACTCAAAGAAAAGCAAAGTCGAATCAAATTTACGACTTCAAGTCAATTCACCTGTAGATAGATTCTTCCTGTTGTCGCACCATTGTCGCTAATTGGGTGAAAATATCGCCAAGTTCAACGATTGTTTGTTCAATATTCTGCATGGCTTCCGAACGACTTGATAGATAATTGTCCTAGAATTAAAGATTATTTTTCAACGAAAAAAAGACGAACAAGTGGTGTTACTGTTTCGTCAGCAACTAGTAGTTGTTGTTTCATGGAAGAATTGTACATTCCATCAGAACCCATATTTATAACCGCATCTCCTCCATTGCTCGCATGTTCATCACGAAAAAGTACAGATGGACGACCTACGATCGAAAAAATGTTCATTCAATACAGAATGATGTTTGTGGAAGTATACCGTTGATAGCTGCTGGGCCAGAACTTAATGACGAAGTCACTGTATTACTCGAAAAGTTATCTCGACGCGACTTTTGCTCTTTTAGATTCTAGACACGAAACGAAAGAATTCTCTCTCTGGATTCCTGTCAAACATACTTGAGTTCGATTTTCGAGAACTTGTTTAAAATCGTTGGACATAGTGGCTAGTTTCGACTGAAAAAAAAGGTGACGATAGATAAATTAGTTTTTGACGACGATTTCGAAATCAGTTTTACTTGTAAAACAAAAACAACTGAATTGGAATGTGTTTGAGAGTTTTTCGATTTGCTTCCATTTGTATTATTCATGTACTAGAACAAGACAAATGTCATACATATCATCGAATCGATTCATTCATTCATACTTGTTGGAGCTGAGCGATCTGTCGATTTAAATTACTGATATCTTGCTTTATTGACAGTGTCAAATCTTGAATTTCCATTGATTTANAGTTTTACTTGTAAAACAAAAACAACTGAATTGGAATGTGTTTGAGAGTTTTTCGATTTGCTTCCATTTGTATTATTCATGTACTAGAACAAGACAAATGTCATACATATCATCGAATCGATTCATTCATTCATACTTGTTGGAGCTGAGCGATCTGTCGATTTAAATTACTGATATCTTGCTTTATTGACAGTGTCAAATCTTGAATTTCCATTGATTTATCATTGAATAGCGATGATTGCTTTGCAACTAGAACCCAATAGGATAGTGTCATTCGAGAGAATAATTCAGAAAACTTACTTAAAGATAGTTGTTCTAGTTTAAGAAATGTTTGTGATAGATCATTTCCAATACGTTTTGCATGTTGCATAAACACTCCGCGTTGTTCTAAAGCTGTTTGAGGCTGTTGACGACGATTCATATGAACTTGAGAAGGATTTACAAGACCATTCTAAACATTTAATCGAATTTCCAACTAAACTAGCAATCACATCGAGATTCTTACTCTTTTGCTAGCGAATGTTTTGACTGTTGTCTGAAATTCACTCGTACGATCACGTCCGTTCGGCATAATTGTAAGTGGTAAGGAGAAAGAAGAAGATGACGATGAAGAATTATTATTATTGAGACTTTGATAGGCAAAGGGTTCGAGGGTTTCAACAATAGTTGTACTTGCGGGCGAATTTCTGGTTACTGATGGTGCCCAACGATGTCGTGCTTCTTGATGCATACACTAAATCCCAAAGAATTATTGTTTGTATGCTTCAACAATGGTCATACCAGTTGAGAAGAAAAAAGCGTCGAAAAATACTGGTATCTGAAAATTATAAAGATATTTGTATTGAAAGAAGAGGAGAATCAATAAATAACAAATGAAATAAGACAGAACAGAGGAACAAAAGGAAAACACAACCTGATCATCACAGAAAAGAATTTATTAATGAAAGAAAGAAAGAGAGAGAAGAATCACCAATATTTTCATCCCTATTGTAAAACATAAAAAGAGAAATTGATTAGCCTTGTTTTCTTTTCTCTTCAATAAAGTAAATAAATTTGGTGAGATTCAACAAAGAACATTTGTGCTGCACTAAACGAACTACTTCGATGCTGATGTGGAAATCAATAAACTTATCTACAAACGAAAGCATTCAGCACAATCGGACAACGAAGTTTTCATTACCTGTTCTTGGGATGGACATCCAATTATTTGAAGATCTTCTTCGGAATATTGGTCACGAATCAAAACGATTAATTCTTGATAAGTTTGTTGAATATTAGTCTACAACAATCATCATCATACCTGAAACTCTCGAACGTAACCTTACCTTAACTGGTTTGAACAATATCTGCTCGGTGTCTTTATTCGCTAAGTAAAGTGACATCATTTTGAATATATCTGGCAGTTGTTTTTTCATTAGGTTGTAATTTTCAATGATAAGATCGTGCAAAACTTCTGGTTTAGCGAATGGTTGTTGTCGTAGCGAAACTTTCTGTGTGTTATTGTTATCGTGATTCATCTTTAGAATAACTTGCGCTCTTTGTAAATATTGCCGAATTGGTCCGCACAGTTGATTCGATATGTCAGCGATGAACAGCTCACAAGTTTGTTTCAAATGTTTGTCAACTTCACGTTTCGAATCGATAAATGATTCTTTCACTTGTAACGTCCCTTGAAGGAGAAAATCGAGAAAGGCATTATCACGATTCATCGACAAGAGTTTGGATTTTTTGGTGAGAAATTTCATTGCTGCTTCTTTGAGTTTGGAAAAGTCGATGACCATTTCTTTGACGGCAAAATCGACATTGAATGGAGCGATTTGTTCGCGTAGGATCAACAAATGTTTGATAAGAAATAATCGACCATCTAAGGCAGTCTTGCGTTTAGTAATCATTTCACTGGCGGCGATTAACGACTGAACACACATTGTCAAAGTTTCTTGAGATAAACCTTGAAAAATGTTACGCTGAAAGGTAAGAACAAACTGATTACTGGAACACGAGAGAATTTCATGAACTTACATCGAGACAACGAAATAATTTCGATAAACAAACAAGTGTCCGTCGGACGGTTGGATACCACATGCCATGAAAATCAGCTGGAGAAGAATGCTGACCGTCTTTGGTTGTTGCTGAGGATGAAATCACCGCAAGATCAGTGCCAGGTATTGTTTCAAAGAAGACTTCCGTTGTTGAATCAACTGACGATTGAGAGTTCAATCTCGTTGCACGTTGCTCTTTCAATGATTGGGCAATTTTCTAATCGAAACGAAATTAGTACATTCCGAAGAGTAATTTCCGTTGGTATTCATCTACCTGCATCATTTCAAGTTTGTCTGGATAGGCAATATCGCCTGGTGATGGTTTGTAGGCAAGAATTTCATTTCGAACGTATACTTGAGTTCGATAGACTAAACGCTCTTGAACATCTTCAAGCATTTGTGTACATACTGTTTCAAAAGTTGATAATTCTTTAGCTAGAATGAGCTGAATTACGTTTCGAAGAGAATTTGTCGAATGTCTCTACCACTGTTTTTCACATGTTCTTCGATCATTTCGACTTTTAGAATTGTCACAAGTTCCGCAAGTGTTTCCAAGTGTATAACGTGAATAATCCGAGAACGAAGATGATCGTACAGAATATGACAGAACTCAGATAACATCGTACTGAATGATAAAGAAAACGTCTCTTCGATATGAATACTTCGAGATGGTTGAAACATACTCCAAATGTGTCGAATGTTTAGAGAAGAATTGATAGAATAATTGATATTCATCCAGACAGAGATGCAACAAAAATGCACAACCGCTACGAACCTAAATGTATTTTAATCGATGTGTCCTAGTTATATCGATAAACTCGATATATTTACCAATGTACACATATCTCGCTCATGTTTAACCGCTAGATCTTGAATAGCACTTTGCACACTGAAAAATCAAAGCCAACATGCGAGAAGTGTTCTCTGTTTCACGCAGTTTACCTTGCAGTTAACAGTATTCTCCTTTGATTGGTGTAACATTCATGACAGTCCGAAAGAGTTTTTTCGTATCTAGAATCTGACGTCATTTTTCAACACTCCAACAAAGCGATGACTCACTCGGGATTACGTGTACAGCGTTGCTCCAATTCTTCTGATAATACTTTGACTTTCGGCGCATTGATTCGAAAACGTCCGTAATACAACGTGTAGGTTTCGTTCGATAGCGGTGTTTGGCTCTGATCGATGAGAAAATTTGCTCAGACATGTTTTTCGTCAGCACCGACTTACCTACCTTGTTCGCATCGATCGTATTCGACGAATTTTGCAAGATTTGAATGATATGTGCTTTGATCATATTCAGAGCTTTCTGTAAAACTTGTTTCATTTGATTTTTATACATGAGCGATTGTTTAAATGAACTCTAAAAGTGTACAAAACAATGAAAACATCGCGGAACTTTTCTTGTCATACATGGGTATCAAAATAAGCTAGACATTCGTCAATACGAGTTAATGTTGGAATTAATTGTTTAACATCAGATACTAATGGTGTTATTGAAAGATTCTAAAAAGCATAAATAATCAAGATGAAAGAAAAAATGACAAATGATTTTTTTATTACTTTAGAAAATCGATCAACATCGTCAAAATAGGACAATCGATTATCAATACATTCGGTGATATTTAGTAATTTGGCTTGATCAGCTAGTAATTGTTCACATGCTCGGTAGAGGGAATTGGTTTTGTACGAGACTTTTGTGTAGGTTTCATGTAATGTGTCTAAATATTGAACTGCTTCATTAATATCATTATACAATGTTTGACATTGTTGTTCCCAGAGACAAATATGTTCGAATGTACTTCTACACGAAAAACTACATGTTAAAAGAAAGATAATTGCCTGATTTTCACATACTTTTGCTGTGGATCTCCGACAAGTGCTATTGACGTTTCTTCACTTGTCTTCAGAGATTTTTCAATCCAATTATCTAACTAAAAAGTCAAATTTTCGTTGCAAACGATATTTCAATCTCCGCTTCTCACCTGAACTAAATCTGAATTTGTCCATGGTACTAGTTCATTGGTGTTGGTAGTCTGAAATAAACAGTCGAACATGTTTGAAGAACGTTTCCACAACTATGTCGAAATCTTACATGATTTAGGTTCAAACCATATTTTGAATCGATGAGATCTTTCAATGAACCAACTGATTGCCAGGCCTGGTCGTTCAGAGGTGCTACACATTTTTCCAGATTATTATCGTCGTCCTTCGATGAATTGTCCCATAGAGTTGTTCGATCAATCAGTAACGATGTAGACGGCGACGGTAAGGTTTCGGTCATTAGATTTGTTTGCATTCTGTTGATAACGATTCATGCGAAGGGGAAAAACAATCAAATATGTGGAGTACTACTTCTCATCTTAATAATTGAAAAATGTCATGTTTCAAAAAAGAACAGAACAAATAAATAAGTAAACATAAACAATAACGAACGTGGCGAATTATTCCGTTTCCAATTGGTTCAGCGAATTCAGCCAATCAACGTACAGATAGATGGCTACTTATACTTACCTACGATGATAAGATAACTCGATAATGTCATGCAAAAACATCTTAGAGAGAATGGCAGATCAACCAGTTATTCCGTTTGATAAAACAATCCTTTGCTTACCATCTTGCATAGCTGTGCACGCTCAACTTCATCCCCATTTACTGAAATTTACATCGAATGATTATGTTCAATACTTTGAAAAATATCCACAATTGCATGTCTGTGGTATCCTAAGTAAAACCGACTCGGAAACAATAGTGATTGCTTTGGCTGTCTATCGCCGACATCCAAGTACTTATGATACCATTCGCTTCGAAATCGATGACATTGTTGTCGAAGAAAAATTGCGAAATAAGCAACTAGGGACACGTTTGTTCCATTATCTTATTGAACAAGCGAAACAATACGGCGTAAAACAGATTCTCATCCATTGTGATCCAATGAACACTGATGCTCATCGCTGGCTATTTCGCCTTGGCCTAACCATCCTAGTTTTCGAGTTTTACTTAACGAATCTTGAGCTTTCGGTCGACAATGATCGCATTCGTGTTGTCGATATCACCGATCTACCAGACGAGGAGAATGAGAAATTGCTAATTCAAGCGCAGGATGTATATCGTCAACTGCGACCACATTTACCCGCCGATGAAAAACAGTATGTCACGCAAATTCGAAACATCTGCCGCACTGGCCCTGCTCGCACACTAGTTGCCGTGAATGAAGCAAATGAGATACTCGGCGTAACATGTTATCGTGTCACGGAAAATCCAAACTACGGCACGCATATCTACTGCGATGATTTAGTGACGGATGAAGAAAAACGAAGCTTCGGTGTTGGCCATTGCCTGATAAATTCTATGAAAAAAGACGCAAAGAAACTGAAAATTGATCAGCTGGTGCTAGATAGTGGATGTCAACGAGGACGAGCGCATAAGTTTTACCATCGAGAAGGTTTCAAAATCAGCCAGTTTGGATTTTCAATGTTCATTTAATTCATGAGAGATTTTTACTTTTTAATACGATTAAAAAATTAGTTTTCTTCTGTCCGCAGTAGATCTGTTTTAGTGTTTGATTCAGCCATTTTGTCCGTTGCTGGAAAAATTTTCTTCCAAATCACAACTGCTACATTCATCGCTTCACGAGCATACTCATACGACTCAGCTTTTGCTTTATATTCTCCTAATAAGCTCTAGTTTTCCGCTAGAGACAAAAAGTTACTATACAAGTCATTGTTCTCCTTTTGTGCTAGTTGGAACTATGGTCGATGCAATACATTGTTTCCAGATCGTCAACACTCTATGCGGCAGTTTGCAAATTCAGCACTTAGTTCGAATCAAATTATTCTTCTTTATAAAAAAAAACTTGATCAAATGCAAAAATTGTCAAATGATTTCTTTCTTCTTATATAATATTTTTCAATGAAAATTCTTTGAATTTCAAAACTAATTTATTCACTTCCTTTTCAACTTCTTTAACGAATGCTTGATCGTTAATGGATGAGGAAAATTTTAGAGGTTGTATAGAAGAATCTAACCAAATTGGTTTAAATATCGAAAAGCAAGGTATTGATGTACGAGTTGCATAATGTTGTGCAATTTGATTTGTTGTCGGAATAACTGAAACTAATGAGCCAATTGTTTAATTAAATCGACTTGGACCAAAACTAGCATGTATATATATATCAATAGAAATAATTTTATTTTTTCCTTCGCGACTTGTTCTAATACTAATCGAACTAAATGCATTCCAGTTAAACCTTCATTTTTCAATGAAACTCTACTAATAAACAGTTCATTTCCAACAATTAAAACCCATTTCAGCACCAAAAGATATTCGTTGGAGAAGAGAGGATACATGAATATGTTTGCTTTAGAATTTGTGGGATCTTTTTTCGAAGGAATGTAACGAGTTGACAATGATTCATTATCTTGTCGTTCACTCATGACAAGCATTTTATCGCACGAAGATGCAAACATTTTTTTTCTCTAAATGGATAAATAGAAAGAGAAATGAATGATCTTATCATCGGATATCCATCCAAACATGTTTATTGTCGATAGAAGTCCCAATGCATCAGAACAGAACGATATATACAGTTCGATTTTCTTTGAATTTGACCAATATTTGTTTCACTTAGACTAAATCTTACTGGTACAAAAGTTGGATGTGGTAATGTTTATCATATTGTAACGATCGAAGGACTTGGTAAAATACATAAATCAAGTGGTAGTTTACATCCAATTCAAAGAACATTAGCAGAAAATTATGCTTCAAAATGTAAGAAGATGATTCGATTCCCAGGTCAACAAATCCGATCGGATTCCTGGAAACGGAATTGCATTGGAATCCGACTAGAAAAATCCCATCGGTTGTTGCAAATTTTATGAGCGATCTTTTTAGCTATGTTCTATGATGACCCTTAGAAAATCCAGGAAATCCATGTTTCGGATTCGATCGGATCCAAGACCATCGGAACCCAATGCGATTCCGTCACCAGGATTTCATCGGATCCGTCGGATTCCTGTAGGATCTGATAAAATCCTATATTGGATCCGAGTATGGGATTGTTCGATCTGGGTTGTTTTAGATGGATTTTGTACATGAGCAGTGATTGTTCAACAGGTTATCCATCAATTTTAATTGATGCATAGAATTCCTTTGCAGAAAAAAATTCCAACAGGGTGAATGTGGAGACTAGATTATCGGACTAATGGCAATCACATCTTCAGATTCTTTGTGTTTCACATCAACTGTCATATCAATCATTTTTGTGTTCAGTCTAGTAGTTGCCTAATTAATTAAAACAGAGTGCGGCATTTGATTTTGTCACGTGAAAATCTTCGCGCGATGAATATGCCGAGAAAAGAAGAACAAAGAAATTCATTGTGTTTTGTTCTGTTCGCACGTTAATATCATTCCCTGGTATACTATAGAACCATTTATCTATCCGTCCGTCTGTCTAGATGATTTCGTCGTATATAAATATCCATTCGTATCATCTCTTAGACATTACTATCTTTGTGTGCATATCGTACGAGTATATTCGACGAATTCTTTTCACTGATACTCAGGTCATTGTGGCCCGGTCGGTTCCGATCGGTTAAGTTTGCTTTCCGATGATTTCCTTGGCGCCGGATTCCGGTCGGAATTTCAAACAAAGTTTTCGATTATTTTCTGGCCACTTCCTACAAACCTTGAGTCGGAAACGGTCAGAAACTGGCCGGATATTTCCTCAAAACTTCCGACTGGAATCCGGCGCCAAGGAACTTGCCGAATCCGACCGAAATCTGCTGAATTCGGTTGGAACCGACCGGAATTATACCGAAACCGTCTCAGATTTAAACTGATCCGGTCGCCGGAATGATCGATCTGGGTAGTTCGCTTGCTATACCGTTGATCGATCATTTACATTGAAACATGGATGAAACCACATTCTACGCAAAGCTTGGTAAAGCGGAAGTGTCATTAAAAGAAAGACATTTCATTGAATGTGAAAAAGTGAGCAACGTAATATAAAACTCTTTGTATTATTATTTTTTCTTTCATAGTTTTTATCTGAACTGATTGAATCAGATTTTCATCCCGAACAAGCTAAATTCAAAGTCCTATTGTTACATGAACGTGTAATAGTGAATTATAAATTACAACATTTTGATTGTAAGAAAATATCTCACGTGATGCATAAAATAAATCTGATATTTGTTTCAGTGGTGATTCAAGATGCTGTAAAACTTCGTGAAATGGGTTCGGCAATCAATTGGGATGATGAAATATTTTTCATGGAGCAGTATGCAGTTTCATTTTTATTTTCATCTCTATGTATGATAACGAGCTTCTTTTAGACAAGCTATCGCGAATGTTGCAATCGATCAAGTGGTGAAACAGTTAGAAGAAACAAAATGTGAATATAAATTGATTTAAACTTTTTTTGTACACTAATATCGTACTCGTTGCTCAGTAGTCACTCAAAATATTTCTGTTAGAAAAGTTTGTTCAGTAGTGAAACATGTTTGGCTTTTCAACAAAGAAAAAAATGTATCTTGTATTTTAGCGAATACTTTATTTATTGAATCAATTATACAAATTCTTTATGCAATAAACCCAAAAAAGATTTTCAACAGGTTCGCACAATGTAAACTTCCATTCAAGTATTAAATGCGACCTTTATATAGTTTTAGAGCAACCGATGGTGTTGTACAATATGCTAGACAAACCAAAGGCTTATGGAAAGTTATGAATAAAATGTAGAAAAATTCTTATTTTCGTTTGATTGTCTTTCTGTTTTTGTAATAGATATTTTTTGTTTGACAATAATAATAAATCGAAAAGCAATAAAGAAAAATCAGATCGTGTTCACTAGAATTATCCACAGATATTTTCCAGAACATAGATAATAGAATTAATAAACCAATTGATAAAAAGAGGTTCTTTCCAAATTCATCTTTCGAAAAGGTTAAATAATTAAATGAAATTATAGTTGATCTTCTCCATTTATTCCTCGTGAATTCTTGCCAAAATGGTATTCGTAAAAGCCACTCATTTAGTAATTCATTAACCTAAATTAAAACAAATATTCAATTTCAAATAAAATCTTTTTTCCTCTCTCTATGAAATTATTATAAATGTTTGCTAAATCTTGTTGGTTGGTTGTCTCATTCATTCCATATTCTTTCAATCGTTGATGCAACTGTTCGTCCTAGTAGTCGCTAGCTGATTGAAAATGGTTCATTCGAGTGTATGCGCATACAATTTCAATATGAGCTAGTGGCGGCGCCAAGGGTGGGCTAGGGTGGGCTCAGCCCACCCTAAAGGTATCTGAGCCCACCCTGAGTTTTCCTGAAAACCAGCGATAAATAAACTCTAGGGTGGGCTCAAATAGCCTGAGCCCACCCTAGTCTGGGTTAAGTTGGGCTAAGCCCACCCTAGTGAAAATTCCTGGCGCCGCCGCTAATATGAGCTTCTGTGAGTCGGGGATGCGAAGGTGGTAATATTGATTCAGAGATTTGTAATGCCTCTGGGAATTTCTTATCATCACCAGGATGGTTTTGTACACTTCTAAACTGACCGAGACTGCAGTAGAGTGAAGCGAGATGCTGTTGAATGTGTTTGGGCGCACGCTTTTGGACACAAAGGCCTTATTCAAGATTCTCTTGAGCTTCGTCCAATTGATTGATACTAAAGTGTGCTTGGCCCACATAATTATCGGAGAATTGGAATTGCATTTGAACATCGAGTACTTTTCTATAGGAATCTAATGCTTCATCGTAGAAACCTAGTCGAAAATAGATTATCCCAAAATAGTTGTAAACAGCGACTAAATTCGAGTCATTTTGATGTTGTTTATTGTCTAGAAGTTGATTGAAATATTGTTTACTAGCTCGATTCTCACCGAGCTCAATTAAATAGCGAGCAAGGAGAATGTTGAGAGTGGTTTGAGATGACTGCTGGATTTTCACTTTCATTTCGTCTACGAGCGTCAAATGAAAGTCACGTACTGTTAATGTGACTCGCTTAATTTCAAGATCGACCTTATCATTCGAAATGTCGTTGATTTGAAATTTCGAACCCATACTAAAGAGAATCTCATGATTTTGCCACTGGAGCGATGTGGCCTTTTCCCAGCTAGTCTTTTTATTTTTCGAAGTGAAGAGAAATCCGTTGATACAAATCATTGCATCCTTCTGCCCCTTGAATTTTTTCATCGCTCAGCTTCTCAACTCAATAGACTTCGAATTTTTCCGAAAATTTCCATTGAAGGTAAACCCATTCAATCATTTGACAAAGCGCACTTATGTAATACCGATGGCACATTAATAATTGGAAATGTTCCGAGCGTAGAATGTTGTTCACTTGCTTCAAAATGCCGGAACCAGAGTGCATTATAAACACGGGACATTTCATCAGCCGACTCTAATGTCAGAATTTCTGTTTTTGCTTCAGCAAATGAGCATGTGCTTCAAGCATAGTTTTTCGAGCTAATTCTATGTCGAACTGCAAAAATGCACCAGTTGATTTTTCCATAGCAAGGAAGATTTTAATTGGCAAAAGAAGGTCAATCTTAATTGTTGTTTTAGAAGCCGATGGCTTATTTGGTTGGTTGATTATGGATAGTAGAGGCGATTTTAGTTGTCCTGACAATGCCGGGCTAAATGAATTCGGAATATTACGTAGCGTTGCCTTCCGTTGACGAGATGAACGTCGAGATTTGTCTTGTAGCATGTTTAAACATTTTTCCATATTTGTCGGAGTTCGGTGGTTCTTCTGTGATTGCCGACGATAAAAGAAAGAAGGAAGTCGAGAAACTGCGAGAAACTTCTCTATGATAATATCATGAAATATAAACATCAATAGCGGTAATTTCATAATGATTTGAAATAAGTTTAGTCTTTATTTGGCAAAGTAAAAGGAGTACTCACGTAAAATATCGAACCATTATAAGTCATCGCATTGCAACAAGTAATGACATACATATGTCGTCTTTCCACAAGAAAAAAAAACTAGTTCCTTTAGTAAGTCGCTTCCATATCACAAATCAAATGATATCGAATTCAAAATATTCTATGCAACCGATCTCTGAATGGATCTAAGATTCAAAACGAATTGACACTATAATATTCTTCCGCCATCTATCACATATGTCTCGCATTCTTTTTCTCAGCAACGCGTTGGTATCATTTGGAGCAATAATAATCTTTCATCACTATTCTTCACATATAACTTGAAATTTCTCTTTTAATTGTAATTATATAAAATCATAGGGTTTTTTCAAGTTTTTTGCATCTAATACAAACTAACTGATTCGTATAACTAACAATTGTTGCTTGTTAGAAGTTTGCATCGTTTCTTTTCTTAGACATTGTCGATGATGAAAGTATAAGAAGTTTTTTCTATGTTTGGTTGCATGATAGTTGAACGAAATGAATGTGCCGAATAGATAGCATTTAGTAATGTTTTTACTCTTCATTTCGAAAGCTATAGCGTTTGCGTAAATAACAGACATACTTGCAAGTGTATTCACTATCGGATGCGAAAGATACAACGAATCTTTCTTTAGATTACCGATTACATCATGGAAAATGACACTTTTTCTTCTTCTCTATTAACTATAGTTACAGCCAATATACGTGACCGGCTTAAAGTATCCAGTATGAAATTTGATCGGTAGAAGTTTATCGTTCAATGTCTCATCGGTGAAAATCTAAAGGTCAAGGTGTTGATGACATTCTGAGACCGATAGCATCGCTGAATGTATTTCAATCGAAGTAATTTTTAAAACTTGTTTATTTGTAGATCGAAAATATGGCTGATATTCTCTTTGAAGATATTTTCGAAGTGAAGGATATCGATAGTGGCGGAAAGAAATTTCTTCGCGGTAAGTTTTCATTCGAATAAGATCAGGAGAAATACGATTTCTGTTTTAGTTTCGCGAATTTTTTGTGAGTCCGAATCGTTTAAAATGGATTTAATTCTCGATGTCAACACACAAATCTATCCGATGGAACTTGGTTAGTATATGAAATTTCCAAGAATAAGCTAGTCTTTCTTTTTTCGTTTCTATCCAAAGCCGAGAGAAAGGTATCAATATCAAATAAAAGAAATGAAAGAGTGCACATAAATAATGCCAATTTCTTTCTCTTTCGATTTTTCTCTCTTCGATTGCATATATATTTATATAATCTGATAAGAACATAAGTGGTGGATAGAGAAGAGAGAGTAAAAAAATGAGGAAATTCAATAGGTAGAGAGCAGAAAGAGAGAGAAATGTTGATCACAGCTGTTCGTCATTTTCAAATTATTCTCGCGTTGATCTTCGCATTCGTTTGGATTACTTTTTTGCTAGCTGTTACTGCTACTTGCACAATCTAAGCACGTAAGTACATTCAGAGATGAAAGATGAACAACAAAAGGCAGTCGCATAGGGTCATCTGTATTCTAAAACGTGTAATCCTTGTGTTCATAGTTCACTAATAGTACTACACGTATGATTATAGCGTAGATTTATTTAACGTAAGAACAACACAGATGGCCAAGAAAGAGAGAAAGAAAAATTTAATTTCAACCAAGTTTATCGTCGTGCATAGACATACACAGCTGACTTCATTTCTCTTCAGTCAATCAATCAAGCTCGTTTGGCATGATAATAAAAAAATCCATCCATACACATACCTTAAGCTCTCTCACGATGATAATAAAAACGCTTAGTATATATTCACGATATCAGTCCACTTGAATATTGAGAAAAAGAGAAGTATTACGCGTAATGTCATAAAAAAAGGAAGAAATTGAGAAGGTTCTTTTTCCTTTTCTTTCGTTTTATACTTTTACAACATTGATTCGTTTAGTTCGAAGACGGCTTCAGTTCAAACTACGAGTTGAGTTCGTTTTCATCTTTTCTAGGTGATAAATTTCGTTTGAAAATATGCACAACCTTACGCGAAGATGGAAAACCTGATACAGGTGAATTCAATCAACATGATACTGCACCAAGTCGAGCCGATCAATTTGAATATGTAATGTACGGGCAAGTCTATCGAATCGAAGGTGATGAATCTGGCAGTGAAACGGCGTCGACGTTGTAAGTTGAATAGATGTTATTAAGAGAAAAGATCTATGTGTCGTTCATTTGCTCGTGCCCGGCAATGCCTTTGCACATGATTACCAAAAGACTGTAAATGCATTGGTCTGGTACGAACCATTGGAACGTTTTCATCGTTGTGATGTGTTTGGAATTGATAAGAGATGATCATAATCATTACTGTTTTCTCTCTCTCTCGTCTAGATCAGCCTACGTCTCATTTGGTGGTCTTCTCATGCGTTTGAAAGGTGATGCAAACAATTTACATGGATTTAAGATTGATTCCAGTGTTTATTTACTTATGAAAAAACTAGCCTTTTGAACCATGGAAACAAATAGAAACTCTTGATGTTTGTTGCTGTTCCTTTTCTTGTGTCTTTGTTTAAACAGAAAAAGAAAAAAGTCAAAAGAAATTAATTGAATAACAGACGACCTTCACACCCATGATCATTATTCATTCGAATCGAATGTAATTCGACAAGCCTCATAGCTAGAGACTTTGCATATTTGTCTATCATTTATTTCGAAAGGAGTGTTCGTAAAGCGCCTAATCTTCATATTTCATCAGTAAATCATTACATAACAACAAAATATATTTAGTCGTTTGAAAGTTTGTTTTTAATATCTGCCTACCTTTAACCATCAACATCTTTTTCTTTCATCTTAAATGAAATACAATAAACACAAGCCTACAACAGCTGTCAGTCAATCAAAATTGAACAAAAGGTTAATTATTTTCATTGATATTTCAATTTCATTTGTACATTTCGCGATCATATAGTACAGTAAATCTTTCTCATTCGAACGAAAATGCCAGTTTTTTTCGACGTTTACTTCAATCATTATTTCAAATTGATCTTCAGAACGATCGACTTTGCACATGCCAATCATTGAATCGAAACGGCAATGCGTTCACCAATGACAATGAGAATCAACAACTCTATCCTCATATGAGCAAAGTCTATGATGGTGATACAGATCTACTTGAACATGTACATATAATCATGTCGACAATCAAACCCGAATATTCGATTCGGGAACAAGACGAATCGATGGAACAACGACGTCATCGACGCACAAGAGTTTCGAAACAACGTGCGAAAGTTCTAATCACTGAATATTGTTCGCGTAAAATCGTTGATAAAATAAAGATCTCAGCAAATAAACGAAATTATTCGTCGCTCTGTTTTTCTTTCATTAATCCTTTTAGAATGTGCTAGATAAGAGTTCAAGTCAAGTGATTGGAAACATTTATACATAGTTTTTGCAACTTTAAACTGCTAGAATTCGAACAAATTGTATATTCTGAATTAATTTAAAATAGGACAGAAAACGGGAGACGAAAGATTTTGTTCTGGACTGTTATCATTCTTTAATCTAGTCATATAGATCACCATCATTATTACCACGTCCAGCGTTACCTATTATTCGAAAAGGAAAAGCACAACATGAAACTTATGTTAGTAAAAGTGATGACTGGACTTACCATGGGCTCCTGGTGCTGGTTGTTGTTGATTTTGATCAAAACGAAATTGTGTGCCGAATCCACGGGATTGCTGTAGTGTTTGGGCAAACATTTCATATTTGCGAATGTCATTATCACTAACTGATCGTCGTGCGAATTTCATCGCTTCTTCGAAATGATCACGACGAATTTCTGGTACAAGATCTGTTTCATCAGCATCCATTGCTGCTAATCCTCGCCGTTGTCGATCCTTTTGTCGTGCAATATCCTTCTCAATGGATTCACGAATAGCTAATTTACATGCACGTTGACAAATTTCCGTCAAATCGGCACCACTGAAACCATTGGTCACTCGAGATAATGTATTCAAATCGACATCTTTTGCTATTGGAGACTTTCTTAACGCGGCTCTGAGAATAGCAAACCGAGATTTTTCATCTGGTAATGGAATATAGATCAATTGATCGAGCCGACCTAAAAATAACCGAAACGTGTTCATGTGAGTTTGTCAAGATTCTGATCGATTTACCTGGTCGAAGGATGGCTGAATCAATAATGTCCGGACGATTGGTTGCACCAATGATGAAAACATTCTTTTTAGCTCCCATACCATCCATTTCAGTTAGAATCTGATTGATAACTCGATCAGCAGCACCACCACCATCACCAGCACTTCCACCTCGAGATTTGGCTATAAAGAAAATATGAAACATGGCAATCTTAGAGCGATTTCGATATTTCTCTCTTACCAATTGAATCTAATTCATCAAAGAAAAGTACGCACGGTGCAGCTTGTCGCGCTTTATCGAAAACGTCACGAACATTTGCTTCTGATTCACCGAACCACATGGTCAATAGTTCAGGACCTTTGATCGAAATGAAGTTTGCTTGGCATTCATTAGCAATTGCTTTTGCTAGTAATGTTTTACCTGAAAGGAGGGAAACGTACGTTCATTATCATCAAGAGAACCGCTGCATATATATATATATCTCAACATACCGCAACCTGGTGGTCCATAGAAGAGAACACCACGTGATGGTGTCATGCCGAATTTGAGGAATTTCTCTGGATGTTCTACTGGATATTGAACAAGTTCTTGTAGTTCACGTTTGACGTTCTCCAAACCACCAACATCGTCCCACGTTGTTGTTGGAACTTCAACAACAGTTTCACGTAAAGCTGATGGATTTGATTGACCGAGAGCAAAGCGGAAGTTATCCTGTGTAACGGCTAAGGAATTGAGAACTTCGGCATCGATCGTGTCTTCTTCTAAGTCGATGACATCCATTTTTTCTCGGATTTGCTGTAGAGCTGCTTCGGAACATAAGGAAGCCAAATCTGCACCGACATAACCATGTGTTTCGTTACCAATCTGTACAAGATCCACATCGTCAGATAATTTCATATTTTTTGTATGGATACGAAGAATTTCTAAACGACCAACGGCATCAGGAATGCCAATATCAACCTCACGATCGAAACGACCGAAACGACGAAGAGCTGGATCAATGGAATTTGGTCTATTTGTAGCTCCCATAACTATCACATGTGAACGTTGCTTCAGACCATCCATCAATGTCAATAACTGAGAAACAATACGACGTTCTACTTCACCGTTCGTTTTCTCACGTTTTGGTGCAATGGCATCGATTTCATCGATGAAAATAATAGCAGGAGAATTCTATTGTGAATGAAGCAAAAGCAAATGTTGTGAAAGAAAACCATCGTATTTATAAATTACCTTTTCAGCTTCTTCGAAAGCTTTTCGTAGATTGGATTCTGATTCACCGGCTAATTTCGACATAATTTCCGGCCCGTTGATGAGAAAGAAGAAAGCACCAGTTTCGTTCGCCACAGCACGTGCAATCAGAGTTTTGCCTAAAAAAGAGAACGGCATTTTCTTGTCACAAGAAATCGCCTTCTGAATCTACCTGTGCCTGGTGGACCAAAAAGAAGGATACCACGTGGTGGTTTCACACCAATCGTTTTGAACAATTGAGGATGTCTCAATGGTAGCTCGACCATCTCTTTGATTTGTGCTAATTGTTTTCTAACACCACCAATGTCATCATAACCGATCTCGTTCAATGATGCTTCTTCTTCTGCACGTTTAATCGGTTCACCTTCACAGTGAATAACTGTATCCGGTGCGACGATACAGTATGGACTTGGATCAGTTTCCATCACTTTAAATTCAACTGCACGCATACCACCTCGTACGATGAAAACATCACCTTTTTTCAATGGTCGATAAGCTTCAACAAAATAGGGTTTTAAATAAACTTCGAATAAATTTCCTGTTATTCCTTGAACAGTATTATCAATCGGTAACACTTGAATACGTTTACCATATTTGACATCTTGGCAAGCTTGGACAGAAACAATATCACCAGATCGAATGCGTAAATTGTTTCGTACCACTCGATTCATACGAATACGATCATTCGAACAACTTTCGTCAGCAAGAACAATACAGATTGTTTCACGACGCTTTTTGCCTTTGATTAGGACAGTGTCACCACGGAATAGTTGTAATTCATCCATTTTATGCTGTGACAGTCCAACTACGCTATTGTCATCGTTGTTAGCATCGTCAACGATCAAACGATTGGGTCGTTCTTTACGATTTAGAATGGCTGTGGCATATTTGTCTTCTTTGGATGAATCTACTGGTCTCGCCATTTATAAATGAATAATGCAGAAAGAAGAGAACTTCTTTTTATACAATCTACAAATGAGAAGATAGTTAAGATGTTGAAACGAACATAGGAAAGAAAAGAGAGCATTTATTAAGATGAGTGAAGTGAACGAAGCGACGCAATAGATGTAGATGCGCAAACAGTTTAGGTTGGATTTGGAATTTCTATTTGCTCATTTGAGCTAGTTTCATCCGGCGTGATATCTTCATCTATGAATTCTGCTTCGTCTTCATCTGGTGATGAAGATGAACTTGATGTGTTTGCCAATTCAATGTTACCGTATCTATTGATGGGTTGAAAATGATGACCTCTCTTTGCTGATGTCTGCATTTGTATCATTTGAGGATAGTTATATCCGATACCAAATCGGCTCATTATATTTCGGATGTATTCACTCGAAGCTAACAGTGAACCGTATTGAGCCGAATATATGTGTGGATCTACACGAACTGTGCCAAGATGACGAATATTCTGGACAATATTCACACAGGGCGTGCCATGTGTGATGATCGTGCTCGTTCGTACTGATTTTTGCTGCATGGGCATATGTGCCCGTTGCACAATGACTCGTCGTTGTGGCGGTGGTTTGTATGGAAGCCACTTCTCAATAATTACGGGTTGTGGCTTTGGTGGCAGCGGTAATTGTCGTTGCATAATTATTCTGCGTGGTGGCGGTGGTGCGGCTGGCAAGTATCGATTTACTATGCGCGGAGGATCGACAGGTGGTGGAATAGGCGGACGCTCTCGTATAACTATTGGTGGTGGGGTCTTAGGTGGCAATGAACGTTGATGAACAATCAGCGGAGCTTTCTCAAAAGGCGCCGGTGCATACATTTCTCGAATTATCAGTGGACCTGGCTCGGGTGGTGTAGGTGGTCGCAAGTATCGGATAAATATATTTTGTTCATATGTAATTTGATTATTATTATTGCGTTGAATATGTTGTGTATATGGATCATGACTAATGTTGGTAAGCTGAGTTTCATCTACGAGATGATCAAGTGCATCAGTGGAAGGAGAAGGTTGCTGTTGTCCGTGCACATGGATCGTGGTTCTATTCGAAGTATCACTACTTCGTTGTTGATTTGTTTCCGTCAGAACCTTAGAGTTTGTCGACTCGTGTACTGAGTAAAAAACCTCGTCATCACTGGCGGATAGATGCGATGCAGGACTATTTTGATTCGTAGTTGTTGACAATGGTACAGTTTCAGCTCGATCTTCCGACATGTTATCTAATGATTTTTGTGTTTCTTACTGCACTGTTTTCTCTCATTGACTTTATACGGAACACTGTTAGAAAAATTAGTAATGAATTAAGGAACATGAATAAATAGCGATCGGTCAGGTGTATCGGAATATTCATTTGCGTAGGATGTGACGCAATTTGTAGATAGTTCATAGAAACTTGGCTACATAAAACGACATAGTTTCTCTTTCCGATACAAATGACTGTCTTCGAAGACTAAGACAGTTGTCCACATTACCGTAAAGGGAAACTTTCGCGTCCTATCCCGTGCATTTTCTTCTACAAATATAACAAAAGAACTCGGTGTCACAAACCTACATTAAGGACTTCTAACATTATTGTCATAGTTTGATCAAACCGCATATCGCCGTCCGAAAAAGCGTTCGTGCTGACATACTTGGTTTTTTCCCTCCACTGACTAGGAAATGATTATGCTCATAGAAACACATCAAATAGAAATTTATAAAAGCTTCACCGACTAAGAAAGCAACGTACCTGTTTTATGTCTAAATATGGATAGAAAACTTTCTCTATATATAGTCTTATCGTAATGGTTGGACTACATATGCTTGGTTAAGCGATGATTCTGAAGTTGTGCAAGTTTATGACACGAACACCCTTCGAGACTCATTTGTGAATCATGTTCTATTACATTCAACCTATCAGCTACTGACAAGACTTATACAAGGAAGAAAAAGGAATAAATGAAAATAAACTTTTTCGAATTTCATTGAAGAAAACATTACATTGCTTTTTATCTTGGTTTCTTCCTACTTCGTAAAAACTATTGGGAGAGAAAAAGGGATAAGTTTGTTTTGCAGTGACCAAATAAACAGATGACAAGACGTTAAGTCATTGAAGAAAAAGCTACAATGTCATGGTGATTATGCAAAATGAATATTTATATTTTATTCATAAGAATAGAGTAGAAAATTCCTGTTTCGTCATCATTGACGCTTTAGGAATGAATAAGAAAGTGACAGCGATATTACTTCTGTTGAATAAATATAAATATATTTGTATAGATGCCGCTATTTTACAAGTATCATCTGTATCGCTGTATCATATTGTGAGAATAATTTCATTTACTAATTGATAGCTCATATATTCACTTCAAACGAGTTCATCAAAGACATGTATATCAGCACTTAGGATCAAGTGTCGATGTGCAATGCAAAGATTTCGTTTTCATACCTATTAGCAGTCTGCACATAAAAGTACTGATTTCGGTTTTTCTAAACATTCGATAAGTAGAAGATTGAAACTCTCGACAATTACACTTTTACAGTCATGAAATCATCAATCAATTAACTAAGAAAGCGACAGTAAGATTCAATACAGATGTCACTGTGATTGAATATCTAGTCATCCATATCATTGAAATTTTCTCACATTATTACCGAATATCACTCTTGTATATGTAATTAGTGCTTGATAATCGCTATTAAATAATTACATTATTCTTGCAATTACCGATCAGAACTTATTGGTTCTTGCATCATCAAACTAGAGGCGATGAGTCATGGGTAAGATTTTGCTATACTGAGGTCTTTTCACTATTGATATTCGTCTCAAAAGATGCAAAATCTGCGATTAACCGATACTCGAACAGTATCACTAGGTGATTTGACCGGTGCTAATGTGATTCAACGTTTTGCTATCGATGCTGACAACCGAATTGTCTATTTGCTCACATCTCAATCCATACATTCTCTAACATTAGATGATAACCAATATAAATCAATATATTCTTCGCCTGATCCAACAGCAACATTTCAAGATCTTTGTTATCTTTCCGAAATCAATCGTCTTGCTTTGGGTTTGTCCAATGGTGATTTACTTTCTCTACAGTTCGAAGATGATCCAGAGGATAACGTTAATAACATTGGTACATTAGAAGAATGTATACATGAATTGAAAGCAAGTCCAGATCAACAAATTCTTGTAGCAGTCACTAATACCAAAGTGCTTTTACTTTCAACGCACAGTGATTACGATCCGATTTCGGAAACAATACTTGATACAAATGAATTTGGTGAACAACAATTGGTCAATGTCGGTTGGGGTTCAAAATCAACTCAATTTCACGGTTCCATTGGTAAAAAAGCTGCACTAGAACCAGTTGCATCGACACCTACGAAGTCACGGTCGCAGCACGATGATGGTCGAAGTCATATTGTATGGCGTGATGATGGAGATTTATTTGCTGTTTCATTTATTTCTTTAACAAATCAATGGCGCACGATAAAAATCTTCAATAAGCAAGGTCAACTACAATCAACCAGCGAGGCACCTCTTAACGGTTGCATTGAGTCCGCTATAGCATGGAAAATCAGTGGTGATCTAATCGGTGCTGCAATGCGGTTCAATAATGGACAAAAATTAACTGTTAGTTTCATGGAAAAGAATGGTCTGAAACACGGTGAACTAGTTTTAGACAATATCGGATATGTGAAGCATCTAGCATGGAATAAAGATTCAACAATTCTTGCTATAGTTCTTTGTCAACAGGTAATTTCTTTCAGTATACAATTTATCTGTGAAATTCAGTAAGTGCTTTTAGAATGATTCTTTTCTTCAACTCTGGTCATCGAGTAATTATCATTGGTACTTAAAACAATCATTTCCATTTCCTTCCATAAATATTCAAGCACTTCTCTGGGATATTGACAGTGCAAATAAACTTCATTTTGTAACCGATAATGGTCGATATCACACAATGACATGGTCCTGGACAAGTGAAGTCAGTTATACGAACATTCGTTCACTAGTCTTTCTCATCGGTGGTTCTCGTCTGTTCGTGTCGGATTTCACTCATTCATCCATTCCACCACCAATGTCATCCTATGAGATCATCTGTCCATCATCTATTCTTGCCATCGCTTTCGACGACGATCATGATAAAATAGTTCTTATACTTTCTGACTGTTCGTTAGCCATATGCGGTACAACATCTGGTCTACCGGATTACCGTACAGTCGTTCATTTATCGCAAGTTCAATCAGCACATTACGTTCAGGCAGTAATTTCATCAACCGATTCACCAATTAAGAACATTCATAATGCCACACATTTCCGTCTGATTAATAATCAATTGATGTTCATCGAAGACTCTCATTTACATATTTACAATCTTGAAACCAAAAGCAAAACAAGTTTGCCTTTAAATTTCAATTGTCTAACAACAGCAGTTGATCATGAGAATGACAAACATTTATATCTACAAGATGAACACGGCAAAATCTTTCGATTAGATAACAATGACCTACATGCAAAAATGCATTTTCCTCGACCATGTTCACATTTTTCCATTGTACTTAACGGGCAGTTTGTCGGTTTAACAGAAAACTACCGATTGTATCTCAATACAGTTGAATTAGCACACAATTGCAATTCATATTTCATTCATGATAAGACCATTCTTGTTTACTCAACATTACAACATCAGTTAGCTTTTCGATCGTTGATCAATAATCAAACAGCTACTGAAATCAGTCATCGACGAACAGGTACGTCATCATTGTCGAAATTTTCATCGTCATAGTTCTGTTATTGTAGAACGTGGCACTCGCATCGTTTGCACAGCGTACACCGACTTAAAACTGGTTCTGCAAATGCCACGAGGTAATCTCGAAACAATCTATCCTCGACCATTACTGCTAACTTACATATGTTCGGAATTACTCGACAGTAAAACATTAGACTACAAACGTGCATTTGAATTAATGCGTAAGAATCGATTAAATCTCAATTTTCTCTATGATTACAAACCTAAGCAATTCTTTGACCATATTCCAACGTTTATCGCCAGTGCTCGAAACGATGATGATGTCTGTTTGTTTCTCAGTGAAATCGACAATGAAAAAGATACACGTGATGAGTATATGAAGTATATCTTGAAACAAGAAGAAAATCTTTCGACTGATCATCACATTTGGCATCCAAAAGCGAATCTGATTTGTGAAAAATTTCGCTCATGTCTACAATCTTCGCCAAACGCTGATGAACACATGAACTCCATTCTGACCACTTACATCAAACAATCGCCAGCGAATATGGAAGGAGCATTAAAGTATCTGAACGAACATCCAAAATTATTCGATAATGCCATACGTTACTTAACATATTTCATCGATATCGATCGTCTATATGATATTGCTTTGGGTACATATAATTTCGATCTTGTTTTAATGATTAGTGAAAAGACACAAAAAGATCCGAAAGAATACCTGCCGGAATTGAATCAATGGCGGTTAGTGACCAATTACAATTGGAGAAAATTCAAGATCGATTGTCGATTGAAACGTTTTAAGAAAGCGATCGAGAATGGTTGTGATTACTTCATCGAACATTTGCTAGAGAATCAATTGAGCGAAACGAACGAAAAATTTCCAGAATTTTTGCTTGTCTTGGAGAATAATCGGCTATACAAGTTAGCTCTGAAGAAATTCTTGGCCAACGAACAGATTAAACCGACTATGGATTATGTGTGTGAAGTTATTCGGTTATATGGAGATTATCTGATGACGAAGAAGTATTACATCGAAGCAGCGTTAGTCTACGAACGTGGACAATTCTATGAACAAGCAAGTAAAGCTTTTCGGCAAGGAAAAGATGTGCAAAATTCATTAAAATTGCTACCAGAGGTGATGAAACAAGTTAAACAAGTGAGTTTCCGTATGAATCTATAATTCAATAATCAATAGTTCTGTTTAGGCGATCGTTAATCCCGAGTCGTATCGTTCATTAGCTGAACAATTCCGTCATGATTCTCTATACGTCGAGTCCGGTCAAATCTACGAAAATTACCTAAACGATTACGAAGAAGCCCTTCTATCATATCTACAAGGTCACGAATGGTCTCATGTGATTCGTTTATTCGCAACATTCTTACACGATCGCCATGATTTATACGAACACGAGTTTCTGTCTACATTCAATAGTTTCTACGATGATCTCCAACGACAAATTCGCAATGACTATGACAAATTTCAAGCTCATACCAAGCGTCTTTATCTTCTTCGAACAAACTTGTTCCATCATATAAAAGAAATTCTCGATTCCGGTCGTGACTACGACATTGACGAAAATGACGATCAGTCCGACAATGATGATCAGCAACTTCCCGATGATCGACGAACACTAGCAACACGTACAGCTGCCGATGATACGGGCTCTATTCGAACGCGTTTAACGAAAAAGTCCGGCTCGATTTCATCGAGTAAAAAATCTCAACGCCGTGCTGCCCAACAACTCGAAAAATTAGTTCAACTGAAGGAAGGCTCGAAGCATGAAGATCTCGCCTTAATTCGCGAATTGTGGTTACTGATCACCAAATTCGATAAGCTGAATTACGACATTCGTCATGTAAACAAAATTTGTTATCAGATCAGCACTCATCAAAATTCACTTGAATTTGAATGCAAAGGCGAAGCATTACAAAACAAGTACAGCGAATGTATGGCTTTGATCGAGAAACAACTAATAAATATCTGGTTAAGCGGTCCTGACCAGCAAGACAATGTTCAAACGTTGGTTATCAATAAGAAGATTCGAGAGAAACTAAAGAAAGAACTTGATTTAATTTCTAATCAGTATCGCGTGTCGCCGGTATTAAATTCAAAAACATCTCAATGGAAACTTGTTCTTTTTGATTCGGATGTTTCAGTTTAAATGTTTGTTGTTTTCCGCGATGTTTTTCTTCTAGATTTTTCTAATAAAAAACACGTTGATTATGTCGGAAAGAAACGAATGACTTCTATCTGCACTCCTACGTTGGTCGTAAAGGTAAATTTTGACCGGATGGAAAATTACGTCACAAAATTAATTACAATTATTTAAAAGAAGGACGCCCATGCAAAAAGAAGTCTATGTGAACCGAGCGGCCATTGAAGAGTTGAAACGGAATATCAACAATTCCGACATTGTGAAAGAAGACGACGTGATTTGGTAAGTTGAAGACTTTCGTCATGAAAATGTCTTTATCTTGAAATTTCTAGGCAACTCGAACGTCACTTAGATCGTCATGAATTAGAAACTGTTCTTCATGATGAACATATTTCCTTTAAAGCATTGGAAATTGACCTGCTGATCGAGATTAATAATAGCTGAGATCCTGATGACTTACATTCCTTCTATTATCTTTTCCAAGATTTGAAATATTCTGTTTTTTTCTCTCATAAGTTTGGATTTCGAAATCCAGCCAATCTGAAAACTGTGTCTATTTGTCTTTCTAGATGACTACTTGTTTGAATGGATTCGATTGGATATGCAATTATGGACCATCGTTTGTCGTTTCGGCATCGAATTGTGATGTTCTTTACGAGCCAAGCGACTTTTTCAAAGAATTGAATCATACTTTCTCAAATGCCAAACAACGAATTTATATTTCATCACTTTATTTCGGAACCGATTCATATGAATACGAAATGGTAGAGATGTGTAAACACCTGGAATTTTTTTTTCATTTTCTTTTTCTTTTGCGAAACAGATCGATTCCATACGAACCGCCCTTGCCAAAGATCCATCTGTACGCTTAGTTGTGCTATTAGACTATCTACGCGGCCTCCGAATAGATAATCATAAAGAAAAGACGACATCTAAATCAATGTTTCTTCCATTAATCGAACAGTTTTCATCCCAAGTAGATTTCTATCTGTTTCACACACCTCTTCTTCATGGTTTCCTTCGGAAAATCATTCCGATGAGATACAATGAGTCCTGGGGCGTGCAACATATGAAAATCTACATGGCAGATGATACTTTAGTCATAAGTGGGTAAAAACAGACTCAATTTTCTTCAATAGATTCTTCAAAAAAAAACTCCTTTTCTTTGCTCTAGTGCTAATTTGAATAAAACATACTTCGACAATCGACAGGATCGATACTTAAAACTGAATCATTGTCCTGATCTTTGCCAATTCTTTATTGATATTATCGAAACTGTCGGAAAACAATCATTCAAAGTGAAACTGAACCATCCCGAACCGATATTGTTAGGTAAAAATCATCCCTTCGAAGGTGATAACGCCCAATATCGCCGTGATGTCGAAAACGATCTTACATCACTGATGAAAACCTATCAAACACGTTTTCCCAAGCCCGATTCCTTATCTGACGATCAAGCATTGATTATTCCATTGATACAAATGGGAATGTTCAATATAAATAACGACCGAGACTTTAACATTCACCTATATTCCCATCTTCCTCAAGATTCGATACTTTACCTTGCAACATCCTATTTCAACATGACAGAAGAATACGCGCAAGAGTTGATCGGCAATAAACGACAGGATACGACAATTAAGCTATTGACAGCTTCACCACAAGCTAATGGGTTCTATGGTAGCCGTGGCATGAGTCAATACGTGCCGATCGGTTACAGCGAAAATGAACGGGAATTCGTCGAAAAAGCAGAGAAGAAATGTGCAAACGACGGACAAATTCAAATGTTAGAATACTTTCGATCACAATGGACGTATCATGCCAAAGGTTTATGGTTGTATGAAAACGGAAAGGATTATCCGATTCTGACTTGCATCGGGTCGCCGAACTTTGGTACGATGATTTGTTGAAGAGTATGTTATGATTTGTATTTCAATTATTCACTAGGCGCACGTTCGATTCGACGCGATCTTGAAGCTCAATTAGCTATTCTAACGAATAATGAGACGTTACGAATGAAATTTCATCGTGAACGTTCACGTCTATTTCAATACGGTACGCACGTTACTGGTGAAACATTCAAACAAACATCGCGTATTGCGCCATTGTGGGGTCCTTTGTTTATGAGAATCTTTCGAAATTTTTTCTAGAGAAATTCTTTCGATGAATAGAAATAACAAGAAATTTACCTTGGTTTAACCTAAATCGTGATGGAAATAAAGCAACATCGCATATGCGATAACCGTTATCATTATCTCACACATCTGCAGTCATGTGTTATTCGAAACTAAGCAATCAATTTCATTTTCAACTGAATGTTTCAAAGCACATCACATACAGATCTGATTGGTATTGACAGACAAGATTAAGCAACATGTGATATCTCGAAGTAAATCTTGTGATTGCTTTCGAGACAGTATGTTTGAAAAACAATCCGATGAAAGAAAAAGTTCTTTCCATCTTCCCTTGAAAAATACCTGAGTGAATGTGCCACCCAGTTCAGAGTTTCAATAGCACATTTATTTTGTTTCTATTTGAAGACCGCTCTTATTTACATAGAATTGTTTATATTTTCTAATCATAAAAGTAATGAATAGCATAAGAAAGGAAGAAATTTGAAAAAGAACATTCGGTCTCATACAAATCATGGTCAACGCCTTTGCAGACACGACAAATATACTGTCAAGACTTCATCAAGTTTTTCTCGCTCTCTCTCTGTCTCCGATGAAAAGACGAACGAGAGGAGGAAGAAAAAGGGCGAAACAATGACACTTTACTTTTTTTGGCGGCTCAATCCAGTTTCTCAATCTCCCTTCTTAACAAAAAGCCATCCGTAGCGTAAGTTTACAGCAGAAATCTCCTCCTTTTTCTAGTGACTATTTTTCATGAAAGCAAAACAACGAATAATTAAATGAAAAGATTACACTAAAATAGAACAGCAAGAAATCGAAAGAGGCCATTGAATCGTCAAGGTTATTTCAATGGACCATCTATTTACATTCTTGTTCAAATATGTGACGAGGACGGACTGTAGAAATGATTGAATACCTTGAATTTCGACTCATATTTTAATGCATATTAGAATTAAGAGAACATTTCTGTATGAGAATATCAGATGCTCATAATTGAAATCGAAAAAGAAAAAGAGTTAATTAGTACACAAAACGAGAAAACAGATGCTTTCATTCGATTCAATGTCAATTTTACAGAAACCGGGGGGAGAAAAGGGAGAGAAGCAAAAGGACGATTCGAATCAATTGAGCATGGATGGTTATTTATTTTAGCTTTGACACTTTTCAACTTACCGTCAAGAGCAAACTACTTGACAGGATAGTTTAATGCAACAGATTGTTATAGACTTTGGAAAAGAACTGACTGCCAGTTTTCTTTTGTCTATTTCATTAGAAAAGAAATCGTACAATTGAAAACAGAAAATAATTTGCATATTTTCTTTCTCGTCTTTGTTTCCTGCTGAGTTAAGGTCATTCGAATATATTTACATCAAGCAAGTCACGAAACATAGGAATACAACAACAAATTTCGTTTTTTCCTTATCTATTCCGAGTAAGATGATGACAGAAACGAACTCTTTATGTAACAACTAGATGATTTAGTATACTGACTCAGTGTAGAGTGCTTCCTTTTCTCTCTTTTGTTCTGATGAGAAATCTATATAAACCCAACATTCTCGTTTGCCAATCTTTAGTATTTAATCAATCTTTTGGACTTTCTACTTGCTCGCCAATATTATGTTAAACTACTTTCGAACAAACAATTTACTATAAAAAGCACTGTGCATGTAAGTTTTGTCTTTCAAGAGGATAAAAGCTATTAGTTGATCGATTAAATCAAACACAATATTTGCTAATCGAGAAAATAAAAACCGGCTGCATTTTATTTCCCTTGAGTTAAAATTATAAAAGCGAAAACAAGTTACGAAGTAGTCGAGTATTTCTTATTTTCATTTCTTCGTCTTTCAACCGGAACTTTTTCACAAAAAATGGTCGATGTTTTATTCAGATCACCGATGAACGTACTCTCTCAACCTCTTGTCATTCCAACGACTCATCAACGTCGTCTGGTGGGTAGTCCTCGCTCGCCAATGTTCCTCAATGCTGCTCCGGTTGCTGTTAGTAACAAAATCAAAGCTATCCAAGCGCGTAAAACTCGTATCACTCTCGTCACATCCGATGCAGTTCACACAGACATTCGTCCATTGAATTTCAGTTGTAAGAGCGGTGTTGCCAAATCTCGAACAGAATATTCAGTCTTAACAGCTGAGAAACTAGTTGATCGCAGTAAAGACATTCGTCTCGATCGCATTTCTGCTCGTCAACAATCTCGTCCATCCTTTATTCTCAATACGAATGCTAATCAAGCACCTGTACTCTGGTCGAGCTATCAACAATCATCCAAGTGTAATAAACCAAGTGCAACGCAATCAAACTCTACAGCTCGTACACCGCCCGGTGTTGAATCGGCAAAACCGAGATCACCAACTCGCAAAATACCCGAGATTCCACGACGACAACCTCGTCAAGCCTCAGCCGATCAGCATGATCCTCTTCTACCGCCCGAAATCAAAGAAAGATCCAAATCAAAACCGCAACCATCACGTATCACAAGGATTAAATCTCATGATCGACTGGTTCATCGTAATAATCTTCGCAAAAATGACGCCGAAGGAGATGAAGACGATGATGATGATGGTAATAATCTTATGATGGATGAAGAATTCGAAGAATATCTTGAGAAGGCGATTGTTAAATGTGCCGATTGGCTTATCAAATACGTATTTATTTAGGACAACAAAAAATAGACACTTAGATTTTTTTCTCTGATGTACATACACATCGAATTTGATGCATATGCAATATGTGAAATAAAATAAAAGGAAATATTTTCGTTAGGATTCATTACACTTCAATGAAAAGCATTGTCTCGTTTCAGCGAAATGTGAAGTTCTGCATTTTTATGACTAATGATAATAAAAAGGTAGAAAAACACATTTATCACCTAACTATCCTCGAAATCTTATCTTTTGTTCTCATTCGTGTATTTACCAACAAAAGCATAAACTTTGCTCTTTCGTATGAACTTGCAGCACGATCTCACAAAATTTACGCAGAATCCGTTTTTTTTTTGTACCGAATAAACCAAATGCATTTATCTTTTGTGTCCGAAGAAGAGTACAAATGAAAATGATAGAAAAAGCAAAGGTGTACGTTATTTCGTTAATGGCAATTTATAATTGGGAAAGAGTTTCGCCGAACAAACACCAAAACATTCCATCATTGGTCGATTTACTTGAGAAAAGTAGCCACCGGTAAGGCGTTCGAGAAATCTGTAATAAGCCGGACGCATGGCTTGCGGTTCAACGACTGCAGCATGAAAGACAAGTGCAGTAGATAGAGAGTAAAGAATCGAATCGAAATAGGAAAAGAACGGTAATTTGCCTCGGTGAGCGTATTTCAAGTAGACAGTCTAAATAGAAGGCGAAAAACGTCTGTCTTCGAAATAAAACACTTCGTTTCAAGCATACTTCAATCAGTTTAGCCATCATGTACATAGCCAATGTTGAACTTTTGAAAAATAGCATAGAAAATCCAGCTAAATAACCAGCGACGAGGCCGTGCGCAGGTCGATCGTACTTGAGGATGTTACGTAATAGACAGCTGACTAACTATGTAATAATAGAACGAATTGTGTGAAATGGAATGTTTTGATAGAGAACATACTCGATAGATTGCTGAATAGAAACCTAAAAATTTTCCCAGACTGAGCATATTTCGATTTAATGTTAAGAAAAATAGTGTTGGATGACGAAGGAATCGAAGTGGAGAACTTATAAAATGTAAAAGCAATTGGATTAGAACACCAACCAAAAATCGTTTGACAAAACCCTAAAGTACAGATCCGCAGTAGGATAGACTCGACGAACTTTCGGTTTTCTTTTACCAGAAGAACGTGAAGTAGACAGTGATATGTATGTTTACACGTTGGTTGATTTTTGTTCTGAATTTGAGACCACTGTTGCACACATTTCAAATATTTATAAAATAATGCAAAATATAACGACTTCTTCTTCGGTTCAGACGGCGGTTTGATTTCATGTGGAGCTGCGCATTCATCTTCGCCAATCAGCAATCTTAAACAGAATACAAAAAAGGATGTTATGCATAATTATTACTTTTATCATCGTTTGCATGCTACACACTTCATTGTGGAGAATAACAAAGTATTATGTTTGTGTTCAGACGATTTTCTAAATGAAAATCAGAATTCTTAGGATTGATACGTATACTATGCTCATTTACTTTAGCATGTATGTATAAATCGATGAGGCAGCAGCGAACAGAAGTATCTGAAGGAATTTCTCGTTTGTTCTTAATTTAGAACATTCATCGAAAACTTACTTCTCCGTTATGAAGTGGAGTGTAAAACTTTCGTTGTGCACCCATTTTAAATAGAACCTCGACTGCCTATTAATGAATATAGAGGTTTGGTGATCGATCTCAATGGATCACTCACTAGATTTGCCATGTATAGAGCTAGGGCACCACGTCTAGGAACATCAAAAAGCAAATCATCTCTGACCAGACCGAACTGAATATTACCGTTGTTTACGTTCCACTAATATAGCAGGAAGTGTACAAAATATTCCGTCGACATACAAATTGTAGTATCCAATATGTCCCAAAAGACGTCTAAATATACGCTCGAAAAACGTAATTATTCTTTAGTGGCAGATTTATCTTATGTACCGTCCGGCACAGCAGCAGGGCATGAAAAGTAAACCTTGCATACCCAAAAAGATCGTCGATCGTATAGTGTCGAAAGCTAATCCGTACAAAAACTTTTTCAATTGTTTGAATGATTTGATTTTTCGTAGTTTTATCAATCCGGTGACCTGAAGAAAGATGAGTTTTTGGAGGCTCGTATTTCGAAATAGTCACGAATGTCTCTCACTCCATATAGAACACAGTAGATTTTAAGTGATTCTCGAAATGCTGGCTTTGCCAGTTCCCAAGCTGCCGGCATGCATTGTTCACGCCAAGGATGTAAAACTTCATGACATTCGTATGGCAATACAGATCGTGAATGGGCCAACATGATCTGAAATTGTTAAGACTACTCTTTTTTCTTAAATCTGAATTGTTTTATCGTGTGTGCTATGAATGAGTGATAAGATTAGTTCGCTCTTATTGGTTTAAAATTGATCAATCATATGAATAAGAAACGGTGAATTCTATTAGATTTTCAACAGATGAATTGCAAACATGGACACACAAGAAAGAATTTTTCACTTGTTGTTATAGAAACATATTCAATTCAATGGCCTAATTCTCCATGTATCTAACTGTATAGCTGGCGCTAGTTGATTTAGCAACGAACATTTGAACATATCAAATGAACGGATACTTTCGTTTACGATTAAAGAAATACGAATTTACAACACAAGTTTCTTTTCTATATGAGAACTAAAACGTGTACGGCATCACATCTATTCGAGTGATAAGAAGAAAAGTAGACCAACTTCTTTCCAGGGATTGTTTTGTACATCGTGATACCCGCAATGTTAATTTCTATCTGTACATATATGATTGGTATACTGTTCGAAAATTTCTAGAGGAGTGGTCATGTATAGAGGACAAAATGACATCTCGGGAAGTAATTTCTAACATTAATGTGTAAATCATGAATTCGTCGTAGTTTCAATTAGTTATTGTTTGATAATATACGAAAAACGATAATTAACGATATGTTCAAAAGAGTAGAGGAGGCCGGCAGTAGAAATTTGGATTGGTCTAGAATAATTCGAGTGTAGTATTTCGTGCCTTGTACATGGATTAATTGTATAGAAGTCTTCGTCGTTCTCTTCTTTCTCTCATTTTTCTTGTGTTTATAGAAGCAGTAACAGCCGGGACGATCATTACATATACCATTCTATTCACTCGTATACCAACATCGAATTAAACCGTTTTCTTGGTCCAAAAAATCAGCAGCTGCATATACATTCACAGCCGCGAACACGTTTCATTCATTGCATCAGATCAAATCAGAAGAGGTAATTGAATGTTGCGTAGTGACGATTCTGGAAGCTTCGCAGTTTGCTGACTAATAATTAATATAAAAACGCACAAAAATAACTCATGTTATCGATAAAACGAAAAGTGACAAACTGAGTCATTCACTACGTCGGTGTACGTAGTATAGTGTCGTCAATTGACTCAGATGTATGATTTATTGCCTTTTTCTATATATAGCACAAAAGTTCTGCGCGTACGCATTATTTTCGTACGATGTAAGTTACGTTTCAAATGTCTGCATTTTTGTAGTCTTATATTTTAAAAGAAAAACATTGAAATCCTTTATATGCTTTTTTCATTCTTCTATGTTTCGTTAGTTACACTCATACCTTTTGTTTGCTAACTTAATTTGAATATTTTGTTTATTTCCTAGTTTGCATTTACACATACTTATCGTCGTTTTTTCTTGCTTTACTTATTAACCAACTAAACAAAACGAGAAAAAGAAAATCATGGACAAAATGTTAAATGAAAACCATCTTTCTTCTTCCATACAGACGACGTTAGCTGTTGGCGGTGCTGTTGCACTCGTTGCAGGAGCAGTCATTCATCGTCACAAGGACAAATTATCATCATTTCTTGTAGAAAACCTTACTAACGAAGAAATGCATCAACGTGTCAATTGGGAAGAAATGACTATTCCGGCTAAGGTAGGTCTACTGTCTCGAGAGAAGCAAGTCGAAATTTAATTTGTTCTATATTTTCTGACTCGCTTTTTTCGTACGAATTGACGAAAAAGAAAACGAATCGCTTTGGTTTTCTAGACACAAGGATGTTCGGAAGCACGTGTAGCTGCCACACTTGGTTCGCGACCATTGTTTTCTACCGGTAAATCTGGCAATACTGTTTTTACAACATTCTATGAAGGATTCAAAGTCGGCAAAGAAATCGCTAACAAACAAGGTAGATTCGATGTTGTGCTTCTTTCTCTTTTCCACCATCCTTGTCTATTAGGAGATGGAAAGTGTTTGGGATACCGAGTAGATCGTCAATCAGATTATCAATGGGTAACATACGATGAAGTACGTATCGAGTTTCATATGTCAGACTCGAGAAACTACAAATGCGTGTCGTCTGTATAGACAGAACGTACTGCCACAGAAATCGGCAGTGCACTTATCCATATGGGAGAAAAACATGGACAAGATACATTCATTGGTATCTATGCAAATAACAGTGTTGAAGTAAGTATTCGTCTCGTTTTCTTCTTATTCGTTTTTAAAGCTAATATCTGTTTTTAGTGGATGACTACAGCAATTGCATGTCATTTTCATAGTATGATTTATGTACCTCTTTATGATACACTTGGAGAACCAGCTATCGTCCATATTATTAATCAGAGTATGAAGAGTATCTTTTTTGAATGGTGACTTTGCCATGAAGTATTTTCTAGCTTCATTGAAAACTGTTTTTGCTGATAAAGCTGAAAATATTTTAACGTTACTTAAACTTATTGATCAAGTTCCAACATTAAAACGAATTGTATTAACGAAAAAACTAGAAAACAGCAAAGAAACTGAGATTAGAAACAAAGCTAAACAAATCGGAATTGAAATCATGACATACAGTGAATTACGAGTAAGCAACTCGTGATCTTAGTTCAACTTACATCATTTTCTCGTCTTTGTATCTAGGAACTTGGTCAATCAAAACCAGTTGCACATCATGTAAGCTTGTGAACAAACATGAAAAAGATTTTCTTTCTTATATATTCGCTTCTTTTAGCCACCAAAAGCTGATGACATCTTCGAAATTTGTTATACAAGTGGAACAACTGGTCTGCCGAAAGGTGCTATGCTAACAAACAAAAATATCGTTTCTTTGGTACAATCGGCAACTGAATTCTTCGTAAGCGCTTCTTCAAGACGGAAATATTCGAGTCAACATTTCTGTTTTTAGCAACCTGTTTTCAGTGAATTGGAAACATTAATTTCATATCTACCATTAGCTCATTCATATGAACAAACAATCGAAGTAATATCCTACGCCATAATATCCATTCGAGTACAAATTCGTTTATTTCTAGCTCTACTGTTTATGCAATGGCTTCAAAATTGGTTATTACATGGGTGATGTTCGTCAATTAGCTGATGATCTTACTCACTTGAAACCCACATTAATGCCATGTGTACCACGACTTCTCAATCGAATGGTAAAATATATTCATAGGAAGAGAGACCTCTACTTCTCTTTTTTTTTCTTCATACGTTAGTATGATAATATTCAAGCAACTATTCGCCAATTGAGTCCACTAAAACGGGTTTTATTTCAAATGGCCTTGTCAGCAAAAGGAAACGATGTTGATAAACACCGTGTGACACGTCACATGCTCTGGGATGGTTTAGTTTTGAAACGTATTCAAGAACGTCTCGGTGGACGAGTGAAATTAATCGTGAGCGGTGCTGCACCCTTATCACCCGCCATTCTTCAATTTCTTAAACGTGTTTGTGGAGCCTATGTCATCGAAGGTTATGGTCAAACTGAATGCTGTGGTGTATCAACTTGTCAAACATTGGGCGATTCATCCGTTGGTAACATCGGTGTGCCATTACATTGTAACATGATCAAATTGGCTGATGTACCCGACATGCAGTACTTTTCCAAAGATAATGTTGGAGAATTATGTATCAAAGGCTCCAATGTATTCAAAGGCTACTATCGCGATGAAGAAAAAACGCGAGAAGCTATTGATAGCGAAGGCTGGTTACACACAGGTGATATTGCTAAATGGACACCGGTAACGATAACGGATTTGATGGAGTTGAAAGTGAAGTTCTGTTTGACTCCTTTCTTCTATAGACTGGTCAAATTCAAATTGTTGATCGAAAGAAACATATGTTTAAATTAGCTCAGGTATGTTTGTAGTGCTGGCCCTCGAAGTCCTCACATTGATGTTTCTCTTTTGTGTGTATGTGTAGGGCGAATATGTTGCACCAGAACGTATTGAAAATATTTATATTCACAGCAAATATATTGCTCAAGTTTTTGTCTTCGGCAATGGTTACAAGGTAAAGAAAGATCTGAACTAATTCGCCTTTTTAGCCTACGCTTATGTGTTTTTGTAGAGTTATACAGTTGGCATCATTGTTCCTGATGCAGAAATCCTCGAAAAATATGCTCGAGACAAGAATATCTCAGGTGATATTGCAGCATTGTGTAAGAAGAAAGAGATCAAAGACTTAATCTTCGCTGATATGAAACAATTGGAGAAAGAAAACTCATTGAAAGGTTTCGAAATGGTGAGTTCATTTGTTGATTAATCTGAATAAGAATTGTTCGTTTTTGTTCGACTAGGTCAAAGATATCTACCTCCATCCTGAACCATTCTCTGTCGAAAATAACCTTTTAACACCAACCATGAAAACCAAACGACCTGAATTGGGCAAATACTTCGAAAAAGAAATCGAAGAAATGTATAAGAACATCGAATAGACGATTTTCCATACACTACATCATGTTCTCAAGTCAGATGCTTTATCCACCGGAACATATTAATGCCGTTTTTTTTCTCTTTCTCCTTTTCTTTTATTCATCTAGAAAATTTTCATATTTGATTTTACTCCATATGTATGTGTTTGCTCAACTGTGACATGCATTCCTCATACATTTTCAGATTCTATGTGATATGACCATATTGATATCTGAATAACTTCTTTTCTCTTCTCGTTTGCGTAATCAACGAATGATCTTGAAGCATATACTTCTCGATAGCTTTCTTGTTCTTGTTTTTGATTTTATTTCCCTATGTGTTTGGTATGTTTTTTTTTATATATTTTTAACATAACTTGTGTTTCATGGTATGAAGAAAATCCCGAAAAAATAAAAAAAGGCAGCTATCATTTTAATCTGATCAGCAAGGCTTTCTTCTCCTTTCGATGCAATGATTCTTGTGAACAAAAGAGACTCTCAGCGTCATGTAACACTAATTAAATCTACAAAGAAAAGCAATCTATTACATTTTCACACTTGCCGACTCCATTCGTTTGATACCATTGTTCGTCATTGTCTACCTTCAGCTGCCATCTATCGCGTCAATGGATCTGATTTGTTTTCTTCAAACAGCTGTATGTTAACGTACATTGTTCTTAGACTGAGAACAATATTCTTATTTCGAATGCTCTTTCAAGTTGAATAAAACCAAAGTTTGTCTCTTTAGATACTAAATATTTTTTTTTCGTGTAACCGGTGTACAAAAACAGCGACTAATGGATACGGATCGTGTGAATCTATCGGCCAAAGACGAAGCGTTATTAATCTTAGAATATTTGGAAAATGAACAGATGTCGAAAACCTTTTTGAATTTTCTCGAAGAAAACAAACATCTAGCGGAATTGCGCGCACGTCTCTATGCGAATTACGAACATCCCGGTCAATACTCTACTGAAACTGACAATGAAGTGATTGATTTTCAGAGTTTTTTTAATTTATCAAAACAGAATGGTTTGTATAGACAAACATGAACCCGCATGTTTTTCTTCTACGTTGTTCTTTTGTTTAGAACGTCTTGATCAAACTTTTTTAACTTCCCAAATCGATACCAATAATTCTAATGATTTATTTTTTGATGACGATTTTTTAAATGTTAATCTCAATGATTTAATTAGTCAAACGCCACCTATGGATTACCCACATGATTTACCCGATACTCCTGTACCATCTGTTCCACCAGTATCGCTCAATGAGAATGAAGATTTTAATTCTGCACTTGAACAATTGTTCGCTATGCAACATGAACCATTAGCGACTCCACCGCATCAAATCGTTCAGATTATTTCGGAGACCACTCCAAAACCATCGTTTACGAAATGTATTGTTGTGACACAAGATTTTCTTCAATCGATGTATACGCAACAACCGACGATTACAAGTAGCAATATTAGTTCGATTCCTCGAGCTAAACGTCGCCGACGACGATTGAAAGCAGGCAAAGAAAATTATCATCAGCAAAGGAAAATCATGCCTAGAACACCACCCGGTCACTAATAGTAAAGAAAATACTTTTTTTTCTCATAAGCTGTAACTATTCTCTGACTTTATTTTTGTTTTCTTTTGTTTACTCGCTCTTTAAGACTTCGTCGCAGATAAAACCAAACGGCTCTCGTTGTTTGTTGTTTGTTTTTTTTTTGTATTTTGAACATTGATTTACGTTGCACGTTCAGATATGGATTGAGAAAGAAAAATACGATATATTTGTTACATTTTTAAAGTTAATTCATTAGATATATATATATACACACATATTATATTTGTATCCACGTCTAATTTTCCGTCTCAACAATCGGTTCTCATTCAAACAAAGTATGTCTACTTTTGATGCATGGATATCTTTGTAATCTTCACTCTAGTGCTTCGCCTGCAACGTAATTGATGATGCCAATGCAAAAAAGCTGCTAGGAACACTCATATTGGTATAGAAAGAATAGTGTGTGCATGGAGATAGTCGTCCGAGCTTTGAATGATTTACATTAAAGATGGACACAGATCAGCATCTGAAGAATCGACCCGTATTTGCCAGCTTTCGCATGATCAAGAAAATTAGTCATATGTTTAAAAAATCAACCTCGTTTTGTGAATAGTTTTCCCCCAAATAAATTATTTTAACCATACCTTGTCTTGTTTCTTTTCTGTGTAAATACTTAATTCAAATTATCGATTCGATGACGTAGATATTTGCATAGGAAAAAGAAAAAAAGGAAAAATAAATAGATATTAAGGTATCTGCATCGATAAAGAAAAGAAAGTTAAGGGTTATTTTATGTGATATTCGTTTCATAGTTGAACCATCCGACTCGTTACTGTGACAGACGTATTGATAGTGTATCGACCGAATATTACTCATGATAACACAACACGTCCAGCTATCTAACCTTCGCATGTTGATTAGTTTCGACAGAAATCCCATGACACCGGTGCATTTTCCGTCTCACTTTTTCGACACAAAAATCAAATTCGCAGAAGTAAAAATAAGCACTATTCTCCTCGTTTTTTTCCTCTTCCAGCCACCTACAAATCACATTACGGGTGTTTGAGTTATAAGACCAGCGAAGTAGTAAGCAATATCATTAGTCAGCTATTGCATATTTCATTTTCTTAGGCATTTTTTTTGCTTTACCTGTGCACTTTGCGATAAATAAAAGGAGAAAAGAGCATTTAGTCGTTCGTTCGTTAATTATTTGCCATGCTTCGATTTTTGACGAAGTTTAAGTGCGTACACCAGTCACCTAATATGTTTTAGTTTGTCCAATTATATTGTTTAGAAAAATCCGCCATCCGTCTATGGAAGGAGAGCCATCGACTTCGACTGTACAGGTACCGATTGACGCAGACGCTGTTGAAGAAGCGGCAACACCTGATGATACACATGTATTCATGGAAGCATATGAGTGTGCTAAAAATAATTATCGATGGGAAAAAGTCGTGTCCGCTATATCTACTCATCCTGAATGGTTAACACGCATTCCTGCAGGTTTGTTTCGGATATAATTCAATAATCCAAAATGAGACACTCTGAATCTTTCCCAAAGGTCGGCGGTGGACTATGCTGCACCAGATTGTTTATGGTGGCAATGTCTCACATTTGAACGAAATTCTCGCGCTTGAGATATCCAACGAAGAATTTCGTCTTCTGTATAAAGCATTAGACGATAAGACTGTTCGCGAAGTCGCAAGTGAACGTGCGCATCTCTATCCTCAAATGCTTCGACGTATTGAACGTCTCGTTGCCATTGATCAGCTATTGAATAATGCTCGGGATAGTAAATGGGAATTGGTTAAACAATTTCTTCATCAACAAGCTGATATTGTCAATGAAAAGCCTCCATATAGAAAGTATTATCTAGCGCACTATTTAGCGTATACGGGTCAATTGGAGATCTTTCAAGAATTACGTGAAATATGTATATTTAGACTGGACCTATTTGCCGATCATAAAACGATTAATCGAGTTGCACGCGAGAACAATCATATTGAGTTTGCTGAGTATGTCGAACAGCTTTGTCCTGATATAAACGAAATAACAGAGGAAAGTAATCCTACGACACCATCAGCAACTGATGAAGAGTCAGCTCATGCCACTACGAATCCATTTCAGTTGAATCATCCATTGTTCGATGATTCAGGTCTGATGATATTTGCGTTGAATTCAAATTCAATTGGTAATGTGCTCTCATTATCAAGCAGCTCTTTGCTAAACACTAACAACCATCCAGACTCAGCTGCCAATTACTATCATGATCAGTATTCAGCAAGCGCAGCATCGAATGCAACTCATTCTCAGTCAAATTCATCGCATAGTGAGCACGATAATGCGAAGAAATCAAAAGCATATATACCACCTTCAATGACTGATGAACAACAAGCGCAATATGAAAAGGCGATAATAGAAAACATGAAGAAATTACCAGCACATAATTCTTTTACTTCAGCTATAACATGTTGTATTACCAAAGAAATTTTCAGAGAGCCAGGTAGAATGCTGTCCGAGTCACGTTGAAGAAAGACTCCCTAAATATTTGTTTTCATATGATTTAGTGTTAGCTGCTGATGGTTTTACATATGAACGTGAGGCAATTCTCAATTGGTTTGAACAGTCGAGTCGAAGTCCAATGACGAATGAAGAACTTGAAAATAAAGAGTTGAAGCATAATCATGCCATGAAATCAATATTACGATCACTTTCCGAAACAAACAAAAATGCCGAAAAGTCGAATGGCAAATGAAATCGATGTTGCTGAGGAATGATTTCGTCTGCAAACTTTATCTCAGTAGCTGCCTGTCTATTTTTTGTTCATTCGTTTTTGTAATCAATATAATCTTCAATTACATCCACTGTTTTCTTTCAATAATATGGATCTACATATTTTTCATCTTGTCTGCGTTTTATCTTTCCCATAAGAGATTGACGGCGCAAAACGTTTCTGAAGTACTCATGGCTGCGAGTCTTCGATCATATTGAGCCATTGCTGGCTTTACATTGCTTATATTTTCAATTAACGAATGCACTTTGGATCTCCCTTGGTCGATCAACGGTAGTGAATCAATCCGTTGTCCGCTGGCGTATTTTCTAACCATGCACACTTTCATTCACGTCTCTGAAATTATCGTCGTCAGTTAACTTCCTGGGAATTTGTTATTCTTCTGAAAGTGAACTGTTCGAAAAAACGAAAATTTTCAGCACAAAGAAGTGCTGCCAATAATTCATCTTTATTGATATCAATAGCACACTCACTCACACACAAATAAAGTAAAACATCAATAAATCTCTACGGATCTCTCCTGTTTAATAAGCATGGTAATAGTCGTATGAGTTCCGTGGTAACCATGACCAATTACTGGAAGATGGTATTGATGATGCCAATTGAGCATCCGCATAAGACTGAGAATGTAAGAGAACGGCTCGTTGTTCTAGTTCATCGGCAACGTGAATTTTCTGTGGTTCATTCCATTGAGACGACGTGCCTTGAGCTTGATTTCGGATGAGGTAACGTTTAGCACGTTTAGGATGTGTATTTTGAGTTCGATTTCGTTTATTAGAAAACCATGCTTTCACTTGTGACTCTTTAATTCCGCCGTTCGTTGCCAAATAGTCCAAATCATTTCGATTTGGATACGGATTATCGTCATGTTCTTCATACCAAGCATTCATTAGACGAACGGCCTTTTCCGGTAATTGTTTATTAGGCTTTGTCGCTGATCGAACAGTTCGAGTTGTTGTATCAGTCTGAAGGAGATCAAACGATAATCCACTTTTCACTCTGAATATCCGCCTTTCTTCTTACTTTGTCTTCGTTTCGAGTTGGTTGATTGTAATATGGTGCATACATGATGATCGAGTTGTGTGCTTGTGGAATGAGGCTTTCCACGTATTTCGCAACTTATGTATAGATCATTTGGAAAAGGTACGTGCTGTTCGTTTTCCTCTCATTGAGTTCTTCCAATCAGAATGATTAATCATGGTGACGAAATGATTAGATGCGCACCACGCTAATTGCTAGCTGAAATAACAAATGGAACTGATGAAATTTTCTCTCTCTTTCTCTCCTATGCATGACAACGTTTTAAGAGTGAACAAATCTTCATATATAGTAGCAAAACGATGGTGAAAGGGTTTTCCGCAACCAAAATTTGTGATATTGAATATAATTATATTATTTTCGAGGATGGCGATGTGAGATTGAAATGTGAATATATAACTACTACATATGGTCTATCAAGAGTTAGTTTCTAGCTGTTTGTATATTGATCATACGTAAGTGGGCACCATAGCTCTATAGTCGACTCTCGGTTAGATCTTTCGAGTGAAACAGGCGAAAAAACTTTTCGAATATCCTATGTAATTGTTTTTGTTAGAAACATTCCAATATAAATTATTCTCATTACGCTTGTACGTGGGAAGATTTTTTGATGAAATTTTTATACGTTCAATATCGGTTAGTGGGATTTTGCATATAGATTGAATGTGATTTATGAAGAGGTATATTCACATTCATGCCATTATTTGTTTAGTCTGCTCTTATCTTTTCTCTTTTTACAAAAGAATAAAGTAGCAGACTGATATGTGAGAGTAATATCTTATAATATTAGCAAATACTGCATATCTATATTCAAACACATAACTATCAACAGTTTCATTCACCTCCATTGTCGTTTAGTGACCCAACAGTTAACGAACTAGTCAATGGATCATCGAACGCCTTTACTCAATACCAATAAGGAAACAACCGCTATTCGACGATTATTTTCGCGTAATCACATTAAAATAAGTACCGGAATAATTTCTACAGTAATAGTTATCGTTTGTGCTACTGCTATTCTTACTCCAATGCTCATTTTAAAACATAAAAATACACCACCACCACCATTGCCGGCATCAATTAATTTATCAGATTCCACTACTGTCTTTAGCACAAATAAGTAAATATCTGTTTCAGTTATATGTTTGAAATCGTATAATTATTTAGGTTGCCCATGTCTGGTTCAACTATCGACTATCGTCTTATGCCCTATGTAGGCAATGGTCATGTCGCTACAGTAATCTTTAGTGATTTTATTTACATGAATGGAATGTTTAATGGAGAGAATGGTTTGTCATTTTGCTTTTTATTTAAATATCAAAACTTTCGTGATTAAAATATAGGTACGAGTCATCGAGCTCGTATTCCAAGTACACTCAATTGGCAATTCAGAATCAATTCATCGTCATCATTGTACTCATTGGATGTTGCATCAGGTAAGAATTTTACTATAAGATCAATCACATGTATATACATGTATTCATAGGTGCATTCACGGAGAAATTGGAAGATAATCAAGTTCGTGTTGAGCGTCGTATTTTTGCTTCGCAAGAATATACTGAGCTACTAATTAGCTATGTCATAGTTACGCGATTAGGATCTACAGGTTTATGCAACAAAATGACAAACAATGTTTTATTTTCTGAATTTTTGCAGGTAACCCAATTATCGTCCCCGTTGAAGTCAATGAACAAACGACCAGCGTCGATTTTAATCTTACTGTTATGTCTCGCGATGACAAATGTGTGTAAGTATATCCCATGTCATATTTGCATACCAGACTATTGTGCTTCGTCATCGGAAGGTTCTTAGCAGGCAAAACACACGAAGTAGAAAATAATCGATTTCAACGAGATGTATTACCTTTATTCGTATATTACACACCATTACCTTCAAATGGTTTACAACTTGGTGCACAAGAAATTAACCACACTTATATCTTTGTTACTTCACTTGACACACAACAAGATAGAGCCAAACGAAGTTTTGATTATGGTAAGTTAAAACCGAAAAGTTTGTAAGTGAAACAATGGTTTTGAATAGCATCTACTGAACGACAGCCAGATCAGCTATGGTCAGCTCATGTTTCTCGTTGGAATGATGTTTGGTCAAATGGAAGTATTGAAATTCGTGGTGATGACGAATTACAAAGACAAATTTATGGTGCTTTTTATTACATTTTGAGTTCACTTCCACCGTTATCTACACTTAGCGAACATAAACAATTCTATGGTCTCAGTCCAGGTACCCTATCATGGGGAGGTATGAGCGGTGAAAGTTATAGTGGCCACTCTTTTTGGGATATGGAAACATGGATGTATCCACCTATACTTTTCTTTTATCCAACGTAGATATGAATATTTATTACGAAATAGTCAATCTTTAGTTTCACTCATTTTCGTAGATTGGCTAAGGAAATGCTTTCATATCGTATTGCTATGAATAATTCAGCGGCTAGTAATGCCGACCTATTCGGTTATGAAGGTTGGAGGTAATTCTTAGTCATCTTCGATCTGTTTCTTTCTCTCGTATTGATTAATAGATTTCCTTGGGAGAGTGCACACACGGGCGTTGATGTAACTCCCGATTGTTGTCCAACAGGTCGTTTATATGAAATGCATATTACTGGCGATATTGCTTTTGCTGCAAGACAATATATTGCTGCGACAAAGGATCAAAAATGGTTAATATCAGAAATGGGCGGTGATCTTATCTATGAAACAGCACATTTTTGGGCATCAAGAGCAATATACAATCCTAACAGAAAACAATTTGAAATTTTAAGTAAATCATTTGATTACTAAGTTTTGATGGTACATGTACATGAAAATATGACTCTTTTTTCTGTAGTGGTATTACCACCTGATGAAGATGCTGAACCATTTAAAAATAATTCAGCCTATACGAATGCCATTGCTTCACTCTCGATCGAATTAGCTAACCAAGTTAGTTGTATAACTAAAAAGCCGGTGCCTCAAGCATGGCTCAATGTATCTAGAAATCTTTATGTTCCATTCGATAATGTTAGTCAAATTCATCTGGAATATGAAAATTTCGATCCTAGTAATTAGACAAATACTTTTTTCCCCTATTTGTATATATCGTTTTCTTAGAACATACAATTATAAAACAGGCTGATGTCGTTTTGCTTGGTTTTCCTTTAATGTGGCCAATGAGTGAACAAATACGACGCAATGATTTATTAACTTATGCGCCTCTTACTCGAGATGATGGACCAGCTATGACTTGGTCAATGTATGGAATTGGATACATCGAATTGAATGATTTCGATTCAGCAGAAAAATACTTTCGACATTCCTATGAAATTTACGTTCGAAAACCTTTCAATGTCAGTTCAGTTTTTCGCAAATCTATTTTGTTACTATGAATTTTTGTTGTATAGGTATGGACAGAGACTCAACAAGGTGTTGGTGCCGTGAATTTTATCACTGGTGCTGGTGGTTTTCTGCAAGCTGTTCTCTTTGGCTATGGTGGTATTCGTTTGACTCTCGATGAATTGGTGATAATGCCACCAAAAAGTTTACCAAATCAATCAACAAATCTAATCTTTCACGGTCTTAAATATCAAGGCGCAACATTAGATTTGACTACTGACGGTCAAATGTATCAACTCTATGTACGCGCATTGAACAAAGACTCTCAACCATTAGTATATGAACATGATCAACAACATGGTATACTTAATGTTACTGACTTACTTCATTTTCCAGTGGCAACACGCTTAAGTATACATCCAGCAACACCGATATGTCCTTGAATTGGAATTATTTTATCTAAAAACACATACACTTCATTTCACTGCAATAAAAGGAGCGAATTAGATGAACCGAAAGAAGAAATAGAGAAGTGATCATATTTTTGTGCCAAAAGAAAGATCAATAATCTTCGGAGATAATCAAAGCAATTGATAATTAAAATTGTTGTAGCTGATAATGAGCAGGTCGTACACGGTTCTTATATAATCTTCCTACAGAATTTTTCGCATTTTCAAGTGAATCTATTTTGTGTTAGACAATGGACTAGTTTGAAGAAAGTAATTATCGAAATACGTGGTTTGATAGAGTATATCTAAAACTCAAATTCTTTAAAAAAAGAAATCGTTGAGTTTTTTACCGAAAAATTCGCTACAAAATTTTTCATCAAATAACGTCTATCGTTTGAAAACCTAAGAATGAGCCGGGTATTGTTTTTATACACTCTGTCCTTCATTATGGACACCGTATTATCTATAATTCAATACAAATAACTAGAGTTTTGTAATCAGATGTTTCTGCTTGTTCAGGTAGCTACCGCCGACTTTTTACGATGATTTTCGGCAGTTGATTCTATCTGTGTTGAAGCGCCAGCACTAATGCGCTGCAGTATTATTTCGTTTATCTGTTAAACCAGATTACACGTCACTAAGTGTTTTAGACGTTTGGAGCCAGTACTATAGAAATCAGAGATCATTTGTGATCGATTTTGCTTTCACATCTCAATGAAAATCTTCGTCATGATAAAGGTCATAATTTATCTTTCTGTTCTATTTTATTTTATTTCTATCTCTATGAAATATCTGAAGTTCTATAATCTTGTATTGCACTCGTTTTATAGTCACGGTAAGACGAAAAACGCCCTTTTCAACACGAGGATTTTGACAAAGATTGATGTATTTTAGGGAGGGGAAGGCGCTTAGCCGGACTTGTGAAAAAAAAAAACAAGTATCAAATTATTTTATCAAAACTACATTCTCTCTTGCAATGCAACCATTTTGAGAATTGCTGAAATATATTTAAATGTAAGATATATCTGTCAGTTGGTAGATCCCGAATTGTCATCTACCCAGATTCGAATCCTAGTCAATGAGTTCTATTCATTAACTGAAATTACGAAACTATTTTGGTATTAATGGTTTATCTATCCTCTTTCTTTGATATTCAATAATGAAATGCTACTTTCCTATTTTCATGCTAATAGTACCTGTGGTGGTTTGTACTCATTTTATAGATCTTTCGAGCATTTTTTCTACCCTAGAAAGAGGTAAACGAAGAAAGTTGAATTGCATGAATTTCTCTTTATAGATCTTGATATCAAGTTGACGAGCAACAATAATTATCCCGCAATCAAATTGTATGCTAAGTATCATACGTCTCTGATTAGTTTGGAAATAGATGGAATAGCGTCAATAACATTAGCAAACATAACTTATAGCAATTCTGAACCGCTTTTTCTACATTGCGCGTTCTGGAATCGGCATTTTAGTATTCAAATTAGAGCACAACTCTCATATTAGTGTTGCTGTGTCGGGTAGGTTGATTGACTTTATCAGATCGCGTCCGAGGAAATTGGCGATTGAGTACCTCTGATATCGCGCATTTAAATGCAATAACATGTCCGATGAGAATTGTGACTATCGAGGATCTTTACTCAAGGTAAGTGATAAGTGGTTTTGGTTCAATCACACAGCGCATTTTTGAATAGACCTCTGAAGAACTCCAAATTTCATCATCGCCGAAGAGTAACAAAGTCATGGACAGAAATCAATGGATAATGATGACTCTTGCTACTACAGTTTGCTTGCTTATATTCTAATTTATCATTAATTGGTATCTTTGTTTTTCTTTTCAATTCATTATGCATGATTCGACAAAGACTACCTTTTCTACAAGAAAATCATCCACTGTGATTTGCGTAAAAGCATGTCCGCTTCTTAGAAAAGAGCATTATATATATATGTATAATATAAGAATAAGCTTTGTTTCAATAGTAAAATTAAATTTTACGGCTAGAAAAGGAGGATTAGTCGATGAAAAGACCATATCTAGGGCTATAATGAAACTTGGGCCCAGGAAATATTTAAAGAAAGTTGAGGATGTGAGTGTTTTTCTTCGTCCACTCATAGATAACGTATATTAAACGTTATACATTAATCATTAATTATGTACATTGGCGAACTATTATCAAGTAAAATAATGCTACTTTTTACTCTTGTATCAATAATATTAATATCAATCACATATTATAATTTTATTTTAGATAATCGTGACAGATTACAGACGTAAAAGAACTAAAATATATTATGTATTTTGAATAAAACTTCCAGTTACTAACTGACGAGAAGAACTCACCATGCGATATCCTCTGTTTGATCGCAGATTGTATGCATAGATAGACTCATATAATAGATGAAAACTCTAAAAGGGTTCGTGTTCTTGGTCTCTTCTGGTTGAGGCGCTGCACTTTTAGGATATTCAAATAATTCATTGCCATGGTTCTCCCAGCGATATCTTAGAAACTTGTACTGGAATTTTGGATGGATGGATGTGAGTGTTGGCGCTACCCTCACCCACATCCTCTTTATTGATATCAATAGCACACTCACTCACACACAAATAAAGTAAAACATCAATAAATCTTTACGGATCTCTCCTGTTTAATAAGCATGGTAATAGTCGTATGAGTTCGGTGGTAACCATGACCAATTACTGGAAGATGGTATTGATGATGCCAATTGAGCATCCGCATAAGACTGAGAATGTAAGAGAACTGCTCGTTGTTCTAGTTCATCGGCAACATAAATTTTCTGTGGTTCATTCCATTGAGACGACGTGCCTTGAGTTTGATTTCGGATGAGGTAACGTTTAGCACGTTTAGGATGTGTATTTTGAGTTCGATTTCGTTTATTAGAAAACCATGCTTTCACTTGTGACTCTTTAATTCCGCCGTTCGTTGCCAAATAGTCCAAATCATTTCGATTTGGATACGGATTATCGTCATGTTCTTCATA